AGAACACTGCCCTTGTCACAGCTGGTGTCAAACTTCGAGATGAGATTTTCTCGGAACACCGCTCAAGCCATCCGGGCGTGTTCGCAAATCACCAGTCAACTTATCCATCGGAGGAACTGACCAGGACCGGCGTCAGACCGAAGAGCAGAGACGCGCACCTACAAAGAATCCGCAAGAGATGACGGTCAAGGCAAAGGCTTTGGAAAAAGCGACCTATATCTCGAATGACGATATTGTGCGACACCTTGAGGGAATCAAGAAGCTGGAGGCTAATACCGATCTGATAGGTTTAACAAGACATCGTGAGATCGTGGAGATGCAACTGAAAGAGGAAAAGGAAAAGGAAAAGGATGAAGATACACGTAATCAGAAGAAGATCGATGCTCTGAAGGCTAGTCTGGAAAACTTGGAGGCTGAAAGGGAAAAGCTCTTGACTTTGGCTGGCTATCCGGCCACGGAGGCTTGAAACAGCAAATGACCCAACTGGAATGTGGGTTGGGGCTGGGGGAAGAACTTGGGGTGGTGATACAGTTGATAGGCCTTGAGAAGATCAGGCAGAATTGAGAGCAAGAACAACTGTTGTGTTTCGAACTAAAGTAGAATCAGGAATACTCGAGAATACACCGAGAAATCAAACTTTGCCCGGTGGCCGCCTCCCGTCATTTATTTTCCGGATGTTGTACCCTCACTATGCCTGCCTTTGCCAACGGCACCACCAGTTGTGGTGCTATCATTTTCACCATCACTGCCGCGGACACTACCACTACCGCCTGAATTTTGGAGACCAAACGCTTGCCTCTGTGGAATCTTCGTAGCCGAGGTCGGTTGTTGTCGGGTGACATAGCTGGTCTAGGTTTTTGTGGGGTTGTCTTTGCTTTTGTCTAATTTCTGGACGAGTTCTGTTTGGAGCAAATGTCAAAAGTTATGGAACTACATTGTGATGAACGACGAAAAGGCCAGAGATAATTACGACGAACCTGCTTTACCGACCGATTGCTCACTAGCCAAGTTCTGGCAATGGTGATTCTGGTCGATACCGATGTCCCAGGAAACTGGCTGAAGCACGGCTGATGAATGAGCTACCCACCCGCTCACTAGATGCGTCATTTGGAAGGCATACCTTCCGTGTGACCTAGCACATCGGTGCCATAAATGCGGCTCGTCTGTTCTTTGACTCGAAGCAAAATGGCGTAGCCGCTTGACAGGCGACAGGCCACGCCAACAAGCCCAAAGTAGAATAAAGAAAAAGGGAGTACCGAATCCATCAGCGTCAACAACATGGGGGCCTGGGTCATAATGGAATATTGAACGGCGCCAAACAATGTCCTGGTGTACCAACACGCGCTTTGGACTCACCAAAAGTTAGCTTAAGAAACACGTAACATCATGTAGATCTTGATGATAACTAACAGTTGGGCTTTGGGGTTCATGGGAAGCGGGCGTATAGCACAAAGGAGGGCGACTGGAGGTATTTTTGCCTTTACGATGTTGGAAGTACATACCTCTATAAATCCACAGTATTTGCTCGTGTGGTCATGAAAATAACCATGGACTGATTCCTGTCTTCATACGGTCAGCGAAACACAAAACCAGGACACTCAGAGAATTGAGACACCCACTAGATGCTACCTCACATCACCCTTCTTTTCTCACCGGCATAACCCACACTTGTCGAATGCATACCGTGGATATTGGTGACCATTTCATTTGTCGTCAACAACGGATTGAAGCAAAGATGTCATCAACCCCTCAGAGTCTTCACGGTGCCTCCTTCAAGCCATATAAGGAGGACAAAGTTGTCCAGGACGAAGCCACATCAGTCATCACGGAAGCCCAGAAGCCATCTGAAACACCTATCTAAAAACCCCAAACTGTCTGCCAGCCGTCATTGGACTTGCCTGTTGAGCCAGATCCAGAGAGATGTTTGGGGATCCACAATACTCCACGAGTAGACACAATGGAGGATCAGCCAAAGGCTCGTGGGGGTACGGACGTATCCTTCGAACGTCTCTCTGGGCCCGCCATACCGGAACTCGCGACAAAGAAAAAGACTCCTGGGGAGTTCAAGTTTGAAGATGATCCGATTGTTTCGAAAGTCATGACAACGGATAAAACGCTGGATGATATGCTGTTGGCAGGCCAGCACTACTTGAAAGAGAAAGCGTTGGAAATTGGGGATATCATACAGAAGCAAACCGATGAGATGGAGGCTATCATCCAGAAGCAAAGGGAGGAAGAGAACAGGCTGCTAGAGAGAGCTGATATTGAGGCAAGGAAAGTAGGAGGGAAGAAGGGAAGGGGAATATTGCGTATGCTTGCTGTGTCACGACGACCGCGGACCAGAAATGTCAGTTCTGCGTGTTTGGTGAAGGGGAACGGTCTGTTCGCTTCAGTAAATGGGTTGAAGCATGGACAAGCGACACCTAACACAAGATTGGGCGAATCGGGGGGCAGTCTGGTACCGGAGTCACCGAAGACGATAAATTCGTGTATGCACTTTCGGACGTACTTCAATTGCTTGTAGAGGGATTGTGTTCGTTAAGGAGAGCAGGCTCGTGGAACTTCTGCGGTGTGCAAAACTGTGTGGTTCAAAAGATTTGCGAAGTGTGGACAGAGTGAAAGTCGAGCGACATGTCCGACAGCTCGGATCTGGGACGGGCAAATCTGAACCATGAGACACCTTCTCTCACATTACTTTCCGCATGATCTTCTGTTAAGATGTTAGTTACTGGTAGGAGGAAGTTGATGGGCTGGGTTGGGATTAATCAAGGGCGGTACAAAGACCCGAAACAAGCACTAACACCACTGTTGGATCAATCCCTTGACTGTGTAAAAACTGTAGACCCAGGGCATGGTAGAAGCACGCAAACGAGGGACAAGATGTGTAGAATTTGATGGAGAAGTTGAGGTGTGGACTGATGGACAATGGTTGTAGGCTTGGTGCGCATGCCACCCAATGCGAGGGTTCTACAAGAGATGCCACGCGTAAATCAAAACTGCTTTATTTGAAAGTTCCGATGATTCCTTTGATGTTGCCGCCCGAGTGCCAACCTGCCGATTGTGGTTGCGTGTTGGCACCAAATGCGGCATGCGGGATCCAACAAGCAGCGGCATCCCTTTGGCATGCCCCGCCAGCACAAAGCCAGAACAATGGAAAGACCGAAGCGCCAACTTGCCAACATTCATCAGTTGGAAAATGAGGCGCCCATCCAAGTGGAATTTTGTGAACGGATCTTGACTTGGCGGTTAACGGAGGAAGCGAGAGGCGAGTGATGGATATATGGCCTTTTCGCCCACCATCTCCACCACCCTTCGTTCTGAACCCGCATCACACCGTATAGTGACCGACCCATACAGAACAAAAGAGACGCCAAACAAGCTTGCCACTCCAAAACCTCTACCCTTTTTGCTCCGATACATCTTGATTCTCTGTCACCTTCGCCTATTCTAGTCCGCCCGAGACCCAGATCTCGTCATGTTCTCCCTCTTTTCCCAGCTTCGGAAGCTCTTTGGGGCAAAGCCCCTAGCCGACGAAGCGACCGACTCAATTGAGGTCAAGTCAGTCGAGACAACTCAAACAGACACCTCCTACTCCAAGGAGGTCGGCCATCAACAACCCCCGCCAGCCCCAACATGGGCCATCCCTCTCTGCGGTCCACTCCTCAGCAGACTCTTGTCTAAGAACGACACCTCCAATACTACAACCAACCTCAACGCCAAGGGCAAGAAGGACCTCGAGAAGGACGACTTCGTCATCATCAACCCCTTCACCGAAGATGATTCCTCTCCAGAGGAAGAGCCAGTGCAGACTAAGGAGAAGCTCCTCTGCGACTTTGATTTCGAGAACCGACCTGGAGGAGGAAGAAAGTTCGTGATGGACTTGACGAAAGACCTGGACGAGATCGTCGACCCGAACGAAATCATGTTTCTTGTCAACTTATTGGAGACACTCAGGGACGGTGTCGCCATGGATGCTCTCATGCGTCCGTCGACTCGCTTCTCGGGGGATATGATCAAGGTTAGAGCCGCGAGGTGGGCGGATAAGGTGGGTGAACAGGTGGATGAATATCTGAAGGTTGAGAAGGAAAAGGTTGAGAGGATTCGGAAGAAGGCGGAGGATCTTAGTGAGGAGGAGGATGATAGGGTGGTTTGGCAAGAAGCGGTTGATAGGACATTGAAGGACAGAGGGGTATTGAAGGCCATTCCGAACATCGAAGGTTGATGATGGATAATTTGCGTGGAAGGTCAGGCTGTCTTGGGGTTTGTGTCTTCAGAAAGGAAGGTTCATCTTTGGGTGGAACGAATTCAGATAGGGTGTTGCATCTGGTATTGTTCTCCTTCCCTTATGTTTTCTCAAACTATCTCCCTCCCGCAATCATGATAGTCAAGATTACCTGGGCGAGCAACTCCCCGTTTCCCGTGCGTCATCCGTCTGTTGAACATGGCTGGCCATGTTTTCCACGACTCGCTTACATGCTGATATGATATCTTGCAAGTTATCATCGGCCCTCACGATACCACTCTCCAGTGCCCTAGCCATCTTGTCCAGCTCTGCGAATCTCTTGTTGTAAACATCCAACACCTCATCGGTTTCATTCTCTTGGCATGCTTCGAGAGCCTTTGCGTTTGCAACATCACGTATGCGTTCGAGGTCTCTCAACTTGACCCGGGCAAGCAGTTTGGTAGCTGGGTCGGCCGGCATCTTGGTCTGTACAAGTAGCACGTTCCAGCTGTGTATTAACTTGCTGTATCAGTGCCAGCCATTTCTTTTCGGTCGCGGACTTCCCCATTTCAGCATAAATAAGGATCCGGTGCAGAGCCAGGGGGTGTCTACTTATTTTATAACAGTTTCGCTTTGAATATCGGTGGTATGCTGCCTTGAGGTCTTCGTAACCACAAACGCGATCTATCACATTGCTCATCGCATCATCGTGAGTTATCACATTGCTCATCGCATCATCGTGAGTTATCACATTGCATGCAGACACAAAGTCATTGTTGCCGGCGGTATGACCAAGACAGCTTCCTGGCTAGTCCCTCAGATGAAGCGGTCGAACTTGAAGACCGATCAGTTCGTGCCACAGGATTCAAGAATTCCAAAGTTAAGCAGGTCGAATAGAGCACTGAGGACCGTTTTGAGGCGAAGTGATGGGTGCGCCCAAGATACAATAGTGTTCGTGGTGATGCATCGGCATTCTCCATTGTCAACCTAGGAAAACCACACGGTGTTTCCGCAATCCACGACTTGAAAATCGAATACGATTGCGAGAGTTAGAACTATCGAACATCATTCAATAAACTGTCTAGATATGAGAGTGACTGTTGACCCTGTGGCATAATTTATTTCGGAGTGTCTTGGTAGTGTTTCTTTTGCTGATGTGACAAGGGCAGTGTTCTGGGCTTGGAACAGTAGTTCAATTCCGTTGATAAACTACTTTGGTCTCAAAGGCCTTGTTGGTCCTTTCAACCTCTAGAGGAAGGCTGGGCTTCAAGGCCTTCTTATGCCAAAGGAAAACGGTACCTATCTAGTACGTACGGGTCCTTGTCACCTGAGGCTCCAAGGCATCTAGCGATCTGCATACATGTAGGTCTTTCTCGTATGATACCAGGAGTGTAGCATATGCCCGTATGCCACCAGGAGTGTGGCATATGCTCGTATGCTACCAGGAGTGTAGCATATGTCCGTGTGACAGCTGACTATGGCCGAGTGGAGCCCACACGTTCGCCAACCTCGACTGGGAAAGAACCAGGAATCGACGGTTATCATGTTAGTGCTCAATGTTTCTTGTCGCTTTTCGTATTTTTCCTCATATATTTCACCATTTGTCTAGAGCAACTTGCCCTCCTGCAGTCCGTGTCCTTCCTTATTCAATTTCTTCCATTTCGCTGGCACTCTTTCCCCGGGATTCTGGTCCTGCCACCTGCAACCGCCAACCACCCTCTCCACTACTGTATATCCCTTCAAGTTCCTTGCACCTCTCTATCTAAAATCTTCGACTCCTGACTGCTCATTCATTGTACCCGCTCTAAGTCAGTTAGCCCTCTCAATCTCCTCTTCAAGCTCCTTCCTTGCCTTATCTATATCGATACTCCAGCCATATCCAGCGTAAGACACCAAGCTCTTCACTTTCCAGTAAATCGACGAAACCAGGCTGTCTCGGGATGTCTTGCTCCAGAGACCCCACAGTAGCGTCTGGCCCATTGCGCCGACCGCCGCAACTTGGGGGTTGGGGTCCTGGGCGTACGACTTGATGTTATCCTCGTATATCTGGGTCATTGTCATAGAAGAGGTCATGGTGAAAGTTGTAAGTTACGATACGAACGTAACTTTTTTTTCTTTCCCGGGAAGGATGCTTGTTGAGTTGGATTTAGGAGTGGTGAATGCTGTGTTGATAATATTGGGACTCCTGAGCTGGAATCCGAGGATTCTTATAGTCGGAAATTCTGGTCGAGCTATTCAGGGTCGAGTTCTCCGTGGCTCACCATGCTTTTCGCGAATATTACTTGCATCACTCGAGTAACTGTAGGCTTTAACAAATTTACCTGATGACCAAACCATGTACTTGTCTAGATGTTGCTGGTCCCAATGACATGACGGTTTGCCTCAGGTGGGTGATTCGACTGACAATTTCCTTCTACAGTTTTTCGAGGAGTGATGCATCGGTACCCAAGAAGGATGAGCTACGAAGTACTCAGACGAGCCAAGCCTGGTTGGAAATTTTGGTGTGAAAGACAACCGATAGTTAGCCTGATAGTCCTAATGCGACTAACACAACATCAGTAAGATACTCGATTCAGCTACGACAAGCAAAACAAACAGTGACATATTCCAGCCCAAATAAGGGAACTAAGTTCAACACGACTCACAAACATTTCCACCCGTGCAGCCCTTCACAAATGTCCTCGTACGCGACATGCCCGTCCACGCTCACCAAGATGTACGAAGATGAAATCCGCGCATATGCGCTCGACGCCAACCCCACAATTGCGAAAGTCGGCAGAATGGGCGAGTCGCTGTCACACGGACATTTGCCCATAGTTCTGGGTTAGGGTTGCCGAGGCTTAGCAGAGTCTCAATGCCTGACATCAGCCTTATGAATGCCCGGCGACCGTAGGTCGCGAGGCTCAACCTCACTTTGACCAGACCCTCAACCACCGGCATTGCTTACCTAAGCCCCTCCCGACGCCATCAGGCTAGCGAGTCAGCTATCGAACTGCCGACGACGCTAGTAAGCGAGATGAGGCAATCCCCAGTCATCACAGAAGCGATCACAGCAACCGAGCAAGAAGCAGGGCGACCGAACGAGGACGGGCGCCAGAAGAAGGAAGTAGAATGGTTGAAGACAGTCAGGAAGATCCACATGTATGAAGATCGCTATATAGATACCCTGAGGCCTCAAGCAACAAGACTCGGTACGTACCTCAGTACGCACCAAGCCTCTTTGTATAAGAAGGCCTGAGAACTCAGCCCTCGTCTTGAGGGTTAAAAGGATCAACAAGGCCTTCGAGACCAAAGTTAATTATCAGCTGAATTGAACCACTGTTCCAAGCCCATACTCTGCCCTTGTCACAGTCGCTACTGTGGAAGACCTACTCCAAGCGTAGTCGAGAGAGCCTCGCGTCCACGATTTACTACAAGGTGAAGTCCTCGGCGGATTTCATCAAATATGGCATAACCAGTGTTGATATTCCAAAGGCAAAGAAGCAGCTCGATGAGGAGATTTCAAAGGCTGTTTAGATGGGAAATAAGTACCTTAGGTAGCCATGATGAGGAAAGGTAACGAAGACTCTATATTTTAGTCCAAGAAATATTATTGGGGCGACGATGCCCTTGCTTATTTGATTAGATGTTGCTCATCCTGAAGACAAAACGGCTTGCATGTAAATAGGTACCTTACGCAACGGCATCGTAACTCCAATCGTGTTTCTTAGGTACCCCTAGATAGAACTGTGTGGAAGCATCACGAAATACCTCTACGACAACAAACATGATTGTGTATATCCACGGCAACTCAGTCGCGTATCATCACTTTCACTTACTCCAGACACGTCTATCGTCCATGGCTGAACCGAATGAACAATGAGGCACCGATTCGACAGTTCTCTGGTCCTGGTGCTTTGTTACTTCCTTGTTGGCTTGGCGTTTCCTCACTTGATCGGCCAGTTATGCCACATCTAACTCGTCCAACAACCCGTCAATTGCCCTCGGCGCCAACGTGATCTTGCCGCCCATTCAATAATGACCCGTTACTGTTGGTCATCTCGCATCCCGTGTGTTTTGATACTGAGGAGCAAAGCGCTACGCTTCAAGGTCATGAATGAGTCCTCGAAAAGCTTGGTTGGTGATGGGAGCCTGGCTGCTGTAGAAGGTTGGTGGTTTTCATCGACCAAGTTATTCAACTTCTTTTCAAGTCTTGAATCTCTGGCGCTAACTGAAATTGGCGAACCGTGACTGACATGGCATATCGAGCATCCGACAACCTTCGCCAGGGAGATGTCAACAAGGTTAAAAACCCACAATATCCCCTCCCTGTGGTGAAATTCGAAAGCCTGTCATTCACCTCTCATCTCTGCGCTTCTCAGGTCTTGTACGTAAGATCACTTGCCCAGTCGGTCAACACTCCTTACCACCAATCTTCACAATGTCGGCAAATATGACGGTCAAAGACCACTACAATGCAACGCTCCTTGAGATTAATGACACCTTCGACAAACTCGACCGTTGGAAATTCAATCTCCGCCTACCCAGCTTTTTAGGTAGCGTCGAAGCCAATGGATATAAGCGCGATCTGCATGACTATGAGAGGACAAACCAAGCATTCTGGCAAGTCTTCAGTGATTGCCATGCAAAGCACTACGACTTGCTGCCGTTGATAGAGGCAGATGCAGAGGCAAAGGAGGACATCATCAATAAGTTGACAAAAATCAAGAAGAAGTGTCGGTCAGATATGAGGTCGAGTGTAGCGAAGGTGTAGAAGCCATAGACGCTGACTATCAATTCTTACAGCCAGAGAACAGGTGGAAATCCTTGAGAATCTTCTCTTCAGCACGTCATATGTCGTACGGGGAAGGAAGCAGCAACAATCTGACAACAGGACGTCTAAGGAACCTGACTACTCCGAGGCAAGTTATGAAGTAGTATACCAGAGAGAGAATATGATAAAGACAAACTAACGATCCCTTTACCAACCAGGTGACCGAACAGGTATTTTTGGAACTCAAAAGGTTTCTCGGGGTTGTGGCGGTAATTCAGATCAAGATTGCGGAGATCTCTTGGAGTTTCAAACTGGAATTGGCCATGCAACAAATATATTCCCGGAATGACATGGAGACATCAACGGAATACTCGCGAGATTGGGCTTGAAGGGGTCGTCGAGAATAGCCTTTTCCTCATTCTATGTCGAGGGCGACGCGTCATGTTCTGACCTGGAAGTGTTGAGGAACAGTTGAAGGAACATACATGTGGATGTGAATCGCGCAAGCTGTTGTTTTGTCGAGCAAGAGGCTGTCAACAGCAAGCATAACTAGATGAGAAGGGTGTCTGGGTAATTTATCTGTTCCAAAAATAGGGTTCATACTGACCTACCTCAGCGTTATCAGTTTTGCGTATGTCCCACAGTCCTACTCTCGTCATTATCAGTGTTCAAGGCTCTTGTGTATACATCGTCATTTGATACGCTTCGTGTCCTGATCTTCAACATTCCCAAACCTTATCGCCAGTGGCTAGAAGTCATGTAAGAGATCGTGTCAGTTTGCTTCATATACTGAGGGGACCGAGTTGTCATACCTGAGGGCATGTTTGTTTGTTCATATCTGGGAGGTTTGCTGTTACACCTGAGATTGACGGATGGACGGATCTGGTACCCATGTAAACGTAACCCTTTACCCGCTCCCCCTGTTCCTAGGAATTTGACAGTCACACTTTCAGGCACCGACGAGTAGTGAATGGCTGAGGAAAACTGGTGGCGGATACGTACCTAATACCAGGACCAGCATCATGTGACCCCCCGGATCCTGACCAAACTTTTTTGACATGGAACTCGGACACAAACGGGAAGAAAAGGTGCTCGATAAGAAAATCTTCTTATCTCGGCCTCCTTCCTGGCGTCTAGAGATGGGAAGTGTAGATAACACAAGAGGAAGTGTGTATCTCAAACGCCCAGCCGGTCGGTACGATGCTGTATTAAGATTGCAAGTACCGACGCCATTCCGTTGAGGCGCAAACACCCACGTGTATACGTGTTTTTGGGTCCCGTCGTCGACACATCTGCAAGGAACATTCCAGCATTTGTTGGTGTCATGTCCAAGTCGTTGCAGAATCCACTCTTACTGTCCCAAATGCTATAAAGTTGAAACAACGGCGATTTCCCTGCGACCTGTGAGTCTGACAGTCTGACGAAGCCAATGACCGGTGTCGGTCGTGCGAAAGGGCCGAGGAATGTACCGACACGTCTGACTGAGAATGTTATCTCACGTAGGTATATGAATCACTTGACACCGATGTTAGCTTTTGACATTGCAACAATAGCAAGAAAAAGGGAGAGATCCAGGTGTGATCTCGAGCACGCTTCGGAATACAGGCCCAGGTCGTTGAGGATACGAGAACATCGTGAAGTTACAAAGCCTGTCTTGTCCCAAGTCCTCGACCAACTCAAAGAAATACAAGCGCCAACGTACCTTAAAACAGATCGACCCCTTTGTTCCCACCACAGCCGTGAGAACAATCCCCCTTCAGCACCTCAAGTACCCGCCGAACACTCGCCGGCTACTCGACCGTCCACACCGCTCAACTTTTCCCGCGCAGTCACTTCCTTCGCAAGCAAGGCGGCACCATGATCTCCCGAAAACTTAGCAGTCTACTGCTATCCGCCTCCCTCCTCTCTTTCTTTTCAGAGCCAGCAGTAATAACCGCCCAACAAATCGGCACCGGCATCCCCGAAGTGCACCCCCGTTTCCGTACCCAGAAATGCACCAAGTTCGGCGGCTGCAAGAACCAGCAAACGTATCTTGTCGCCGACTCCCGGCACCGGGCCTTCCACAACACCGCAGGCAAGATCATCGAGTGCTCCGCCGCCAACAAGACACTCTGCCCGGACGAGGCCACCTGCGCCAAGAACTGCATCCTCGAGGGCGTGGAATACGGCAGCTTAGGCGTGCTAGCGAGCGACACGGCCGTGACTCTGCGTAACTATATCTTTGACGGGAAGGAGCACAAGGGCGTCAGTCCGCGGGTGTACCTCCTTGCGGAGGATGGCGAGAAGTACGAGCCGATCAAGCTGCTGAACCAGGAAATCAGCTTCCAGGTGGACGCATCCAAAATCGGATGCGGTATGAACGGTGCGCTGTACCTGTCCGAGATGGACTTCTCTGGCGGGAAGAGTAAGCTCAACCCGGCTGGGGCCATGTATGGGACGGGGTACTGCGATGCGCAGTGTCCTCAGAGTGACTTCATCAATGGCTTGGTAAGTGAAGTTCCCCTCCCATCTTCATCTCTACAATTCGTTTCCATCTCTTTTAACATTTGTTTGCTGCACCTCAGGTAAACCTTAATTCCTCCGGTGCTTGCTGCAGCGAAATGGACATCTGGGAGGCCAACTCACGCGCCACGACCATGACCTCGCACCCTTGCAATCACACTGGGCCCTTCACTTGCAATGGTGAGGAAGAGTGTCTGAACAAGGGAGGAAAGGGCGTATGTTCCAGAAAAGGCTGCGGAATTAATCCTTTCAGGCTTGGTGCCCCGGAGTTCTACGGCAATGGCGACAAACACAAGGTTGATACCTCCCGGCCGTTTACAGTCGTCACCCGCTTCTTGACAGACGACAACTCCACAGATGGCGCCCTCAGCGAGATCAGAAGGATCTACGTTCAGGATGGAAATATGATTCCAAGCACCTCAGTCTCGAATATCAAGGCTCTCAACAAGGCCAACATTTCGCCCAGCGGTGGCAAATTTGAAGGCGCCTTGACGGAGGGGTATTGCAATGCTCGGGACTTCGGCGACCATGCACAGATGGATGGGTTGAAGACGATGGGTGAGGCGCTGGGTCGCGGTATGGTTATGGTATTCAGCATCTGGAACTCCAAAGCCGACTCCATGCAGTGGCTGGACGCCGGGCAAAACGGGCCATGTCAGGACGGTGAAGGGAAGCCGGCCAAGATTGCCCAAAAAACGCCGGACGTCACAGTCACTTTTTCCAACATCAGGTGGGGTGATATTGGTTCGACTGCGCAGGTATGAGGTGGTGAATTTCCCGCGGGCGGGCATGAAACCTTGAGGGGGATGACCAGCAATACGGTCCATCTCACATTCACTCTCCAATGGTGCCGCAAATTTGTGTCTCTTCTTCTGCCGGCCAAGTATAGACCTAGAATAACTAGCTGGGATTAGCAAAATAAACCTTGACTGCTAGTAAGTGAACTGTTGCTCGTGACAAACGGTGTTTACCCAGTCTCCCTGTATCTCCAACCTTTCCATCCTAAGTTTTCCCCATTCACTCGACCGTAGCCCTCCATCCGAAGCATTTGAGTTCTGCCACCTGAGAGCTTCAAGGAATCCCACAGAAGCAGGCGCTTTCACGTGCAAACTATTTCAGACCTCGCAGGCCCCCCCCGGTGCTTTCTTCTCCTGACCACCAACTTTCAAAATATCTTGCCAATTTTCTGTCAGCACAAGAACACCCTCCTAGCTGACAGCCTCAGGACCGTAAGTTTAGGTCAACAACCATCTGCAACAGCGCATATGGCCCTGGATCTATTGGCCCCTGGCTTGAACGACACCAGCGCCGCTTCGTACAGTAACACTTCCAAAGTGACGCTCCCTAGGAGTGCGCTGCTTGGTAGGAGAACCTCTACATTCACCACCAGAAAACCGCCTCAAGGTCTCAGCTCAAGTGACCACGGCGCCGAGTAGAAACAGCCACCAGGACCTCACCCACAAGCTTGATCATAACCACTCCCATCCAGAGAAGCCTGATCACAACCTCTTCCATCCAGAAAAGCCTGCTAGATTACAACCTCGCTCATCCAGAAAAGCCTGATCACAAACTCGCCCATCCATAATTAGGTCTCGGTCACGGTCCTGACCACAGACCCATTCTCTCCCAAGCACCGCAACCACTCTCAGGTCACAGCTCAATTTACGATCTCGCTGAGTCGAAGCCCTGACCGGAACCCCAACCGCAACCCTGATGACAACCTCGCTTGTCGACAAGCAAGCATCGGTCACGGCCGTGACGACATCGTCATCCTTCTGGTCTCCCAAGTAGCGTCCAAAACAACAAACCCGGCTCGGTACAAGACTATTCGAGGCAACATTAGTACCGAAATATCTTCTCTTCTGCCCGGAGATCGCGCCAATTACCACCCGTCACTTCCTCAGTGGATATTCCATCGGTTCATCAACTTCCTTATCATCAGCGGAGGGTTTGGTCGGTTCGTCAACATCCTGTCAATATCTGATCAAGATCCATGATGTCGGACCCCATGTCGGCCCTCATGTCGGTTGTTTGCCGCAAGCGATCCTCCTCGGGCAACGAGGACGTTCCTTCCGATGATAGCTCGAACAAACGTGCGAGGTCGAGCTCTCGCACCCGTGACGCCAGAAACAACCACTTTGACGGCGTGGATCCTTTCAAGATGCATACAGTCAAACAGCAGATCGAGGAGGTCGCTCAGAAGATCGGGAAGAGTCGTCGTGCCAGCAGTGGACAAACCTCACAGGCTACCATGAGCTTCAGCGCCCCATCCTCCCAAACTTCTCCCAAGCTCAACACCTCCGGCCATGTCGGCACCACCTCCGACCAGGTCGACTTCGGCTTTGGCGCCGACACCAGCGGTGACGTCTTCAAGTTCAGTCGCCCCCTCTACAAAGACTTGTCTGAGTTGACCCTTACTCCCCCGGAAACCGGCTGCGCTTCTCCGTCCGCAGAGCAGCCCAAGAAGTACCGGAACAAGACTCACAAGCGCGCTGAGACTGCGCGCCGTAAGAAGCTCAGAGACCAGGCCGAGAGGGAGGCCAGGCAAGCTGAGGCGGCCAAAGAGTTCGAGAGGCTTAAGCAAGCCAAGCGCGCCGAGAAAGAAGCTAGGATGATGGAGGCAGACAGAGCCGCCGCTAGGGCCAGGCATGCCAAGCAGCTCAGGAAGAGGTTGAACGCCATCAACAACCACAGTATCCCTATCCCGCCGTCACAGCCTCTGAAGCTGATGGAGCTGGAACGCGTGCAGGCCGCACCGATGGCGCTGGAGGTTGCGCAGGCCGCAGTCATGGGCCCGGACGTCGAATCTTGGGGCTCCCACATGCAGGACCAGTTCTTGGAGGCCACGGACAAGCTCCTTGAGGCCAAGGCTGAGAGTGAGGCAATGAAAAAGACCATCGAGTTCCTCATGACTCAGATCCACATTCTGAAGAGGAAGGAGGACATGCTCACGATGATCAACGATCACGCGCTTAAGGAGATGCAGTCCATTCGTACCGGTGCCGCACGCCTCCTTCACAGCGATCCCAATCTCACCGATGAGGAGCGCCGCATGTTGCAGGACATGGTGGCCTAGTTGCCGTCGACGCAAATCTGAAGGGATGGGAACAGTTCCGATGAACCCTTTCAGCCGGCCCGCAGAGCTGTAATATCTCTGCTCTGGGTCCGGATGACCGTCTGCTGAGAACAATGGCAGCAATGGTTCGGATTCTTTGTGATGTCTCGCATCAAGGGATGAACGTTGATCTTCAAGGGATTCCAAAACGATGGCATGGTGGTGGCAGACGGGCGTTAACGTGCGTTGGGCATGGTTTTCGGCGTCAGTCTGCATATCGGTTATGGTTTTTGTTCTTCTTCTTCTCCTTGCCGAGTCGAATGGTATGGAAGAGGTGGAGGAAGGCAGTTGAATGGCCCATCGTTAGGGAATTTCCATTATTCCTCTTTTACTTTCACTTCTACTGCTCGCGGGACACACCCTCTTTTGGGGGGCAGTCTATTGCCAGTTGTTATCTGGATGACACGAACAAATCATTAGCTTTCTGATCTCGGCAGAGGATCTCAGGTACATTGCAACTATCTTCTCCTGGGCTTTTCGTGTGAAAGGCAGCATCGCATTTTCTCGGTTCTCGTTATTTGCTGGGTTTGTCTGTGGCGCTTATTGTGGCATAGACTAGATGGACGCAAGGACATGAGGGAATCTGAGCCTCAGCGACCAGAAGATGAGGAGATAGACATACAGAAACAGAGATTACTTCATTCCCGTCGTCTTTGATGTTCCAGTCGTCGTTGGATACTGGGCCGTGAATGCATCTTCTATGAGCTTGCAAGTTGTGCTTTCCCAAGCGTCAGGACAGATGCTGACATTTTCAAGGTGAACCAGGAGAACTTGGACACGTTTGGTGCGGTCAGAAGTGCCGAATTCGGAGCCAAGAAAAATCCCACGAATGGGTACCTCAGCTGTACAGGCCGTTACAGTTTACCATACCCGTATTGCTCTGCGCCTTCCGCTCGTCTGTGTTGTGTAAAATTGGGGTTTCCTCCTGGGCAAGCCATGGAACGAGGGGCCAACGCGTTTCATGCCAATAACTTGGAAAAAGAAAGGAGTAGCGAAGCAAGTCGGAGACGAAACCGGGCTTGGGCATCGGCTGTGCATGCGTTGCTTGAAAAGTGGAAACCGCGATGCGTGCTACAAGAAATGGAGACGGCGAGAAAGTTTGGCTGAGACACTCGCTCACAATACTGATAATCTTGTTGTAAACATCTTGAAAATAGCTTAATTGTCTCAAAGTTGACACGAAAATTTCCACCTGCTCTTTTTCGTGTGCTCACCACTCAGTTTCCTTTCTGGAAACCTAATAACCTTGACTCTCATGACAACGATCCGGCTTTCTTGTGCCCCGCTTTTCACACAGGATTTGGAGATTAGCAGGCACGGTCGCGGGGAAGGTGCAGTGCGCAGCGGGAGGAAGGCGCAGATAAGGTGCTCGCGGGAGCTTCGATTCCGCGAAACTTTCCTCCTGAGTGCCTTGCGATGCGCCTTATGTAACAATCTTGGGATCTCGTCAATAATCATTGTAGATAATGAATCATGGTCAACATTATCGAGGAAGAAACATCGGCTTGCAAGATTCCATACTTGTAGGGGTTCATACCTCTGCGCGACAGATGCGGAAGTTTGTTTATCTTGGCATACAGTGCCCCTGAATTGTGCATCCCTGCTCAGGTCAGGCCCCCGCATTTCCCCAAACTCCCCGCCGGTCAACGCTCTCCAGGACTCTACCATACTGTCTGTCCGAAAAAGTGCAGTGACACAAGGAAAGACGCGCGCACCTCAGAGGTGAGCGGGAGCTTCAAAGTCCCGATCAACTCCTCAGAACTCAAACCCCACGTGCCATTTCAGGCTGCCCTTGTGCCTTTCGAAGCCATTCTCATGAACCAGTTCCATTTCAATTTCCAATGCCCTCCAAATCTTTCGAGGAGTTGTATGCTGCCTGGTACCTCCAGTCGACTGAGAGACTGGCCTGGGGACACTTGAAGCTCATAAAGCGGTAGCCAGCTCCACAGACGGCTCTACACGTGATTCTCGAAGATATATCTCCCTATCCTCGAGTTACCTCCCTTGAGGGGGCGCTCGGGTCTCAAGAGCTCTTCGGTCTAACTATTTTCTTTCCATTGATTCCTTAGGAGCACCAGGTTGTTCGTTATCTGGTTCATTGGCTCTCCGAAATCCTCGGGGTTATTTGCGACGGCATCACCAGCACAAAAGCAGATGCGCCAAGAGCAGAAGTCGTGCTACCGCGAGATGCGATGATGGTTTATCCAGCGACGAAGATGGACTTCATGTCGTGGAGAGCAGAGCTTACCTCTCACTCGGGTGGTCCTAAGGCATCATCTCTTATCGTATGGAGTTTCCGTTTCAAGCGAGGCGGTAGTCGCTGTGGACGTCGTCCGCAATGATCGCATCGAGATATCGAAGTGTGTGGGTGATATGATGCGCGAACCTCGGCTCAGGCTCGTCTTTTGGGATGTTAGGCAAGGAAAGTCGGCGCGGCAGCTGTGGTCGTTCTTGTTGGACGAGGAAGTAAGCGACGCGTCTGCAGCAACACAGGCTATCCGTTACACGGCTGACACACAGACTGTAAGCTTTTGGCTTCGAAGGTTTTGGACGCAATTCTCAACAGACCGGGCGAACGGACGGCTTACATATGGAGGACCGACATCTGGGAGAAGATTGATGATATGGGGGCTTCCGATGGCGACCCTTCTTGGAATGGGAGACAACAGGGCTAGCAACGCGTGTGTCGGCCGGCAGTGAGTGCGCTCGACGTTACACTGCGCCAAATCAACCAGGTCGCAGCTGGGCCGTTTACATGGATGGCCAGGCCAGGATTGACTCCCTCTGATGGCCTCCATCTTTTTTGTTCATTTAAAGATTAAGTTGTGCAAGTCGCACAGCCGAGCGCACAGCGGTAGCTCGGTAGCCTGAGATGTTGCCTGTTCCAGAAAATTTCGATTGCCTCGTCGGCTGCCGACGCTTTGCTACGGGCATGGCAACAGAAAGGGAAGGAAGTCACCTGTGTCGCAAGTTCCTCCATTTCATTGGATGGTTCCCGCTCGGTTTGCCTAAGGCAGAGATACCGTTTTTACGATACCTTACCGTGTAAGGCAGCGTACGACCTGAGGACTAGAAGTTGAGAGGTACTCACTGCAATGTTTTGTGTTACACCCGACCCAAACTCGCACAACGGATGCTTCCCCGTCCCGTCCTTCTGGTGTATCTGTGCTCTGAGCTCTGATTCAGAGTTGGGCTGCACTTTACTCTCATGACGACAGGCTCTCTGCATCATCACCACCGTTCTGGAGGTTACGGCCCATGTCCTAGGTGCTCTTATCTGCCTTGTGGTTGCTCTCACCATACACTTGGCGGGTAGCTTCCGTGAAGCTACTGCAAACCCCTTGTCTTTCTTTCACGGCCGGTTCCACAAGAAGCTCCCGTCTACACATGGGCGCCTTCCGTTGAGGACGGACCTGTATGGTGGGACTCTGAAAATCGGGTCACGGCAATTTCAATGGAAGCTTGCACACGGCCAGCGCGACCCGGCCCAACATGATCCCACGCGCTGGCAACCCACGCTTGTGGTTGTAGCTTGTTCGTGTTACTCCTCCCGTCACCTAGAGAAGTTGTTCCTGCAAGTGCTTGGACTTTGCGCTGCAAGCAACAAACCGCTTCCCAACAACAAAAACTGAAAGTACCGTGAACTGCTACGTCTGAGTACATCTAGCCTCACTCTCACTCAGCTTCCATGGAGCTTTCTCACTCTCGCACAACCCTATCTGACGTACTTATCGGCCAAGATGGCCTACCTACCTCTACTGTCTCCCGTCTAGATTAGTTCTCAAGCTGCCTCGTCTGATACTTCATTCCGCTTGATGTCGATTGTGCCCGTCGTAGGGTTGAACGGACTGTTTGTATTCCCCTGCACAGGCTTTTTCGTCTTCCTGACCGAAACCTACCTTGGGACTGTCTGCATCCAAGATACAAAGTGCCCATTCCGTCATCTCATCAGGACAGCTGCCACTTAGCCCGAACTTCCACCGCTGTAATTTCGACTGAAACGGTTGAAGGACTGGCGCGTGACTGAGTTCAGATGAGGCTCAACGTTATCTCATAAGATGATAAGGGGGGTTTTCTACTGATCCCGTCTCTGCTACTTTATGAAGTTGCGGGGCAACGGAAGGCACTTCGCAGTTTCGCACTTGGGACGACGGGAAAAATTCTGATTTCGTGCCTTCCAGTTTCCCATTTAAAGCCCACAGCTTGAACAAAACCCTTCCTCCCCCTCTCCCCCCCTCCTCCTTTCACATCTTCCTTTCCTCACCAGCGCCATAGAGATCTCACAGCTTTCTTCGCCATTTTGACTAGGTTGCGAGACTCGACTTCTCTTCTTTTTTGAGCTGACTTGACTTTTTCAAGTTGTCATTCCTTTTTCACTTGTCCCAGCACCAACTAAATGGTCACCATGACCATTTCTACCGACACTCCTTGTGGACCCCGCGTTGGCGTCAACGGCATTCCGGCGACCAAGATGCGTGTCTTTTTGGTACAGACCGCACAAGGTCTCACTCCCTCCTCAGGAGGCTACAAGGCGAACGTCAACCTTCTCCGCCAACTGCGACTTTTGGGCCACGACGCCGCCCAAATCTGTTACGGTTTCGAAGACGAAGTCGAGAAGTACGCCGAGCTTGCCAGGGCCAAAGGCGTTGAGCCCAACGTCACCAACCACTCAGCTTTGCCGGTGATGGACTCCAAGGGCAACCAGCATGAACTCGACGTCAAGACATTCATGGATGAGCATGGCATTCACAATATCGTCATCTCTCGCGTCCCCTTCAATGAAGCTTACCCCACTAGGGAATTCTGGCAGGATACCAAAGATTACCTTGAGGTACCCTTCTCTCCGCCCCCCATACCTCAAGATCAAGTGCTAACAGGAGGTGTCTAGGAGCGCTCCATTACGCAGCGCATGCAGACCTTGATCGAAATCTTCTCCGAGCATATCACTGCCTACCGTCCTACCCACGTCGTCTTCAATGATCCCGTCACTATGAAAGTCACGGCCGACCACGCACTGCGTCCCACCTTCAAACGTATCAACGTTATCCACACCGCTGAACAGCTGCCTTTTGGCCCGTATTGCAACGGCATTCTGGGCCATTGCTCATCCCCTGAGGTCGAAGACCGACTGCTTAGAGAGCTTGAAGGAATCTGGGTGGTCTCGAAGGCCATCGGAGACTATGCTTGGCAGTACGGAAAACTCAAGACCACATTCCTAGTGCACAGTCCGCTCACTTACCTCGATGCCCGCACCGGAGGCATGCCTGTCCAGCGCTACAACATTGACAAATTCGAAGTCGGCATGGTTAACCCCTGCCCTCACAAGGGTCTTTCCATCCTTGTTGAGCTCGCCAAAAGACTGCCGCAAATTCAGTTTGTCACTTGGAGCAGCTGGGGCTCTGCACGCAAACACCTTGATCAGCTCAAGTCACTTCCCAACATGAAGTAAGTCTGTAATTCCCTATCGCCGAGTGCAATCCAACGCTTACCTTCCACTTTGAATCAAGGGTCATGCCTACAACCAGCAACACAGATGAAATTTGGGACCGCATCAAGGTCCTACTTGCACCTTCTGTCTGGCTCGAGGCGTGGGGCGTTGTCGTGACTGAGGCCCAGCTTCGCGGCATCCCCGTTATTGCTTCCAATGCCGGCGGACTCAAGGAGGCCAAGATCGACTTACCATACTGCCTCCCCGTCAACGTCGTCACCGGTGCTAAGCACGAGAATGGTGACTATATCGTCCCGGAGCAAAACATCGACCTTTGGGAGGATGCCGTTCGCCGCTTGATGACCTGCAAGCAAAACTACGACATGGTCGCACGCGCAACTGCCCAAGGCTCTGTCAAGTGGCTTGACGGTCTCGACCCTCGTGCCCACGAGAAGTGGTTTCTGGGAATGATGACCGCTTGAGCCAAGCATCTTTCCTTCCAGCATCACTGCATATCACACCATGTTTGGCGTTATTCTCTGGATTTTTGCTTTTATTGGTGGGAGACGTCATCTTTGTTTACCATCACGGGGTTTGTTGATAGCGTACACAAAATCTCGGACATCTATGGAGCAATACCAATACAAGTCATATTTACTACTTCTTGTTTCTGAAGCTGTAGTGTAGAGGTACGTACATGGTACTTGCTACCACGTTTTTTTTGTTTCCCACAGGCTACGACTTTTCTGGCAGCTGGAGCTTCTTGATACGAGAGCCTTGGAAACATGAACTTGGTTGGTGTAGATGTCCAAACCCTGCATGGCGTGATGGTGGTGCTGTGTCCAATGCTTACTAGAAATATCTGCTTCAACCGTATCAGCTAGGCCTAATACATCTTTCCTTCGTCTTCTTCCGCTGGATTTTCAAGTGAAAACTAGGGCTTTCTCTTCTCTTCTGCACCGGTTCATTATGCCTGCTTGAACAGATACTTGCAGTATCCGGGGTTTCAAGGCGTAATCATGGGGGGATTTCGCAGCTGCGTAGAAGCCAAGGCTCTTTCCTTAGTACAATCAAGCTTCATTGCTCTGGCGATCCATACTTGGTTATCACAATTGCGAGATCTTGACCCGTCCTGCTCCTTCCATATATTGCTCAAACTCCTGATGTTGTACCTCAGAAATGGCAAGTGCACGGTGGATCAAGCGATCCGACGCTTGTGCTACTGCACTTTTGACATGCCAGATTGGAGTTGTGCTCTGCCTCAAAGAATAGGTATGTCTCACGTCCAATCATGTCCACTTGAGATGTCATCTCACGACATGAAGAAGGCGTAATCCAAGATGGCCGGAGAAATAGACTGGAAGCAACGGCTTGGAACGTTGCCACACCTGCTCAAAGATGCGTTTTTCCCCAGTTTGTGTTCGGGTCCAGGGTTTCTCCCGCGGCCACTCATCCAAAACAAATCATCTCCTGTTGCGATACTCTTCCTGTCGAAATTGCAATTCCGACAGAGCTGATTCAACCAAGGTCTTTTCTCCAATATTCTTTTCCATGCTAACCTAAGTATGGGTCACTCTCTTCCAGATCCTCTTTCCGGGACAAGTCCAGGACAAACGGCTCCAGGGGCAACAACCTCAAGAGCAAGAAAACTTCCATCGGGAAATTCCGTATCCATATCATCCAACGGCAAGTGCATTGAAGCTGGACGGGGCAGTTGCTCACCTAAAGTGAGTTCAGTCATCCATTCATTCGTTCCATCATTCCTATCATCCCATGGCAATTGCGCCGTCCGTACCCGGTAGTTCCCCTCATCTCATCTTGATATCGTACATTACACGAACGGGCAAATCCATGGGTTCACCGTTCCTTCCTTCCTTCCTTCCGCCTCTCAAGTCTTCACTCTGTTGTTGAAGTCGATTCGTTCGTTCGTTCGTTCAGAAATGGGTCGCTCCGGTAATATTATGCTTCTGCTTCTGGTCCTTCTTCTTCAACTCGGCCGCATCCTCCTCCGCCAATTCCTTGTCGATGCGAGCGCCCCGGTGGGGCTTGTTGCCGTGCCATTCCGCCTGTTGGGAGCAAGGAAATGAGGTCAGTCAGTCAGTCAGTCAGTCAGTCACCATTTCTTGAATTGGAAGCTTCCTAATGAGGAAGGGGCGAGAAGCAAACACAAAAGCAAAAACATGAGGTGGAACACTCCGGATCACAGGATGGGTTATGGGGGTAGGCGGTCAAACTTACGGCAAGCGTAGGATCCCTCTTGACAGCTTCCTCCCTCTCCTTTGCCGACTCCTCCATGTAATGCTCGTTGACCGCGGCGTTTTGGTCCTCTGTTATTAGTATGGAGTTAGTATGTCATCATTCATCATGGCGGTTATGGTAGTGCTTAGAGAGGGAGGGAGAGAGAGAGAGAGAGGACATACGAGGACGATAACCCTTCACGTTCTTTCCGCTGTGCTGAGCGAGGTCGTCGACCTGGGATTGAGAAATGTGGCGCTGGTTGCCGTCCTCGTAGATGCTGGGGAAGCCAACGTTGGAGTTTCCGGCGTAAGACATGATGGAAGATGTGTCTGTGCGTTTGTTCTTTGAGGTAGTAGTGGGTGGTCTGGACTTTTCGGTCGGTTGCTGTTTGTTTGTTTGTTGTGTGGTGTTCAAGCTGTTAGGGATATGAGTTGAAACTTGAACTGTTGGGTCACAAGTTCTAGATTTGCTCTGAGAATGTTTTGTTTAGACGAATCTGATGAGTTTTGCTTGTCGCAATCTTCCCTTTCTTTCATCGGGGATTACCACTTATATCACCTTGTCAAGGAGAACAGTCCGAGGATTCGATGATTCGAGTGGTGGAGGGGGTAAAATGGGGGTCCACTCTAAACGTCATCCATTCGGAAGCAGATCACGGGCTCCGGAGCAATTGGGACCACGACCCTGCAAACCTCAATGACAACGTAAAGCGTCATAGATATGACGGATTGCCCATTCAAATCTACCCGTCGGTCTCAAGGAAGCTCAAAATAGGGAATTTGCAATGCATGGTCAGTCAATTTCTATGTCACAACCCGATGATGAGCATCGCAGGGCAATCATGGTTGATGGAGTTGGTTGTGGGAAAGGGGATCAATGCCAAGACCTCACCCCTGTCATGGCGATGACAGAGTAATAAGTGTTATTGTTGTCGACGACACTGTTGTTGTTGGGAGTGGAATTCGACAGATTGTATCAATGCGCTATGCTGAATTCATTAAACAATCATGGAGAATCAATTATTGACGCTATTCCGAACACGAAAGCCCACAGAAAGAGAGAAAAGTTGACTTCACTTTTCGGTGGCTAACAGCACGGTTCTATACGCCCACAACACCAAAATCCTCCGTCAGCTCACCTCCTCTCTCAACAACTTTCCATCCACATCCTATCATCATATCCGACAAACTCTCACCTGATATTCCTCTCTCTTCCCCATTCCCAACCGCCCAACTAACCTCTCCAATCCCATCTTCACATCCTCGCCTCCCCTCCTTCCCTTTCCTTCACCCTCTCCATCCCCAAACAGCCTCCCCACCACCAAATATTCCACCTCGCCGTCCCCAGCCCCATCACCAACTTCCCTATTCCCCATTGCCTTCTTTCCCCCTTTCAGGACGTACTTCCCAGCCTTCTTGAAAAACACCCCCCTCAACTCCTCCACAACCCCCACCAACCTCTTTAGTTCTTTTCTCGTTTCCTTTTCTTCTACAGTCATCATCATTGTATCTTCGATTTCATCCTCACCCCCATCGTCATTCTTATCCTCATCCCCATCTGAGCTCAACGGACTCGAATACCCAGAATCTTCAACGTAATCCTTAAAGTGCCGCTGCCCATCCCGATGTAGAGGCAACTGACCATGTAAATAAGCATCAAAACTCCGATTCACCTCCTCATCCAACAGTATATTGGCCTTGCGAACGAAGTTTCGAGTTGATGAGTTGAGTCGGTAAAGAGAAGTTTGCAGGAGGGTGTGGATTCCCTCTGAGTTGTACTCGATGGCGATGTCAAGGGAGAAGGCGGGACAGGAAGCAGTGGTTAATTTGAGGAAGCGAAAGTCGCGCTTGAGAAAGAGGGCTATTTGGAGGAGGGAGTGGGTTATTGAGGGGAGGGTTGGAGTACTTGAAGAAGGGGTGAAAGGGTTGCGAGGACAGGGACGGGAAGAGCCAGGCGGGCTGAGAGGGGTGGAGAAGTTGGATGGATCGGAGGGGTCGGATGGGTTCGGGTTTGGGTTTGGGTTGGAGGAGTAGGCGTAATGGGATGATGGCATAGTTGCGGTGGTGGTCATATTTGGGTTTCAGTAACGTGACTTGGTAGTTGAGTGAAACTGGAAGTTATGCTTATGTATGACTTGGTGGACTCGTCGGAGCTCAACTCGCAGGAACTGCGCGCGGTTTTATGTCGTCTGGCAGTCATGGAACTTCGACGAGATGTGTTCGGAGCCGTTCATGATAATGAAGAGGACAGGCCTATTGTCCGGTTGAGAAAACTAACATCCCCCGGATTCAACCGCCTTTGTGAGCCTTGTGAGCCTTGCTTGTCCGCTCTGTGAGCACTGCTGGGTGACGGACATTGTTCAGAGCTGTTCGTGAGAGAAGCGAAGAACAAGTCCATTGTCCCGGTGAGTTGAGTTGTCTCCCCCCGGTTTCAAAGTGCCCTTTGTTAGTCTTCTCCGTTTGTGTTCACTCTTCGGTACGGGTAACTTGGTCCGTTGGTGTCCATTGTGTTATCTGCCGAGACATTATTGACTCTTGGAACAAAGAACGAAGTTCATCAGATATGACTGTGGTCCGGAAGCTGTGCCGCGGCCCCGCCGTGAGATCATCGCACGGACTTGTTCTTTCCTTTGACTTTGTTGTTCTTGTGTCTGAGGGATTGGGCGGTTGAGGACTGTGGGTGTTTTGATGTGTGGCTGGCCTGGTATGCCACTTCGACATCGAATGTTAGCTACAAAGTCAATGGAAGGTCATTTCCGCCCACGTGTTCGAGTGATCTCCAAACATGGTAAAGGGGTATCATTTCAATAGAACAAGGAAAGTCCGGAATATCTGTAGCAGAACACACACGCCCTCTACTTCTGCCGCACATTCTTCGATTTCCGCTTCTTGAACACCACAGCCGGAACCGCGTCCGCGGCCGCAGCCACAGCATCAGACTCGCCCGTAGCAGGCAGAGGAGGCACAACCTCATCAGCAATCCCCGACACTCCTTCGCTGGGCTCGCTCTTGATAGCCGGAATCTTGGGAATGGCACTGCTCTCGTCCGCATCCTCTTCCTTCTTCACACCTCCGTCCCCATCACCCTCTTCGTTCTCCTTGACAATTTCCTCCCCACCATTTTCAATGTCATCCTCCTTTTTGATGTTGTCCTCCTCAGTCTTAACCTTCTCCTCCTTCTTCAACGGAATCCCTCCACTCAATAACTCCTCCAACTCCTTATCCTCCTCAATCTTCGCCACCTTGCTTCCCACGCCCCACTTCCTCGGCCGTTTGAACAATCCCTTGATAGCCTCCTCCTGCTCTTTCTCTTCCTCCGTACGCTCCCTCTCCCTCTTTACACCGACCGCTCTCCCTTCCGCACCCACGGGGATCACACCCTGACCAGCGGCTGCGGCAGCGGCTGCAGAGGTTCCATCAGCATCCTCGTTAACCACTCTAACATTCGTAACCTCCCACTCCCCCGCCAACGCCATACTCCCCCTCAGCTCCGTTGGGATGTTCACGCCCAGCTCAGCCAACTGCTCCAGCTGCCTCTGTCTTTCCGCTTCACTTAGACCAACAGCAGCAGCGTTAGCTCCTGTCGGACCATTGCTTCCTCCTCCTCCTCCACCTCCAGCACCACCAGATTTGTGTCCTCCTCTTTGTCCAGCGCCACCACTGGTACTCGGTGTGCCAGAGACAACGCCATTCAACCGCTCGACCTCCCTTTTCGCCCGTTCCTTTTCTCGCTCTTGCTGGTCCGCAGACCTGTGTAGATCGCGCAGGGAACGCTTGATGGCACCTTGATGCTTGGCGGTCGACTCGTGGTTTCTTTTCTCGAGAGGGGTGTCGCGGACGAATACGGAGCAGTGTTTGCACCAGTATTTGGGGGTTGATTTCCAGTATTCCGACATGGTCGAAAGATTACGATAATCAGACAGCGACTTGATGGACAGTGGGTTCTAGAGACTGAAGCGCAATGTTTGGGCTGGTGTTGGAGTAATCGATCGTCGTGCGAAGAAGGGGAGGCAGCTGCCACGAATGATTCCAGTGGCGCGTGTTATCGTAAATTTGAACAACGTGTCACGAGGGTTATTGCTCGCCTCGTTGAGTAATGTAGGAGTGGAGGCGTCGATCTTCGATGACGGCGATCTGTTGTGGTGAAGAAGTGAAAGGTTGTCTTCTGTTCCGCGCTGTATCGAAGGCTGACGCGACGGCGAGGATTCCATTGCAGTGCCAAGCAGCCTTGACGTTGACATCCACTGAAAATTGGGTGGGTCCTGCAACTCCAGTGAAGCCGGCAGGCAGCCTGGAGCTTGAGCTCTCGCTGGGCATGAACGCTGTGACCCAGTTGGTTCAGGGCTTCAAGGCCTACACAGCATGTCACCGCAGGGCAACTCAACACCACGCAATCGGACAATTCTCATGGACCAGAACTCGAGTATCATCACCAACGTCACTCGGCGTCACCAGATCGAGAAACGACAATGTTGGGCCCAAACCTGTTAAATGTGCTCGCTATGGCGCGCCTCCCTAATTCCATATACACCTGCGACTTCTAATTATGTATTACCCCTCCTCGGATTCAAACAGCAATCCCCAGGTCTAACCATCCGGATCCGTCCGTCACCGTCATTACTAACCACGACATCGCAACCATTGGTGTCACGCGTCTCCCTATCAAACATCCACTTCCTTCTTATACTCCGAAACTCAGAAACACAATAGTACCGTTGCCCAAATCCATGCAAAGCAATAACCATGTTGGTTGAAATCAATAAAGCACCCCCACATCAACACTGACTCATCAGTCAACCCTTAACCCAATGGCCAACTCTGCCAGGACGTGGTTCTGGTTAGAGGAACAGAAGACCACCGATAACACCCATGACCATACCCATGTATCCGGTGGTGCTAGACAGCCAGCGGCGGCCGGCATCGTTGGCGACCACGACGGTGGGTGGCTTGGAGTAAAAGCTGGCAATAACAACGCCGGGAGGAACAATGGTCGTCTGAGCTGGTGGGAATCCGGAAGCAGGAGTAGTCGTCAGAAAGATGTAGGGGATCGAGTTAGAGGGCGTGGGTTGCGAGTTGGGAGGATTCCCAGGTGTACCAGGAGCAGGGGGTGTCACTTGGATCTGACCATCGGCATATTCAGACACAGGTACCAGGTCCGTCAGTGGCGTGGGAAACTCAAATTCGGAACAGAGAGTCGGGTGTCCCTGGATTTGGCCTACATTGGCAATGTCAATTTCAGTACTTGACCGATTGTGAGTGGAAAGGGAGAGACAACGACATACCATCTCCGATCTGGCCAACCGAGCATAGCGGAACAGCTGCCGTGGTAACAACAGCCTTGCCCTCTCCATCACTCTGTGGGACAACCACTGTCGTGGGTAGGACTGTGGTACCGACAACGACCCCGTTGATGGCAGCGTCCTGGTGGCTGTCACCACAAGGGATCACCAAGATCTCTGCGGGACTGCACTGCTCAGCCCACCAGCGGTCATAGAGGTTTTGGAAATCACCAGAGCGGCACTGGTAGAAGACGGTGGTCCCACCGAATGCCAAAGAGCCGTTGTTGCACACCGAGAAGCCAGCTGTGTAGATGGCACCGGCCTGAGGAGGACCGTCAAACTGGAACTGGAAATTCGAAGCAATGTATCCGGTCCGACCGTGGGCGTCGGTCAACACACCATCCACAAGCTGGGAAACAAGAGTACCTTCGCCATGGCACTGGCGAGTTTGCTGTTGTACCAGGGTACTGTCAGCCGATGAACCTTGGTCACCTGGAGTCTAGACAGTCAGGGCTTACCTCGCTTCTCTTGGTCGGGTTGCCGAGCTCCAAGATTGAGATCTCGAACTTGCGATCGAAACTCGGGCCACATCCGGCGGGAGCCTTGGCTTCGGGGGCGATCTTCTCCGTGACACCCTGGGAAGCGGCGGGGACCACGCAGGCAAGCAGAGAGAGAACCTGATATTGCTTCATCATGTCGTGGTGGGCCGGCTCTTACTGGGGATTGCTCTTCACTGGATGATGGTGAAGGTATCCAGAAAACAGAAAGGCGAGAAGGGAAAGCGGCTAAGGAGATACCGTGGCGATGGCAGCAGTCCTGGATGGGGGAGAATGCGATGGAAAGTGTCTGGCAAAAGTGATGTTGGAGATGAGAATATCGTAAGCAAAAAGTAAAAAGTTCCTGAAGCTGATCTTGTACGAGACGGAGAAGAAGATCTGGGGGAACCGAGGGGATAGAAGGCCGGGTTTAAGTGGAAAACTTGAAGCCCGAGTCGACGTGCCTCTGGTTTGGCTTGTTCATTCCCGTGTATCGTTGGATTCGGATGTTGTTGCTTTTGTTCACCCGTCTTGTGGTTGGACTGGGCAACCACGGATGTCCTTGGGTACCCGGGAAGCCAATCTGCCAGGTATCACTCGTCAGACCTTCACTCTTTCCTGGGTCAATAACTCAATGGGTCCTTCCCGCCTGGGCCCGTTTCTCTGGTCATGGTGTTCGCGGACTACCTCCAGGCACCTTGATGGAGTTGCTAGGGGGCAGGAAGGAGAGGTGTCCGTGAATGACACATGCAAAGAAGACTGATGGCACCTCTAAAGTACTACGCTTGTGGTTTCCATTTGGGAGACGGAGATATGGACAAGGGTGGTTTGTTGACTCGCGAGACTCAGCGGGCCTTGGAAGGATCTGGACCATGTACTGTGGTACCTTCCTCGAACAACTCCAAACCCTTTGGACTCGGTGCTGTGACCGCCGTGCACCCACCGTTCGGCCTCAGCCGCGTGAGTTGCATATGTCCAAGGTGTCACTTGGTCGCGACTGGTTGGACAGACATGTCTTCCTCAATCGTCACTGCTTGACATCATGTGAAAAGACGAACTCCTGAACAACTTTACCAGCAAGTGAACAACAACAAAGCAGCTCTAACCGGCTGCGATGGTGACTGCCCACTAAATAGTGGCCTCCCCACTCATATGACAGTCGTAGCTACCCTTCGGGCAGGTCCCTCGTGAAGCACGACATCTGTGGCCCCACCTGAGAACCTCAAGTCAGTGGTAGAGGTAGTACCTGCCCCGTGCCCAAGTATCGGAGCAGCAGGGGCAAATCATGACACTCGATCCTGTTGCTTCGTGCGGCCGTACCTGCCTTTTACTAAACTAGAGGAATGCTAAGCAAGGGGCCGAGGCAAATTTCACCGATTGCTTTCCAACTTCTTGTCAGTGGTTGGGTCCGAGTTCGGCGCCGGCACATCGACGGGAGGTTCCGACACTCATCGCGCCTAGCGCACCAGATGCTCGCTCTGGCAACACCATGAAAAATACCAACACTAAGCGGATACATACCTACAACACTGGAAGTCAGGCACAGAGGAAAGCCCATTCGGCAATAACTTCTATGGATGCCTGCGTGCTAGGCACCCTAGTACTACATTTTCACTTTCCCCTCATCGCCTCCGAAAAGCATCTTCGATCCAAACGCTCTGAAGAAAAGGACGTGACTGTCATCAAATACACGGAGCAAGCTCGAGGCAAGCTCGTACGGGTCCAAGGTTTCTGTCCGTGTACACACCTGAAGGACGACACTTGAGGTTGTGCACCGTTACACGCATCTCAGCTTCTGCTAGTCGCAACACACCCTGCAGCTGTCATCATCATTCAAGACCTGATTGGAAAAGTGGTATCATTATCCCCTTGATCATGGTGGAAACAGGCCCGCTCATCTGGTGCTACACAACATGGCCCAACTTCTCCATCCTTGACCCCAAAATGGTTTCAGGGCCAAAGATGGATTCTTCTCCGTGTCACATAACCCCAGCTATGCACCTGCCAAAGATACAAGACATTCCGCGCGCATCAAAACCTGGACTCCTCACACAATTCATTGCCGGATATCTAAAATAAACATGAACCAAGACAACACGCCTCATGACTCCATAATGGCCAACCTCGCTCGCCATTTCTCCACACGAGTCGACCATCGCACAATCACCATGTCTCACACTCTCACTGTGGGTATGATGTCGGTTGTTGTTGATATCCTTGCGAGTGGCTGGGCATCTCGTGCGGGTTGGAGCTGTAAGACTGGGTGGTTTGAGGGTACTGGGCTGGGGTATGACCTTGGGCCGGGGTGTGACCTGGGGCCTCGGCATATTGCTGAGGAGGGTGGTGAGCCGGAGCATACTGAGCGGGAGCCTGCTGTACCGGATATTGCTGGTCGGGATGTGCGTATGGGTATGGCTGAGGGGATGGGGTCGAGATCGGGCCTGGTGCCGGAGACGTTGTTGGCGTTGGTTGATACTGCTCTACCGGCTGTTGTACGGGGACCTGCGACTGGTATGCCTGCTGATCGGTGTACTGCGGGTATGATTGAGGTGCAGGTCCTCCTTGTTGGACGCTGAGCATCGGTGTGTGCTGTGCGTTCATCTCGACGGCCCCAGGGCTGTGAGTAGTCTTAGGTCCCTTGTTGACCTGGTAGTACAGACGGAACTTGTGCGCGTTGTAGGCAAAGGTCGCGACGAAGAGGAGCCTGGTCCCAACTCAAGTCAGCGACAATCATCCATCAGGGAACCCATTGCCTGAGACTCACATTTGAACGGCACTCAGACCGGCGATAGCAGACATCATGGCGAGGCCGCCCTTGCTAGCGACGGCACCTCGCTTCACAAGCTCACGCTTACTCACGATGCAGTGATGGGCGCTGATGCTGCTTCCATCATCATAACATCCTTCGACGTTAACATCAACTGTGAAGGTCGCCCTGTTCGCCGCATTCGCACCCATGGAGGCCAGCCAAAGGATGATCATGAAGAGATCCAGAGACAAGGTCGCCCAGATATTGTACGCTTTTCGAGCACTCAGGACCTTTTCGCTGACCAGGGACCAGATGCAGATGATCCAGGTAAATAGCGACTTCACAATACGTCAGTCAGTGACATCGAGGCCTTCGAAGGAGACATGACTTACACAAACGAGACCAAACGCGACAGCATCCATCAGATAACCATGGATGAGATAACCAGCCAACCCGGCAATTACCAGACCAAAGAAAATCTGGAATCCTCGCACAACGACATGCCAAATCGGTGTTTCGGTGGTCCATGGCTCCTCACTTCCTGGGGCGGCCTTGGGTGCTGACCAGGACTGCTTCCATTCTACGGATGTTGTAACAGTCGGTTGTTTCGGCTCGTACGAGGCCATTTTGAATCGGGGCTCTGCAATGTTGACAGAACAAATATTATGGCGAAATCCTTGAGACTCGGTATAAAAGAAATAAACAAGGAGCCGTGGTCCAGAAAAAAAAGAGCCGAGCCTGAAATTCTCAGACGCGGAGGGACTGACTTAAAAGAAAGTCGGCATGGCAAGAGTCTTCCAGACTGACTGCATCAAACTCAACCCAAAGTGGCACCGAATTCGAGGGGTATCACGCCCACAGGGAGTCGTCCTGCCGATCTCCTTCAGCCAACTTGGCTTCGGTAGGTTCTCTTGCATGGGACGAGGCAGAATCTGTGAACTCTGTAGCCAAGAAAAGACGCACGGCAAGCCACGAGGCCCCTGTTCGCATATTTCCTGGTCATTTGGACCCAATGAGAAGTCGGGGCTTGGTACACTATTGCTTCAGCCGCAACCCAGGCAAGGAAGCATCCTGCCCATTCATGCCGGTGGTTGTTGGTGGTGATACCCTGATATCGGGACCAACACTCACTTGCATAGGTACCTAGCCAGGACGTTGGGTCTCGAAGCTCACAAGCGCCAAAAAGTACGGACACCTTCAACGACGGCCGAGCCCTTTTGAATGAGGTGGCTGTTTTCTTCGTATTGCTCTCGTTCAATCAACGACGAGTCCAAGCGAGAACTCAAAGTCACCAGCTGAACTTTCATTCAGCGACCCTCGCGAATTCTTCATTCGAAGTCTTTTTTTGAACTTTTCGAGTTACAAGCTCACGGGAACCGATAAAGTTTCTGGTCCCTTGCTCTAGCTCGGCTAACTCATCCGTTCGATGACAATCTTTGTAAAATGCTGCTGTCGACAGACATCGTGACTATTGGCTTGGCGTTTCGCAGCCCATCCAAGAAAGGAAACGGTACGTACCAGGCTGTGTCACACATCATGGAATATCTTTTCCCTTCCTCATCACCGCCGTGGGAAAACACACAATGGGATTCTCTGATAGGTATCATATTCCATCTTGGTGTGTCCCCGCAAGACTCGTCACCCAACGCCTTGCTGAACACCTTCAGAGAGCTGACATACTTCAGATCAGACAGATACGTAACTATATCTATCCCAAGGACCTCAGCACATCTCTCGGGTCATCCCAGGGTTTTTCCATATTGCAGATTTACGATACACACTCGTTTCTGGCTCTTCCAGAAATTTGAGGACCAGGTACATAACCGGCACAAACTCTCTCCGCCCTGACGACCGATAACCTGAGAACATGGCATTGCTCTCGCCCAACCACTTCCCAAACGGGCTTGCTGTGCGAAAAACGCCAAGACTCGGGCCGTTGTGAGGTGGCTAAGATGACTTGGCGTTTATCAAGGGAAACTGGGGTGTTACATCGCGCAAAGCTTAACAGGTTTAACCACCGTGGCTAGGTCCTGCTTGGCGATTGGTTGAAGTCCAGTCATAACAACTCCTCACTCGTCGTTTGCGCTGTGGGTGAGTCGTTTTGAGTTGACGGGGTTGACCGCAAGCTCTGATGGAAAAGATGTCCAACTTGGCCGAGAAGCCTAGAGAGGATGCTATTGTACAGGCAAGAATCCGATCAAGTTCACTCAGCAAAGGAAAAGGCTGAAAGAGGTGCGTACATACACTTTTTATACCTATTTCTCGATTTCTTTGTTCAGCTCCCGTCGTGTTGGGGCCTCAAGCCGTTCGAGGGCTTTCCTCTCGCTTTGTTCCACATTCGTTCATTGCTCCAGGATGGCATCATCGCGCTCTTCCGATTCCTCATAAAGACTGATCCTTCGATGTTCTCGTTCGATACATGAGCGAAAAGCTCCCTTAATCAATCTTGAATGTTGCCACTGCCAACAATAGCGGGTTTCACCATCTCAAGGTCGCTGATAAAGATGATTGTTGAATCAACTTGACACTCATGGTAACTGACGTGCTACTGAGAAACCCGTATGACACCTGACGGTGTAGCCGATCGTCTTCTGCGTACATCGTTAAGATGACTCGAAATTCGATGTTTGTATGTCCTGGTCAGCCGGGGAAGGAACACTTCAAGGACACTTCACTTGCATGAGCCCTGAGCTTTAGATTTTTTATGCTAAATAGCTGGCATTATTGTATTCATCCGCGAGACTATTAAAAGGCTTATTGCCGCGTATTCGAAGAATGAAACCTCCCGGGATCACTCGTCCGATCCGGGCCGCTCCCGTAGACCCACTCACGGGCTCTATGGGTCATTCAGATCCGGGCTCCGGGAAGAATGCCGGGTGCTGTGAGCAAAAGTTGCTCTTGACTCATTCCACCAGGTTGATGACACGGTATTTAATAGTTAAGGAGATAAGATCACAAGGTCGTCACCGGAAGCTTCGTTTCATTCTCCTTCCACATCACGTCTGCTGTCAGTCAATCCCAAACACCTCCAGCACGCCTTTCCAGAACTCCTATTCCCAACACATACACTAGTCAATTTCTTCTGCTTTTCCACCCGCCAAGTTCCCAACGCAAAGGGCCAAGAGAACGCCAGCCATCCATCTCCCCTCATCCCTCCATCTCCCCTCATCCCTCCATCTCCCCTCATCCCTCCCTCCGCAGCCTACCTACCAGACACCACGGCAAATGGTGACACCTACCTCTACCACCAAGGACAACCAACCCTATACCCCTTCAATCCCTTCTCCCCATCAGAGAAACATCCCCCAACACCCATCACCACTCCCAGATCTGTACATCCCTGCTTCGTATAAATCGTCACTACACATCATGTGTATCATCAGTATCATCATTTAAAAGTTAGCAACTCATCCCTCCCGTCCTCAAGCTCAAGCTCAAACAAAACTGAACAAACAAAACAAACTACCACACAATGACAAAGACAAAAATAATGACATACCCCGACACTTAGCATCCAAATATCCAACACTAACAGACAGGTTATCATACAAACCCATACAATCCCCCGATGCTTGCGAGCGAGAGAGGGAGTACCCCGTTGACCAGCCTGTTTCGTTACAATTCGGGTCGGCGAAGGAGTGGAAGGTTGTTATTATTGGGTCTGTTGATTCATGGATTTCGATGGCGATGGCGATGACTGTGGGTAGGGCGAGGAGCACGAGGGTGAGTGTTGGAATTTTTATAGTTGGGTAATGAATCAGATGTGGTGTGCTGTGGAATTGGGGTTATCGGGTTTTTGGCGGTGTTGTGCCGGAGGTGTGAGATGGTGAGACGGCGAGACGGTGAGACGTTTCGGTGAGTTGTTGTGGTTTGGAGGTGTGGTGTGACGGCACGAACGGAGGAACGGAGCGTGACGGGAAGGACCGGAATGGTGGGTGGGTAGGGGGATGCTACACCCCTTATATCCTGTAGGACAACAGAGTTGTGTTGCATGCATGTTGTGTCTGGCGTGGCGGTGTCATCAAGCCTCCCTCCATTCCTCCTTGGTCCTCGTGCTTCGCCGAGGCATCAAAAGCAATGTGTAAGTTTCATTTTCACGTTAACGCGTCGTTGATAAACTACTGTAATGTCTCCGTATGTTCACAAGTTGATGATCAGAAAAGTTCAGAGCGCGAGATTATGATAGGGAAAATCAATGCCCTCGAAAGCTGTCTATTTGTTTTGATGATAATCATCACAGTGCTCTCTTTGAGAAACTTCCTGTTGACGCCGAAATGTAGTAGAAAAGGCCTTCCGAGCGATAACCCAACACAGATTTGACCCTTTTGATAATCTGACAGGCGAAAGATGAAGAAATAATGATGTGTCTGGTGTCATGGAGTGTTTGCAGTGCCGGTATCGCCGTCCTAAGTCCTTCTTTGATTGCCTGCCACTTGTTGATTACAGAAGACTGAGTGGCTTAGTCAAGTTGGCAACAATTTATACGAAGCCTCGTATGGAATACTAGTCCATCTTCCATCGGGCTTCCTTCGCGTCGTCGACTTATTGCTGCAAAGCGATGATCGCGTAGTACTTCAGTGCATATGGCAGAGGCCTATGTGGGATCATCTCCAGGTCGAACAATCGTACCATACCATTTCATAGAGTCGGCCGTTACACCGAAGATGCTCTTTGGTCCCTCATCTGCTACATGCGACGCTTAGTTTTTGAGGCGGAACGGGTGACCATTGGGTAATTTGCTTTCGGTCCCGGCCACTTGTGCGGAGTCTTTGGACTCCTGGGCGACCTGGTCCTCTGTTGATCCTCGACTCTGGTGCTAGCAGACGGGACCGTGGTAGAACTGATGGCGTTGGTATGCTTGGGCTTTGCAACCGAGGGGCAGGGCCCAACCAAGTCAGACACGAGGCTGGACGCCTAGTCCTCCACCTCCATGCCCTCTTCGGGGGGTCTCCTTCTCCTCGTCGCCCAAGGTCATGTCCAATATCCTGGCGTATTGCACAGTCAACCGGTGGAGATCGCGGAATTTACCTATCGTTATCGAGTTAGAACAGTCATGCATAACACTCGTCGGAAGGAAGTAGCACTGGTAGACTCACCCAAAATAAGGACAACACCTTGTAGGAGGTCCTTACGGTCCCACCCGCAAAGCTTGTCCTGTTTGCTAAACCATCCCTCTCCATCATCTGCGTCTCGCAAAACCCCTCCAATCAAGCTATTCAGCAGCTCCTCAACCTTTGTCTTCTGATTTTCGGCTCCAATCCTTTTGGCGTACATGAACAGGTAGAGTCTAAACTCTTCCCGTGCGCCCAAGGCCAGAGCGCCCGCAATGCGGTTCTCAAGGTGAGCAATGCTGACACTGCTCTCGAAATTCTCAAATCCGTCTCTTGCCAGTAGGGCCTTGACGAGGCGCTGAAGTGTATAGGCCCGTCCCTTAAGCAAGAACTCAGTCGTGGTATGACGTTCGAGGTATGGGATGATTCCGGCTGACACGTTGGCTTCCCCTTCCCGTTCTTGGCCCCGGAAAAACTGGGCCCACGGCTGTTGTCTGTAGCGCGCTGACCGAGGAGTCGTTGCTGTTCCAGTACTGACTGCCCACGGCCCACCAAGATTCCGATAGCCGTTTCCACGCATACAAGCTCGTTGAGTAGTAAAAGCCGTCTCCGTTATTCAAGGTCACAACAATAACACCAGAACTGTTCAGATGAGCAGACGTCACACCAGGCGCTGAAGTTGCGCCGTGTGGCGACAACGAGGTCGTTGCAATGTCGAGGATGGGGGCTAGAGAAACAGGTGGGTGAGGCGACGACATCGTCTTGATATTGTAGACATGGCATAAGCCAACCGCTGTAACGCATAGCAACCACGAATCTCTCGCTTCGAGGATGACGGGCTGTGACTCCAACATGATGGCATTCATAAGCCTCCGTCCAGCTGGTGACCACGTGTGGAGTGTGCCGTCCTCACACGCCGCAGCCCAGAAATGCTTGCTGCCAGCGACCAATATAATAGCACGGGGTAAGAAATCCTGCCATAGCAAGGCGCCACGTTTGGTGGCTTTATGCGTGCGGGTTCGCGGACATGTGCAGGATTCTTCGCCTCCAGAACCACGTTCTCGGGTACCTTTGTTGCGTCTTCCAAGTTGGTCTCCTCTTGTAGAACGCCCCTCTCAAGCGGCCGAAGAATGTGTGATCGAATCTTAGGGACAGCCAGTCTGACCTGTGAGTAGGCAATATTGGGGCTAATGACGGCTGGTCGAAGGTATTCGGGCGTAGGCACAAGACCGTGAGCGGGTGCTGAAAGAGGCGCCGGCTCTAGGCCATCAACCCCATTTATTACAATAGGGACGGGACCAGTAGCTGAGCGTTTGGCAGAAGGCTCATCCTCCTCCTCTCCCTCCACAACCACCGCTTTTCTCTTGTTTCCTAGTAGCATTGCCGCAATGCCACCGCGAGGTAGACCGTCATATGGCTTCGAGAGATCCAATATCGTTTGCGGGGTGTCGCTCTGAACCGGTTTTGTCGAGCTTGCACCAACCAGCTGTGCCTGCGGTAAGGATGACAAGCCTGTTCCGGATGACGAAACAAGCAAAGGAGCTACCCTCTTCTTGCCGTCTTTCGTGATCGTAACACGCGACTTCAGCTCGGCAATCCGCTCGGCGGTCTTGTCGGCGCTCTCCTCCTCAGGCTTTTCTGGAGGAGCCGGGGTTGCTGTGCCGTTTGTATCGACAGTCTTTGCTGCCGGTTTGACGCCATTGGTTGTAGTGGCTGGGGGTTCCTTTTGCACAGGCCCTGTATCCCCCATCAGGGCACCCATTCTTGATTCAGCTCCTCGCAACTCTTTCTCCTTGCTGTGGTTCTCAAGATGAAGACCATCGACGTCTTCGGCGGTCCCCATCCCCTTTCTGGAGCTGCCATACTTTTGTAGGGCTTTGTCGTTTTCTTCTGACTTTGCTACCCATCCAAGCTCTCCAGTCTCAAACTGGGCAGCAATTACACCACCATCCAGGCTAGCAGCGAAGACTGTCTGACCATCTGGGGTCCAAGCGAGATCGGAGACTGATTTAGACGCTATGTCCTGGATTATCAGGACTGGTCGAGAGGTGTTCGTGTTCCAGATGGTGAGAGTTTTATCCTGTCCAGCGGACGCAATGACCGTGACCAAGCTAGGGGCGGCAGCGCCATTTGCGTTTGAGTTTTCGTCTGGTTGTTGTGTGTAGAACAAGCGAGGTGAAAACATGCAGACCTCAGTAGGGGCTTCATGTCCGATTAGGTTGATTTCGCTGTCCCAGCCGGTACGCTCGATGATGGCTATACTACTAACGGGTCCGTTGACAGCATTAGCCGCAGCAATGTGGTTGCCGTCGGGGGACCAGCTACATCTCCGAAAGTATGTCGTCAGCGGCGAGTGCTTAAACGGCACGCTAATCGAGGTTTCCAGGATAAAGTTGTTGACCATGTCGTGCTGAGTCGCGTTCGGCGCTGGCGCGGTATAGCGGAAGATCTTGATAGTTCTGTCATCGCTCGCTGTCGCAAAGAACTTGTTGGCCGGATCAAACGTAATGCCCTTGACGTGACTCTGATGTACCGCCAGCGTCTTGAGCTTCTCAAAGGTGTGCCCTGACCACACAACAATCTTGGAATCGAGGCCAACAGAAACGAGGAGAGAGTTGTCGGGGGACCAGGCGAGGTCTTGCACATCGTTGTCGTGGCCAACTAGGCGCTTATATGTCTTCCAGTTTTCGACTGGGGGTGGTTCATTTGTACCTGAGAACCAAGTTAGCACCCTGTCTCTCTGTCCTCTACTGCTTAGCTGCCCCAACATGTATGTCCGTACCAAAGGTAGATGTGTGAGATGGCGGGTTGCTGTCGAGATGGTAGATGCAGATGATCTTGTCGTCGGCGCCGGAAGCGAGATAGCGGCCGTTGGGTGAGAATCGGACGGAATGGATAGTTCCGAGGTGATGGCTCATGTGGCAGAGCTGCCGGGGTTTCGTGTAGTTTCTGTCATGGGAGTTGAAGATGGCCTCGACGGACCAGACACGGACATGGCCATCTCCGCCGGCGGTAGCTAGTCTCTTGCCGTCGGGAGAGACGTGGCAGCTGTAAACTTCGAAGTCCTTTTGCTCGCCTAAAAATCATGACCAGATAACAGTTAGCTGGGGATTCGACCATGATCAAAAACATATAACATTGTTGTTGTGCTGGGTTCGCGACATCATGGGTTTGAGGCGTGCTCGGAAGGTGACAGGGCAAAGGACAGACGCACCACTATGGCTTAGCCATGAAGGTTTGATAAGATGCATATTTGAATTGGGTCTGTCAATGGATATGGCGTATTCATGTCGGGTTGCGACGCCGTCAGTCCTGGGAAGTTGTCCGGGTCAAGACAACAACGGCCGGCCAACTTTTTGGAGATGGTAGGGGAAATGGAGGAATGGAGGGATTGGGATGCGCGACGAACGATGGATTGCGCCGCGTCAGTCGGCCTGTTCTCCGCCCGGGGGGTGTTGTTACGTTGTTCTAGCCTCTGGAAGCACCTAATTGGTACTTGGGGGTTGTGGTGGTGGGACTTTTTCAACCCCCTACTCATTATAAGAGGGGGTTGACGAAAGAGTCCCAGCCGTACCACAACCCCCAAGTAGGAACGATAGGGCACAGAGACACTGCTGTGATGCTGTTGTTTTGACGCCCAGCAAGAGCCTTCCTCTTGGGAGCTTGGATTGATCCCCGGCTCTGTGAGATATTGAGGTCTTGGCAGGCCCAGCAGCATTGCAGTCAGCCGGGGATCCCATGGCGCTATTGCCCCCGGCATCTGCGTAATGGCGGGTTTGCCTGCCCTGAGGTGGGGGGATGCAGCGATGGCCTGTGGGCTGTTTCCTTCCATCAACCTTCTGTCAGAACTTCTTTGGACTTTCCTCATTCGTTTAACTTTGGACAAACCATCACAACGAAGTGCTCGACGGCCTTGGTTGCTTTCACCTTTCCTTCTGGTCTCTCATTTTTGAACTTTGACTTCATATCGGCATGTTGAGCTGAATTTCACAGTATCAATCACGAACGCCTTGATTCCAGACCATCACCATCACCATCACCATCACCATCACCATCACCATCACCATCACCATCACCATCACCATCACCATCACCATCACCATCACCATCACCATCACCATCTCCGTTCAGACATCGGTAGTACACACAGCAGCACCCTCTACCGTTCCACGGCGCAGATCTCAGGCTGTGACCTGCTGTCGCCAGGAACAAAACAGCAAACCGGAGATGTCCCTATGACCTCTTCCAGGCTCTGAACATGGCTTTGTCCCACGATCTCATCGTCACTCAGACGCGATATGGCCAGACACCCACGAGAAAGTTCGATAACACGTTCGGTATTTGCGCTTTCATACACACAGCAAGAGACACCAACAGACAGACATAGACCAAACAAAAGACAGAATAACCCAACATCCGGATTGCACGATTCACAAACTCCAAATATCAACCGGCAGAGATATCCAACCAAAGAAATACATGACAAGTGACGATAGACATGGGCCAAGCTCCTCTCGCCTTCCGTCTCTCGGGCGCGAAGAGAAGGCAGAGACGATCCGGGCAGTGATCCAATTTACTCGGCGGTGGCGGCAGGAGCAGCGGCAGGAGCAGCAGCAGCCTTCTTCTTGGGGGCAGCCTTGGCCTTGGGCTCCTTCAGTGACAATCTGTTAGCCAACGTGAATGATGGCGGTGGAGGATTTCGACGGTAGGCGGAGGATACATACCTTTGGCTCCACGGCAGCCTTCTCGGCCTTCTTGTCGGCCTTGTCGGCCGTCTTGCCAGCCTTCTTCTCAACCTTCTCCGCCACGGCCTTGACCTGTTGCTTGAGTTAACATCGGAGTGCCGCACAGGACAGTAACTATGCACACAGCCAGCCCAATAGGACCGGCCATGAACCCATCATAAAATCCGGCAGGGGAAAATGCTTGCCTTCTTCGCAACAGTGCTCTCCTTCTTTGGGGCAGCCTTCTTGGTCACGCCCGTAGGCTTGGCACCCTTCGCGGGCGCAGCAGCCTTGGGCTCCTCAGCAGCGACGGGCTTGGGCTTAGTAGTCCTCTTGACCGCCGGCGCGGTGTCGACGACGGGGAAGACGCGCGGCTTGGAGTTGCCGGTTTGCGACCGAGTACCTTCGCGAGGCATGTTGTCGTGATTAAGGTATATATGGAAAACTATAAAAAAAAAAAGAGCAGACGTATGAGTATACTAGTAAGTATACTAGTACGGGCAAGAGAGAACGCGACTACGAGACACAGCAAGCGTCGGGCGCAAATGTGGTCGCGGATGAGATGTCGCGACACAGTCCCCCGCGCAAACCTTGCGCAAGCCACGACATGCGATGCGCCAGATGTCGCAAGTTGGCTTGGGGGGTTCTACTCACAGTTACAAATAATACAGCAAAAAATGCAGCAAAAAGCTTTTCGTGATGATACGATAGACAAAAGCTGTTTTCACAAAAAGGCCAGATGGTTTGAAGAGGGGGAAGAGGAGGAAAAGAGGGAAAGAAGAGAGGTGTCGTAAGGTATGTCGTCGCGGGTCGCAAACGAAAAACAACAATGGTACGGTAGGTCGGGCAGCGGGCACCACACACCAAAAACACACGAGGTTGGGGGCTCGAGCTCACCGGGCAGGACTATTGGACTCGTAGTAATAAACACCCACCGTTTTCTAATCAACCAGGGCTACGGACAATTCAAGCTCCTCCTTTCAGGTTTGGGTTCCTCGTTGCAACCGGCCGGCCAGAGCCAGAGCCAGAGCCAGGCGTGCCAGGAAAGGAGCTCCAACCGCGGGCCTCGAGCTTGGTTGGGGCGGATGCGGGCGCTGAGCCGTGCTGTGCTGCTGAAGGATCAAGAATGGAAGAGAGCTTATTTTTTTGCCGCTGATAAGGGGAACCCGTAACGCTAATAGCTCCTCACAGGAACGGTAGGACGTCTCACCAAGCACCTAGCCCGGGCCGCCGCTGACGGTAGACCAAGGCAGTGGGCCTAGGCTCTAAGTGGATGGTTCCAAATGACCTAAATAGTAAAAAAAAGCTACCTCACCACATGATGAGAAAGCCAGAACATTACCGCCCCTTTTGCTTTTCGACCGCGGACCGGCTTTTTTGACACGGCGACGAGGAAAGTTGCAGAAAACACGGGTGGTGAAACAATGTGTTGTTACCCCTCGATAGAAGGATGGCCAAAGCCAAGGCCTTGTTGAGATTCTCATGGTCGCCTGCCTGCCAGAGTTCTGTACACACTGACTGACCTGAAGCAAGAAAGAGCCTGAACAACCTACCGTAGGCGGCTGCCACGTTGTCAGCCCAAGACCAAGCCCGTGCCGTACACGTTCGACGGAATGCAGAATCCGGGGGCTTCTGAGCATGACGCTTACGTAGCCAGGGCAACCTGAGCTGTTCCGAAGACCGGCGGTCCTGTTTTGGGTTGACTCGGGAGAGGACAGGACCGTTGAGGACGCTCTCGGAAACAGCTGAGGCGATGGACATCTCCACATAAGATTGGTGATATGTTTGACCACAGGCATAGACAATGGAAGAAGATTATGTTGTTTTGACATGTCGATTTGAAAAGCACCATTTGATCTTTGTCTGCAACAAGGGAAAGCCCTGTCGGCCCGAACGCCCGTTTCCCTTTGGTAGGTTCCCAAGCTGACGGATAGCCTGTCCTGTGTGCAGTGACGGTACGGGAGAGATCGAGACCGAACAACGGTAAGGACGGGACCCACAAACGTCTTTTTCTAGGGGTTCGTCGGTCAGTGAACCCCACGTGCATGGGCTCTGGGGTTAGTGCTCGGGTACTTAGGTGAGGGTTGAAAGCTATTCAGACATCTGGGTTGTAGGCATTATGTGAGCTTGCTTTTACGGATGAATGGAGTTACAAATGAAGCTATATCAGTGAACGCGCTGATTATGCTACCCCAAGCTGTAGAAGATATACCCATAATAAACTTTGCTCACCTCTACATCGAGAACTTTCAACTTGCCCATGAGAAACTCACAGAGAGTCGAAGCATGATGCAACAAGTTTAACGATGAAAGAACATAGAAGCCGCGATCACTGGCAGGCAGGCATGATCGTGCAAGTGGAAGTAAGTACCAGGACGGTGTACTGTGTAAATCATCCACGGCGGATACAGTGGAAGGAACCCACCCTTCAGGGGCAGCAACTGCAGGGTCCAATAGCGGGGCAGGGCAGCTATAGCGGAATGTCCCTGTATGTAAACATCGAGTTGAATGTTTCTTCCCAAACAACGTCACTCGATCATAAATAAATGCTAGGACTGCCAGTCATGCTGCATTTCTCGCAGAATCTACTATTATAAACAGCTGAAATTGAATGGATGTTATTCACGATTTTCTCGCAGGGTTTCACGATGTGCAGCTGGCCGCCTTATACGTACGACAGGATACCTCCTTCCTCACTTCCTGCCCCCGGGTCCGAAATCATCGCAGTACTACTCACAACTGAGGCAGGTGTAACTAGTGTTGAAGAATACCGGTACTAAACGTGATCCTCTGTGTTCGTAATGAGAGGCAGGTGTCTGAAATGGAAACCATGTTTGAGGAAACGCGAACTGTTCGACTTTCTACAACGGCGGCATCTGTTCCAGGTTTCCATCTCATCACTTCCCCCTTCACTTCAAGTTCATACCTTCCATTCATCCTTTGAAAGACACTCCAGCTTGACAGGAAAGTGAAGGAGACGTCAGACCACGGAAAATAATACACAACCTGTTCAGAAGCCCACCTTTGTCGTTATTTTGTTCTTCCGTTGATCTTTCATCATAATCCAGCAGAGTTCAGGTCAAAATCATGGTAACAAAAACCAGCCGACGTCTACTGGCCCTCACAACGAGCTTCGTCCTCCTCTACCTCCTCTTCCCACATCTCTACTACTACGGCGATTACATCCGCCAAACGAACCCCTTCTCCGGCCAACGCTCCATCGAACAAGCCTTCACACCCACCGACTCCGAGCTCGCCTGTCTCCGCGGCGGCCACGGCCACGGTCACCATGTCCTCCCGAATACCAGCGACCTAAAAGACGACAACGCTCATCCAGCCCACCACTCCCCTACGTCCATCTCCTCCTCCTCCTCCTCCTCCTTCATCTCCTCCTCCTCCTCCTCCTCCTACAACCTCCGGACCAATCCCAAACATTGTAGTCCACTTCATCTACGGCCTCTCCAACCCTCACTCGGACCCTCAGCAGGCCACTTCGACTTCCTGTCCTACCTAGCCGTGCGCGCCGCTCTCGTCTCTCTGCAACCGACCGAGCTGAAGCTGCACTACACTTACCTCTCGTCTCCGCCTTCGCCTGATCCGAACGCTCAGGATCCGCTTTCGAACCCGTGGATCCGGAGACTGACGCAGAGATGGCCGGGGAAGTTTAAGCTTGTCCATCACCCGCCACCACCAGAAACGGAAAGCAAAGCGCAGTATGCTCACAAGTCCGACACTTTACGGTTACAAATTCTGCTGGAAGAAGGTGGAATCTATCTGGACATCGACGTCTTTGCCTTTCGCTCTTTTGCTCCTCTGTTATCTCGAGGACCGACACAAGGTCGAGACACCATCTTGGGATACGAAGGCGGCAACAGATGGGGTCTTTGCAACGCGGTTATTGTTGCCCGGCGGCCCAACGCGACGTTTATCAGACGGTGGTTGGATACCTACCTGGACGAAAATGTGGATTTGGAGAAGGAGGCGTGGAATTATCGGAGTGTTTTGTTGCCGAAGGAACTAATGGCTGTTGAACAACACCATTTTCATCTTGATGAAAAGGGTGATGATGGGGCAGGTGTTGGGAAGGAGGAAGGAAAAGAAGGAAAAGGAAAAGACCAAAAAGGAGATGATGTCTGCGCCCTACCCCCGACGCCTTCTTTTGGCCCACATGGACTTGGAGACACGTCGAGTGGATGCATACCCCCTTGAAGACGGAGGAGGAGAAGGAGTATTGGGAAGCACAGATTGCGAGGAATGGAGGAGGATTGTTTGAGAATCAGTTGGCGTATCACGCTTGGGGACAGATGGCGTGGGATAGGCATTTGAAGTGGTTGACGCCTGAGGTGATTAGGAAGAAGGATACGAGGTTTAATTTGTTGGTGAGGAGGTATTTGGAGGATGATTTGTGAAGAGGAGGGGTGTAACTCGGGCATGCTCTGGGTGTATAACAAGATTTGGTTCGGGCGTTATGGTTAGATTAACATTACATTCGGCGTTTAGGGTCTGTTGAGGTTAGGAAAGATTGGGGCTCAAAAAAGGACGGGAATCAAAGAAGTTCACGGTTATAGAATGCTGTCGGTACCATATGTTACTTTCATGATATGCTCGTGCATTTCATAGGAGGAAGTGAAGCCAGGAAATGCTACAAGCTATGATATACCATTCCTCCAAACGCCAGCCCAATGCTAAGTCAACCCATGTGCCTCCTCCCTATACTCATCTGCCTGGACAGACAAGGTTCTAGCTTCATGTTCTCATATCTCTCAAAACGTTACGAGAACCAGCTGCAAACAAACTCTACCATGCTCAAACGCCTGGCTGTATTAGGTTTTTTGAGCTTATCCGTGCAATATGCTGGAAAATTCCGAGTCCTGCTCCCATCACACTCGCATCGACAGCCAATGCCACCTTCGCGCTCGGGGTAAAATGGACCAATGGGAAGTAGCTTTGAGTGCAGCAGTTGACCATCTGGTGCGTTAGCCGGACATTGATAGAACCAATCGTGGCGGTAACCAAAGTCCTCGAAATGGTGGACTTTGTGGGAGGGAAGAAGCATGTGCAAAGCGAGAGAATGGACGGCTGCGTCACCCCACTGGAACAAGACGGACGGATGGAGGTGTTAGCAACTCGGTCTGAAGAACGATACCCTATGCCAAAAAGAGAAAAGAACAAGAACGTACCCGCTCATAGTAAAACCCCCCAGTCTTGTCCAAGTACTCGAACAACCGCTGATACTCCTTGCCCCGAAAGAAGTCCAGGTTGGCAATCTCAAAGTTGGACCAGTAGTGGCACAAGCTCCACCCGTCACCGAAGCGGTCGCGGTGTCCGAACCAGCTCATGAACGAGCGAAGTGGCCATGGCATCCACGAAGCAGCTACCGTTGCCTTCCACAGCTCGGTTGTCAGGATGTTGTTTGACTCCTTGTAGTCGGCCATCTTGCGGAAGAGGCTCGGGCACGTCCGGGGCTCCTCTGGCAGAGCGATAGTGAAGCCGTACACCTTGTCGTGTTTGGTCATTTCGACAAAGGGGTCGTAGGTGATGGAGCAGTAGAAGTTGACGTCTGGTTCGATTCGCCAGTACCATTTGTAGGCTTTGAGGGCTTCGAGGGTGTAGAATTTGCTGCGAGACAGAACAAAAGGAAGGTTAGAATCTAACACGTAGAGACATGCGGACGAGTACGATGGACTCACCCAGAGTAAAACCGACACATATGATGATAAGTCTCCAACCCAGCATACAAGATCCCCGCTGCCCCCTGCGCCTTGATTGCCGCCTTCGCATCCGTCACGTCCATCCACTCGGGGAACAGCCAGTCCTTCTTCGGCACGAGCTCGAACCTTGCTTCTCCGCTCACAGTCGTGTTCATCACGCTGATGAACTCCTCGGTGAACGGCTCGTCGTTCAGAAACACAATTGGGTAGTGATACCACTGGTTGAAATGTTTCTCTATGCTCTGGATCGTCTTGAGCGCCTTCATCAGCTCCTGGTTGCGCACCAGCATCACCATCGCCGCCTTCTCGCGCGGCTGTTCAATGGCTGGTTCTTGACATGATGTGTAGAAGGGCTCGTCGAGCTCGTGATCGGGTTGTCGGACGGCCCAATTTTGGGTGTGGAGGAAGACTTCAAGAATGGCGGTTGCTAGGACGAGGAGAAGCGCAAGTCGCGTGTGGCGGCTGAGGGTGAGGCGCGGTAGGCCTGAGGGGTAGAGTCGTAGTGAAGATCGTAATCGGACCATTGTCGATGGTTGTGGAAGGGTAGGCGGGCCAGAGTCCTGCTCTGGGTGCCCGCGAGGTTGGGAAGTTGAGAGTGTCGAGGTCCGTGTGTCGGAAGTGAATGGAACCCAGGCCGCGCTAGGGGATGCGACGAAGGTTGAGGTTCGGCGGTAATTGCGGTTACTACCTGAGCATCCTCCTAAGGAATAAGGATGCTAGCGGCCCGGTCATTTCAAGAACCTGGAGGAGAGGTAGGAGAATACTAGTCAGAAGAGTTTTGTGGTGAATGTTGGGATTGTTGACGGATGTTTGGATAGGATTCAATAAAAGCGTTTCTCGTCAGGCGACTTACGACACAGCGTAATATTCGTTACCCGGTTTTTGTACGAGGGGAGGGATCCATGCATCCAGCCGACGATGTAAGTGCGGGCATCCAAGCATCCCGTCTGGATGTGGTACAGACCTGGATCCCCATCATTAGCTGGGCGTGTTCAACCCGTAAAAGGAACGTTCACGGTGACTGTCTCTTGCACTTGCCGCTTTTCTTCTGCCTTAAGATGGTGCGGGAATGTGCAACCCTCGAGACTGCCTCTGCGTTTCTTCCCGTCAACACTGCAATTTTCTTCCTTTTTACTCCCACATCGTCGGGCTCACTACCACGCAGAGATCTTGTACAACCAAGGAAGCCATCGAGAGCTTCTGAGCAATCTTGAATTCATTCCCCTTTCCTTACCAGCATTTCGAAAATTTACCTTCAAGCATCATCCAATCTGGCAGTGAAGTGAAAGGGGTGCATATTACCAGTTTCGAACGGCAAGATTCAAGTTACCCTTTTGCTTACGTCGATGCACTTCTCAGCGAGTATTGTTTCCTCTCCTCCACTAAGTATTGCTACAAGTAAAGATAGATATCGGACACATTTACCCGTTGGGCACACGCAGACGATACATGACCTCAGTCGATGATCATACAAAAATAGAAGGATTGATTGAACCAAAACAAAAAAAAAAGGGTGCAAAAGGTGCAAAAAAGTTGGGATCAAAGGAACTCGCCCCTGAATCGAACGCGTGCAGACAGCAGCTTGAAGCCGATCCCAGCCGCCCAACACTGTAACCGTAGGACCATTCGACTATTCAGGAGAGCATACGTTCGCTAGTCCTCTGTGTGTTGGAAGTATGTGTGTTGGAAGTATGTGCGTTGGAAGTATGTGCGTTGGAAGTATGTGCGTTGGAAGTAATATATATACCCTCTGACACTGCTGCCTGTAGAAGGGAGGGGGAGGATTGGTTGTGCTGAAGGGTTATCAGGCAGCATGGGGGGCCGAGGGTGGGGATGAAAAGTTGGGATAGAAGGTTGACGAACGGGTGTCAGTTTGAGGCGTTGATGGAAGATGCGGAAAGATAAGGTACTGACAGGCCATAGGGGCTCGGCTCACGACTCGACGGGAGTCTCATACAACCCGCCGGGACTCCAACACATCATCTCCTCCCTTTCTCTCTCAGCTCCACATCGAACTGCGGAGATCAGAAAGCTTCTTGGGAAGGAGATCTGGGGCCAGACGACGGGGAAATGGCAAAACGCGAGCCTCATCTGTCAAGACGTGTTCCTTTGCGGCCTTGATAAGCAAGGGATAACATGCGCTCCGGCGTCATCAGTGATTAGGACCGAAAACATGAACAACTGGGCCAATACTGAGATGCTATCGAGGTGAGAAGTCAAGGCTCAAGGCTTACCAGGCTTAGGTATTCCTTCTCGACGACAAAAGATCGTATGTCGGGTGCTGGTTCCATTGGTCGAAGACGAGATAAGTCGATGCTTTCTTTCGGACAATGTTCAACGATGAAGAATCCGGTGATTTGCATGACAAATATACTCCGCGGGACTTCTATTTAACATCAACAATGAAAAAAAGTGGTGAAAGGTCAATGGATAAATACAACAGATGTAGATGACTTGCCTCGTGACTTACATATGTCGTTTGTTGACATCAGGGGGCAGCAGGGGTTAGGGATATCGATACGTTCGGCTTGATCTGAAGGATCGGCCCGAGTGCCTTGGGTCCCACTAACCGAAAGCCCAGGCCTTTCCTGGCGTTGTAGTGAGTCATTTGCATCAATAATACCCTACTTGGAGTTAGCTGTGTAGTGATAACGACACCAGACGTGGCAGGCACTACAACCAGACACTCAAGACACTCTTATCTCTATGACTCTTCCATACGGTGAAGATAAATAGAGAGAGCATCCCGTGAGTAGAATGAAACGTCGTACAACCCAAACATATCGGAGCCCAACATTGACTGTTTTCGTTTTCAAGCAAACCCAAGTAGGCGAGAACGCTACCAAAACAAAACACAAGATGACACCCAAGGACCAGATACGCACATGGACCCGTGAGGTCGGCAACGCCATCTACATATACTCGACCGACCCAAGCCTAGTTGACCTCGCCGCCCTCAACGCAGCTCTGGCTTCCGACACTGTCTGGTGGGGGCGAGGCATGCCAGAGGAATCGTTGAAGCGGATGGTAGAGCATTCGTACAACTTTGGATTATATGTCACAGAGAAGAAGGAGGGGGACAACGAGAAGGAACAAGGTAAGAAAATTTCAGGAAAACACACACACACACACACGCATCCACATACATAAACATGCATCACAAAACTTCATGCTAACATCAATGTCAAGCAGACAAAAACACAAAGCAACAACAGCAGCAAATGGTCGGTTTCGCCCGTCTAATCACCGACTACGTAACCTTCGGGTACATAACCGACGTCTACGTCTTGCCAGAGTACCAAGGCAAAGGGCTGGGCGCCTGGATGATGGAGTGTCTCAACGAAGTGCTGGAGCAGTGGCCCGAGCTGCGGAGGGCCGTATTGTTCACGGGCGATGCTTACGCCGCGAAGCTGTACGAGAGGACTTTGGGGATGAGGGATACGAGGGAGAATGGCGGGAAACTGATGGTTATGCAGAGGACGGGGCCGGCCGCTGCGACGCAGGTTGGGGGCAAGAAGGATTAGACGGGGAGAGAGGTACGGGCAAGTAGGGAGATATGGAAAGAGACGGTGGTCTGCATGGATGGTGGTATCAGAAATGAGGAACGAACAAGTTGGTAGGCACGTGTTAATTGGTCATTGGGAATCTTTTTTTAAACGAAAAAAAAACAACGAAAACCAATTTCAAGCCTTGGCTGTTGGTGTTCCCGTCTTCTTGTATGCTCCGCCATTTTGCCTCCTCAGCTCAATGGCACGCTTGTAAGGGGGGCGCCGTGGGCGGCTGGACAGGGTCGAGCGAGACGTGATCATCTGGGAGTTTGTATGACGCGTCCGAGTCGAAAGCGGACAAATCGCCACAGGCAACGAAGGGGGCGACCCATCGAATATCCTTCAGTGGCTCGTTGGTGAGGTCCTCCACTTCGACGTCGTAGATGCCATCTTTATCTGCCGGTGTCTGGGTGGTACCTTCTGTTGTCTGTTCCTTCTCCTTGGCTTGCTTCTCGGCGAGCATCTCGGCGAGCTTGTTACCGACGCCGAGAGGCTCCTCAAGGTTGGCTGTGAAACCCTCGGGAGGCTGGAAGTTGATGCAGACGATGAAGGCCTCGACACTGCTGGCGCGCGAAGAGCGGGGCTTGGCGACGTAGACCTTCTCGAAGAAGACCTTCAGCTGGGCGTAAAGGAGGTCGACGTTGCGGCCGCGGAAGATCTTGGCGACGAACTTGCCGCCGGGCTTAAGGACGCAGAGGGCAAGGTTGAGGGCGGCGAAGAGGAGCTGCGACTGGACATAGATATCGAGGTCATGCAGACCCGTGACGTCGGGCGCACCATCGCTAATGACCAAGTCCACTGGGTGCGACGCTTGCTGGTTCATGGTGCTAGGATCGAAATCGGGGTCCAATGCCTTGAGCAAGAGAGGAACGGTGGCGGGATGTGTGATGTCGGCCCGGAGGGTGATAATCCCTGGCAGAGGGCTGATGGGCTGCAAATCGATCGACACAATCTTGACCTGTTCTCTGGGAGTAGGTTTGCTTTCCTGGGACTCTTCCACCTTTTTGGGCCTCCTCCTGGCCGTCTTGCCCCTCAGGGAAGATTTCAAACATCTTTTGCCGGAACTTGGCCTCACGGTCTTGCCAAGCACAACGACCGAACTTCTCTCCCTTGATGAGAACTCTTGATAGAACTTGAGACCAGGAACCGGGGGCAGCACAGAGATCGACCACACGAGTGACATTTTCAAACAAGTTGAACTCTGTTTTTTGAAGTATAGTGTCAGCGACAATTCACTAGTTGAGGAAATGTTAGCATCGTTTTACCTTCGTCTAGTTGAAGAAGCTTGAAGGCACTTCTGGCACGCCATCCTTGCTCCTTTGCAAGGCGGTAGTAGGCATCACGCTTGTCTTTTGATGATTTTCCCATTTTGAATCCTTCACAGTCTTGGGCCAAGCAATGAAGAGTGAGTGACAGGAGTGATTGAGTGGATGGATGAGCTTGTGAAAGAGACTGGGGGACGGGAGTTTAGGAAGATCAAAATGCCCCACTTCTGTGACAGGTCGCTGTCGCTCGACGCCGAATTGGATTTTGGCGACGAGGCGGTCCGTCTGCTGCAAATTGTCACCGCCAAAAAGATTCTGCCGGCATAATTACCGAGCACCCTGCCGGCTGTACAACTTGCACATCGAAAACGCGCAAATATTGATAGAAAATGTTCGGAAAAAGGAAACATCTGTAGGATTTAGACTTCCTTCAAGGTTTTTATCTCACTCAGTTTTAAACAGGAAAAGGTTTCCACACCCTATTCCGTCGGCGCCCTCTCACAGTTGACATCCAAAATAGGTAGGCGGTGGCATTTACAACAGCGGGGCTAACCTTATCCAGCTAGCGGCTGCTGCAACCTAGCTGCAGGGTGGAGCCAAAATTTCCATTTCACTTTTACAACTATTTTCACTGAGGAAAACACTCCTTCAAAGTTCATCAGTACAACCAACAACCTTTGAAACCCAACACCTTCTCCCACCCAAACTCGACGACATATACACACCATGGCCGTCGATAAGAAGCGCAAGAACACGAAAGCCCCCGCCAGCGGGCCAAAGCGTCGCAAGACGCAGCAACAATCCAAGCAGACTAAGCGACCCGTTTCGGTCGATGCGCTGGCATGGAAGACAGTCGACATTCCCGAAATGTTCGATGATGCCGAGGGTTTCTTTGGTCTGGAGGAAATTACCGGTGTCGATGTCGTAAAAGAGGGAGACGTTGTCAAGTTTGTAAGTCTTGTCACGCATGATGACCATGATGGGGCATGGATCAACTCACACATATCGACAGATGGCTGCTGTTCCCAAGTCAAAGGCGGAGGTAGAAGATGATGGCGAAGAGTTCGACGGTTTCGATGATGAAGAGACACCTAAACCTGCTAAGAATGCGGACCAGGAAGTCGAGGCATCAAATTCCAAGGCTGAGGCAGTGAAAACTCCAGCCAAGGAAAAGAAGGCCCCCAAGGACCAGACGAAGCCAAAGGAACAGCCGAAGGAGCAGCAAAAGCAGCAAAAGCCAAAGAAAGAACAGCCAAATAAGGCAGCGAACAAGAAGGCCTCCGAAGACAAGAAGAAGGCCCGCAAGAACGAGAAACCGACTGTCGAAGCGAAGGACCCCGAACTAGAAACCGACCTCTTCACCAAACTGGAGGAGCTTCCCGAGCCCGAGGAGGAGGAAGTCGATATGTCCGAATGGGTACCACTCGATTTGTCACCTCGGATGATCTCGTCGATCGCGAAACTGAAATTCACCAAGCCTACCCTTATTCAAGCCCAGGCCATTCCCCAGATCATGGCTGGTCACGACGTTATTGGAAAGGCATCCACTGGTTCGGGAAAGACGTTGGCCTTCGGAATTCCCCTCGTTGAAGCCTGGCTGAGCGCTGAGGAGACGAGAAAGCAGAACAAGGGGGAGAAGAATGGCGCCACAGCACTCATTTTGTCACCCACCAGAGAACTTGCGCAACAGATCAGAGACCATCTTCAAGCGCTCTGCAAGGGTCTTCCTACGGCGCCTTACATTTGCTCGGTTCTTGGTGGTATGGCTGTACAGAAGCAAAAGCGCCAGCTTGCGGTCGCCGATATCGTCATTGCTACTCCGGGCAGAATGTGGGAGGTTATGAGCTCGGACAACTCTGTGCTCGCTGCTCTAAGAAACATCTCCTTCCTCGTATTGGATGAAGCCGACAGACTCCTGAAGGACGGTTCCTTCAAAGAGGCTGAGGAAATTTTCAAGGCCCTTGACAGGCAAGCGGTGGAGGAGAACAACGAGGACCAGAAGATGGGCAATACTGATGAGGAGGGACAGGAACAGGAGGAAGAGCAAAGCGAGGAGGAGGAGGAGGAGGAGGAGGAGGAAGAAGAGCCTGTCAACAAGAGACAGACTCTCGTGTTTTCCGCCACATTCAACAAGAACTTGCAGCAAAAGTTGGCCGGAAAATCCAGGTTCAAGGCGACCAGCACCCAGGACATGGAGTACCTCCTTCAGAAGCTCAACTTCCGTGAGACCCCCAAGTTTGTCGACGCCAACCCCGTTCACCAGATGGCCGAGAACCTTAAGGAGGGTCTCATCATGTGCGGAGACATGGAGAAGGATCTCTACCTCTACGCCACTCTTATGCTCCAGCCCACACGGCGCGCGCTCGTGTTCACCAACTCGGTCAACTCGGTCCGTCGCCTGACTCCCCTCCTCGAGAACCTCAACCTCCCAGCCTTCCCTCTCCACTCCGGCATGATCCAGCAAGCCCGTCTCCGCTCCATCGACCGCTTCAAGGCCAACGAGGGCGCCAAGAAGAAGAACGGTTCTGCGGCTATCTTGGTCGCCACCGACGTCGCTGCCCGTGGTCTCGATATCCCCGAAGTCGACCTCGTCATCCACTACCACGTCCCCCGCGCCGCCGAGGACTACGTGCACCGCTCCGGTCGTACCGCGCGTGCTTCCAATTCGGGCACGAGCATCCTGCTCTGCGGCCCCAAGGAAGCCGTGCCGACACAGCGCCTCGTTGCCAAGGTGCACGCTCAAGCCGAGGTCAAGGCCGGCAACTCGGGCAACAACACCAAGAAGCTCGTGTCGAACGGTCTGCGCACCATCGACATTGACCGACGCATCGTCGCCAAGCTACGCGAGCGTGTCGACTTGGCCAAGAAGATTGCGGATGCGGTGCAGGCCAAGACCATGGGTGGAAAGGAGGACGACTGGATGAAGAAGGCGGCGGAGGATTTGGGTGTTGAGTATGACTCGGAAGAGCTTGAGAAGGCGGGCAAGTGGTCCGGCAAGGGCAGCTTCAAGAAGCAGAAGCAGAAGGAGGCACAGCAGATGAGCAAGGGAGAGCTGGCGTCGATGAGGGCTGCGTTGAGGGATCTCCTGAGCAAGAGGATCAACACGGGCGTCAGCGAGAGGTACCTCACTGGATTGGATGTCAGTGACTTGCTCAAGGGTGAGCAGGGGCTATTCTTGGGCAAGGTGGACGGCTTGGGTCTGGATGATTAGAGGGAAATGGGGCGTTGATAATTGCATGTTTGTTCTACGGTTAACCTTATCTCAAGCGCACATTTATGTCCTTGATTCGCAGTTGTCTAGAAGTAAAATGTCTTCCACACTTCTATCCCGGATCTGAAGAACGGTTAACATCTGAACTGTGCCACTAAGAGTTGAGGAATCCATGGATCCATCATGGTCTCCATCCCCCCATGGCCTAGATTCCCAGTGTTGTGGCCGGGAAAGTCCAGACCCGATGCGACGTTCCCGGTTTCGGTTTCATCATCCGGAGAACCTTCCGTTCCGCCGCTATGATGTTCTCCACTCGGCCCGTCGAAGGACTCCACACCGGGCAGCAGGGTCTGCGAACTTGTCTCTGCTTGTGCAGCGAACGTGACGGCCAAGATTTGGGCATTTGTTGGTCATTGTGCGTGTCTGAGTGGTCGGTTCTCATTGAGTGAACAAGAAAAACGTCACTCCCGCCCGCACCGTCCCGTCTGTTGCGTGGAATGGCCTCGTGGGGATTTCCATGACAGAGACATGGAAAACTGAAAAGAAAGTTGTTTGACAACCCACTGTATCCGGACACTCATTTGTACAGTATAGTAGTACAAAGTACCTAATCGCGCACCTCCAAAGAACTCTCCCGTGTTTCATCGATTGTCTCCCGTCTCACACACCTTTCCTTCAACGTTCCAACGGTTTGCGCCTCTGATTCGCCTTGAACAACTGGAACCACTTGCCCAACAGTTCATCCTCCTCTTTGTTCCTCACGATCGGTCATGTCATATCATTCAACATAACCTGACAGTGACAACAATAATACTCTGATCGCAAGACCAGTGTCGTCATTGGATTCCCCGACCCTTTTACCCGACGGTTTCCGAGATAAGCCAATCGCAGTTCGCTACCATTGATTTGGCCCATCGTCGCCCAATATCGACACAAGCGCAGCCGCATATCGGTGTTTGTGCAAAAGCACCCTTCCGACCACCTCTTTCGAAAGATAATTACGGCAGACGAAGCGCAATCTACATCTGAGGTCTGGAACGACGACTTAGGCCTTCTCTCTTGAACCTAATCCGAACGAAACACTGCGTCCTTCGAACTACCGATCGAGCGGACCAACGATCGAGCGAAAAAAAAACAAAAAAAACAAAAAAAAACAAACCTCATACCACCAGCTCGCCGCCATGGCTGGCAACGGTTCTCTAGCTAGTCTTGCTAGCCGAGTATCTTCCCTCGACCGGGTTCCCTCGACGCCATCGCTAAACGAAATCCAACGTCCTCGAAAACTTCGTCTTCTCATCGCCGCGAATGGCCCTCGAGATGTCGCCTACGCGCAAGCCATCGCGGTCCGCCTTTCAAAAGAACCACAGATAACAACACGAGCGATAGTCGACGACATGACACACCGATTAGCACAAGAGATTATGGTACACAAGAACAAAAGCTTGATGGCAGACAGCCCGGATGGTCTTACGGGCAAGGAAGTCGAAACATATCAGCAGCAAGCATACGAACTGGTGGAATGGGCCGACCTTCTCGTTATTGCGCCCATCGATGCGGACCACCTGGCGAGGATGATGTGCGGTATGGCGGATACGCTGTTGCTGGAGGTCTTGAGGGGCTGGGACGCCTCCAAGAGGATACTTCTTATACCTGGCATGACCACACACATGTGGGAGAACCCAATGACTAAAAGGCAGATCAGCAAGCTTCACCGGAAATGGAGCTGGATCAGGGTTCTGCCCCCCATTCTGTGGCACTACGACGACAGTCCGAACCCGAAACGGGTCGTGAAATGGGATGCGTTCAACGAAGTACTGGCCATCATCAAGAACCAGGCCGACCTGCTCAAGATCGGTCACACCGTCGAAGTATCCGTCCAGCAGGGGACATCCGCCGCAACAGGGAAGAAGGCCAGAAGCACACTACCACCAGAACTATGGAGTATGATCTTCGAATACACCAACGACTGGGAGCTAGCCACCTCCATGGGCGTCTTCACCACCATCCCCATGCCCGAAAGTGAAGGCTGGCGACTGCAGCCCAAAGATCCCAACGACCCTTTGCAGGTCTTCATGCACGAACTCGAATGGACGCTCCTGACAGCCAACACCAAAGCCATCTGCTCCAAGCTCTCGCAAGCGCCCGAGTCCTTCCAGGACCTCTCGGCCCTGGCCGTCCACCTAATATTCAAATTCGGCCTCACCGAAGTCCTCACCTACATCGAGTCCAACTTCCCGCACCTCTTCAAGTGTTTCGACGGCAAGACGATCCCGACCAAGGCCTCAGCCTACTACTACCGCACCGACATCCTCGAATGGTGGGCGCGCTCGCCTTCCTTTTTGGAAAAGCAGTACGACACGGAAGCGCTCAACCTGGCCTCGATGCGCGGCTGCATCCCCGTTCTCGAATGGTGGCGCCGCTCCGGCCTCCCCCTGAAATACACCGAGTCGGCCTTCGAGCTGGCCACCTCGCGCGGCCACCTCGACGTGCTCCAATGGTGGCGTGACGCCTCGCAGCGCGAACACCCGTCCCGCAACATCTGCCTCAAACCCGGCCGCTCGCTGCTCATGGCGGCGCAGTACGGCCACGTGGAAATCATGCGCTGGTGGCTCGAGCAGTCCGGGGTTCCCCTGGAGCACCAAGAGCAAGTATGCAAGATGGCGAGCAGATGGGGGCAGGTGAAGATTCTGGACTTGTGGCGCGAGCTGAGGGGCGACGACAAGATGCAGTTCGATAATCAGATCCTGATAGAGCCAACTTTCCATGCGCACATCCCCGTGCTGGAGTGGTGGCGACGGTACGCGCATGGGGAGCTGCCGGGGATGAACGGACGGAAGGGGAAAAGGGTGGAGTACAAGACGATGGATATCGAGGAGGCGCTGGAGGACTCGTTGGGCGATCAGACGAGGGTGAGGAGGTGGTGGGCGGAGAATGGGCTGAATCTGGGCTTGGGTACGAGTGAATGGATGAAGGTTAGGTATTTGTGACTTGAAGAAGAAAAAGAGGGGCATGGGAGTGGTGATGATGGGATGGGCCGCCGCCAAGGGTGGGAATGGGTGGAGGATGAGATATGGGATGGGCTGGCTACTACGGCCAGGGCTTGTGATAGGTAATGAATGCAGTTTGGATTATCGGGATGGTAGCAAATCTTATCATGGAAGGCGTTATGACGTTTTATGAATTACGGATTAGGCAAAACGGGATTTTCAATAGATGGATCTAAAAAAGGGAAATATATCAAATGGGTACAATGGGAATGAATTGACTTAATTTTGATGCCTGGTAGCATGAGTGGTGGAAATACAGTCAGTGACGGGATACAGAAATTTAAGACAGTTGGTTTGGAGGATGTTGGGAGCATAGAAAACCCTTAGCCACGTGTTAACTTTATAAAGGTATATTCCCGGAGCATTTCCAACAAGGAGTGATTGATCAGCCGCTTGCCCGGCTAGCTCAATCGGTAGAGCGTGAGACTCTTAAGGAGTTCCTCCGTAATCTCAAGGTTGTGGGTTCGACCCCCACGTCGGGCTCAATTCCCGATCGTTCCAATTCTTTTTTGCGCTTTTTTTCCCCTCCTACAAGAAATCCTGCTTTCCCTTTCTTTGCCCTCTTTTTTTATTATTAATGCTCTTCTTTTTCTTCCTGTCATTTTGCCTTCTCATTGTGTAATCGTAGTTGCATCATCATAACGTTTTCTTCATTCTTCCCAATAGTCAAGCCATCCCTCCTTTTTCCCGCACTTCCCTTATGGTACTTTTATGGCAAGAGACTGAGACCCATTAATAAGCCTGTTGCCATATTTTCCGTATGCCACCTCATAGGTACTATTGAAGGGTTGGCTTTCTCCGTAGTAAATATTGTCGATCATCAAGTCGTCCAAAGTCTTCACTTGGAACCATCACATCATGGCACCGCACTTGAGCAACTACTAGCACATGAAGTAGTGGGTAAACCTGGGCATCATTGAAATTTGGCTGGGTTGCTGGGTATCATTCGTCTAAGGACGTCAATCTGGCGCGCTTGTGCTTTGTTCTTCAGGTCCGATACTCCTCTCTTGTCGACTCTTCGTAGGCCGTTCGAGTAGATCACCGTGTAGTCTGGAATAACCTCACCTGCTGCAACGATGCTGTTGGCGGTTAGGGTGCAATGCTGTGAAAGTATCAATCAGTACGTCAGTCCTGTCCAAACCAGTCCAGTCTTATACAGCCACGACGAGTAGGTCCAGCAGCAGCAGCACATCACCAACGCCATGGATACCGTAGCCACTGTCGCGAGATCACTTGAGGATGTTGAGTCGATAAACTGAAAACTCACCTTCCCAACAACGGCCCCCGCCCCAACCCTTGTCCCAATGCCCACCGTAGTGCCCTCCCCAATGACAGTACCCCCGGACTCAACCTGCGCGCCCACTTCGACCGTCACGTAATCTCCCAGCGTCACCGCGCCCATCGATCGCCCATCTTTGTCCGGGCTCCCTTTGTGATACCTTCCCTGCAGATCGGCTGCCCCCAGGCAAGCGCGCTCGTGCACGATGCAGCGCCGTCCGACCGTGACGCGACCGCCCAAAGACTCAAGCCGGGCACGCGGATGAATCACGCTTTCGGTGCTGACAATGATGGTGTGTGGGCCCGTGAGAAGGGCGCTGTCGGCGACGGTGCAGGACGAGGAGAACTGCACGGGAGGCTTGGGGCCGGATTGGGAGACGGCGGGAAGGATGGAGTGTCGTTTGTGGTGCCCGTGGGCGGATGAGCGGGGGTCGGGGGAGGGGGTTGCTGATGACATTGTTGTCTCGTTATTGTTGTTTATGGTGGGTGTTCAAGGAAATCTTGGTGATTGCGGTGTTGTCGTGGTGGGTGACTGTTGTGATGTAAACTGTAATATGTAAACAAGATCTTGCACACAAGATGCGGTCTCGAACTTTGGCGGTCGGTCGTGTTCAGTCGGTATTGGTCGCTCGATCGGGCGAAGATCTAGAATCGCGGATGACCGATGCCCTGGGCGGAAGCTTTGGAAGCTTTGAAAGCTGGGGCGCTATCGTCAACTTTATGGAGTTGATGGAGATGAAGATGGAGGTCGTGGGTTCGGTGGGCGGGGATTTGCTAGTCATGCATGCTTGACGTTTGCAAAGGGCATCCCTGACTCGCGGAGGATGGATCTGTTGGATCTGAGGTCTTTAAATTCTCATGGACCTCTTTCAACCTTCACCTCTTTCCCACTTTCAATCTGGACAACATGCGCCGTTGCATGCGCACCTTGGGACGAAAGAGGAGGGCATCTTGAGGCAGGAACACAGCGCATGGAAGATGTAAGGAGGTGAGACGAAGCTGGCCCAGCCAATCGGTCACAGCTTCCGACTTGCAGCCTTGAGGGGCAGTCTGCAGTGGCAGCAGTGCACTGGCACCGTGACCTCGGAGCACCAAAGAAGCTCCCGCCACAGGTCAAAGCGCCACACCTGAGCCTACAGAAATGGGCCAATCAGGATGGCGTAAGAACCGGTTACGTCCATGAAGTTGGAGGCTCACCAGCCCCATGGAGACGGGAGCAGGTGGGAAAGTGGAATAACCTCACCCACTCCTCTCGAGTCCCCATCCCCGACGACGACCCCCAGAGTCCCCTCCCGCCCCCGGCCTCCATAGGCATTACTCCACACTGCTCCTCTGTGTCCGGAGCAGATACGATATCATTATGCTTTCACGTACTGCGGCGCCCACCAAGGCGTCGGCCAGGACCCTCTCGCGCGCCGCCGTCGAGCAATGCCGAACCTTTGCGACCGTCCAAGATGGCAATGCCAATCCCGTACGCCACTACGGCGGTCTTAAGGACCAGGATCGCATCTTCCAGAACCTCTACGGCCGCTACCCGCCCGACCTGAAGCATGCGAAGAAGATGGGCGACTGGCACAAGACCAAGGAGATCCTCCTCAAGGGCCATGACTGGATCATTGGCGAGGTCAAGGCTTCTGGTCTTAGAGGCCGTGGTGGAGCTGGTTTCCCCTCGGGACTCAAATGGGTGTGTGTCTTCGCAAAATGGGCCTTTAGAAAAATAAAACCAATTGGCATGCTTACTGACTGTTTTTTTTCTCGCATGCCAGTCTTTCATGAACTTCAAGGACTGGGACAAGGACAACAAGCCCCGCTATCTGGTCGTCAACGCCGATGAGGGTGAGCCGGGTACCTGCAAGGACCGTGAGATCATGCGCAAGGATCCCCACAAGCTTATCGAGGGCTGCTTGGTCGCCGGCCGCGCCATGAATGCCACCGCTGCCTATATCTACATCCGTGGCGAGTTCATCCATGAGGCTGCCGTTCTGCAGAACGCCATCAACGAGGCTTATGCCGATGGGCTTATCGGAAAGAACGCCTGCGGCTCTGGCTACGATTTCGATGTCTACATCCACCGCGGTGCCGGTGCCTACGTGTGCGGCGAGGAGACCAGCTTGATCGAGTCGCTCGAGGGCAAGCCCGGAAAGCCCCGTCTTAAGCCTCCTTTCCCCGCTGCCGTTGGTCTGTTCGGTTGCCCTTCGACTGTCGCCAACGTCGAGACTATTGCTGTCGCTCCCACCATCTGCCGCCGCGGTGGCAACTGGTTTGCCAGCTTCGGCCGTGAGCGCAACCAGGGTACCAAGCTCTACTGCATCAGCGGCCACGTCAACAACCCGTGCACTGTCGAGGAGGAGATGAGCATTCCCATGCGGGAGCTTATCGACAAGCACTGCGGCGGTGTCCGCGGTGGTTGGGATAACCTTTTGGCCGTCATCCCCGGTGGATCCTCGACACCTATCTTGCCCAAGCACATCTGCGACGACCAGTTGATGGATTTCGATGCCTTGAAGGATAGCCAGTCCGGTCTGGGTACTGCCGCTCTTATCGTCATGGACAAGAGCACCGATGTCGTCCGCGCCATTTCCCGACTAAGCCACTTCTACCGCCACGAATCTTGTGGCCAGTGCACGCCTTGCCGTGAAGGCAGCAAGTGGACCGAGCAGATCATGAAGCGCTTCGAGAAGGGTCAGGGACGTGAGAGGGAGATTGATATGCTCCAGGAGTTGACCAAGCAGGTTGAAGGTCACACTATTTGCGGTAAGTATTATTGGTTCGTCCCATGGTCATCGTTTGATTGGTACTGACAATAATCTGTTCAGCTCTTGGCGAAGCTTTTGCCTGGCCCATCCAAGGCCTCATCCGCCATTTCCGACCTGAGCTGGAAGCCCGTATGCAGAAGTTCGCTCAGGAGAACGGTGGTGAGGCTCTTGCCGGTGGCTGGCAACACAATGCCAGACAGCAGGGCAAGCTTGTCTCACCTGGCATGTAAGGGGTGATACGACTACAACAACAACAGTGGATAATGAACAACAGGATGGAGGCCGAAGAATTGCGTCCCCAGTACGCATAGAGCCTGCTTTATTATAAGCCCTAACATAGAGAAAACCGACCGCTATTCATGCGTGTCTGTATTGTACGTTTGCGCATAAAAGCCGTGCCGTAGAAGCTCTTAGACTGCCCCAGCTGGGCTTATGTTATTGCATTTATTTTGGCTTTTATGTCTTGCAAAGTTGGCATGATCTTCATAATGGGGTCTTGGATTTGGATGAGACAAAATCTTATGAGGCGAGATATCATATGTCATGGTGCTATATGCCTTTGACGATCCCATCAGATCGCATGTGTTGTTGTTTTGATAGTGATGATTCTTATCCCGCTATGGAACCATTAACAATGCAGGCCCCAGAACCGGTCAAGCGATCATCCCAGCAACCTCCACTTTATGCCCGGGGAACAGTTCAGGGTATTCCCGCGGCGGGGTTTCCACTCGTTCACAGCTGAGAACGGCCTTTTTCTGAGGACCCTGCCTGTCAAAATTCCCAGGGCTCCATGTCGGCCCAATAAACACCTCCCAAGACACCCCCAAACAGCAGCTTTCACAGCCTTCTTTTGCCCCTCTGTTTAACTCTTTATTTAGGTTCATAAGAGTGTGACAACAGTCACGCAGATGGGTCCTGTTTCGGCTGTTTAAATCGACTTTTTGGTTCATATATAACAGACTCTCTTCGAAGATCTTCAGAGTCAAGAATCCCAAAAAGAATCTTTACCGCTTTTTAGGCTCATCATTTCCTCTCACAAAAACTCACTACGACCTTTCACCATCAGATCACAACTTTTATCAAACCCAATCAAACCAAACCCAACCACTCTCCTCAGCCAACTCCCTCTTCAAAACAAATCACACAAAAACCAGGGCAATCCTCACAACACCACCACCAAATGCCCCCAGCCGGCTTCTCCCACCAACGCTCTCAATCCACCTCCTCCCTCCCCCCTTCCTCCAGCGCCGCCGGCGTCGGCGGCTCCTCCTTCGGCATCCACACCCGCCACGCATCCACCTCGCTCACCCGCGGTCCGGGCACCCACGTCACCCGTCCCACGGGTATTCCCAGTTTCCGGGGATATTACTACTACTACTCGCTGTCGCTGAGGACGGGCACCAACCAGGACGTGGGAGGTCTCTTGGCTGGTCCGTTGCTGGGTGGTGGTAGACAACAGGCGGATAGGGACGCGAAGGAGAAGGAGAAGAAGAAGAAGAGGGGTGCGCAAGGAGGAGGAGGAGGACAGGGAGGAGGGAAAGGAGGAGGAGCTGGGCCGGGAGGAGCAGCGGGTGGTGGGAAGGGACCTGGGTCTTGAGAGACTGTTTGTGAGTTTGAAGCACACGCATACGCATACATTCTAAGTCCGTGTTTGGCTTATTGGGAGTTAAGATGACTCAGAAAACGAACGGTACGATGGACGAAAGGAGAACGACTACGGCTGATGGGAAGAGGACTGCCGTGATGGCTGATGGGAAGAGGACTGCCGTGATGGCTGAGCCGAAGAAGGTGAAAAAGCGAAGCAATTTTGAGACTCTCATTAAGTTTGGGACAGATGCTTGTGAGTTTATTCTTCCCCCCCTCCCCCCCTTTTTTCACGATCCAGGACCCCCCTTGAGGCACTTGATGCTATGCTCTCCTCCGCCGCTCCTCAACTGGAAAACCCCGAACTAACATCCCTTCCAGCCGGTCTCGAACGCACCTTCCGCCTCTTCCAAGCCCTCGCACAATGCATCGCCCACATCCCCTCCATCCGCACCACCTTCATTTTTGTTATTTCCTCACTCCACCTTCTCCTTACCGCCATCTCCATGAACGGCATAGTCGATCTATCTTTCTCACTCAAAGAACTTTTTCCCGCGTCACTGTCACTGTCAGCCGAAGCAGAAGCCCAAATCATCACCACTGTCCTAGGCATCCGCTCCAAGCTTGCCCAAGGCCGCCGCTTCTTCAGATTGTTTCGCTTCTTGGAGAATTTCCATTCTGCTTCGACTCTTTACTACCAGGCCATCAACAGCGAGACCGGTACTGGGGGTAGGGGTGTAGAGACTTGGCTGGATATCATGTCCAAGAGCTTCAATGGGATGTATCTCTTATTTGAAACGCTGGGGTTCTTCGCGGCCCTGGGGGTGCCGGGGTTGGATCCCTGGGGGACCGGGTTAATAGGTTTTTGCATGTGGAGGGGCAGAGGTTCTGGTTGTTTGCGCTTGTTTGTGGGGTTTTGGGGGGCGTGGTTAAGTTGGTGAATGATCGGGAACTGGTCCAGGCTGGTGATACTTCAGAGACGGAGAAAGAGGAGGAGACGGGAACGGAAGGTGATGAGTACGGTAACCAACTGAAGGAGGAAGAGCGCCAGCGCGCTGCGTTGGAGCAGGATGAGCAAAGGAGTGTGAGTCGCAAGGATCGCCGCATGCGGATCAAGCGAAGGATTGCAGCTGATCTGCTTGATCTCGCTCAGCCCGGTGCTGTTGTTGGGTGGTTTCCAGACTGGCCAGGCATGATCGGGCTTATGATGATTGGAAGTACGTGGATTACTGGTGTGGAGGTCTGGGAGAAGTGTGCCGCGGTGAATGGGTGATAATGAAAGGCGCCCGTGGTTGTTTATAGGCAAGTGCAGGTGGGAAAAGGGTGTAACTATGCGCTGTTGGATACACATAAACTCAGGTCTTGTATAGACTGGAACTAGGATAGAGCTGTACAGAAAAGAAAATCGACAACAAGCATCTCATAGTGGAACCACAATCCAGGGTTAGATTCGTTATGTCCTTGATATCTGCATTTACAATCATCACATGTAGTCCACGGTCTACCCAGTAGACCCATTGTATATAACAACTTCTGTCTTGAAACCCATACATCCATCAACTCACAACCATGCAGTACCCTCATCCGACATGTAACCATTCAGTATCCAACAAGCGCCGAGCCTCAGATTGTATCATTCGGTGTGTGGTCTTAGATGCGTTTGTTTACACAGTGATGGACATCGGCGGAACGGCCGCCTCGGCATCAACAGGGAGTTGGATGTAGCGATCCTTTCGCACGGGCCCGACACCGTGGAAGGCGACTTCGATGGTGGTTCTTCGGCCAAGCGGCTTGACCTGGTCGAGGACGACGGCAAGAAGCTGGAAACCTCTGTGGACAGAAACATATAAGCAACCGGACACAACCTCTGGCATCGGATGTTCAGGCAGATAGATCATGGCTTACCCGACGACGTATCCAATGATGAGGGGAGCTGTCCAATCATCCATGTCCCACCAGAGAGCAGTGTAGAAGGCGCACACTAGATGATTATCAGTCTCGCGTTAGGTGATTCGTTTCATCCGTTGGCCTGATTAATCCGGGGGCACGGGCAGACTTACGTGTAAAAACAATCAACGTAATCCCAAGGTACAACTCGATAAAAACGCCAAACCACCTCTTAACAAGGCTTTTCACCACGTCGTCTCCTTACCATCATCACCCACCCACGCCCACGCCCACTTCTTGCCACCAAACCCTCCAAACCCAGCAAACAACTCCTTACCGCCCAACTCGCAAGACCAGTCTCCAACCACCAGCGAGATCCGAGGAATCCTTAAGTCATCAAGATTACTGCCACTACTGGCAGGCCGGTTGTTGTTCTCCTCTCGCATCAACATGAACACCAGCTCAATGTAACTAAGAATCACAAAGGGGTTTTTGCTGAGCCATCCGACGACGGACCAGGTGATGAGGTTGGAGAGGATGAGAACGAAAAGCAGGAGGCGGGTGAGCATCACCAGGGAGGCGCTCATTCCATATCTTTTGGTGGGTCTGCTGGTGTTGGTGTCGGAGGAGTTGTCGTTGTTGTCGTCATCATCATCATCGTTGCTATCGGAATCTTCGACGGTGAGGTAATACTCGGTTTCTGAGGGAGGGGAAGCAGGAGAAGAAGGGTCAAGAATTAGAGAGGCGTTGAGACCTGGTTTCTTCTTGGGACTGCTTGGTGAACCGAGGAGGGGTGTGTCTGGGGAGGCTTGGTCCATGGTTGGTGTATATCTCTTCTGGCGAGAGAACGTGGGTAGGTAGGTACGGTATGGATTCAGGAGGTCAAATATGGGCAAGGGAGGTCGAAAAACGGGCAGAAAACGCTCAATTATGTTAAGACTGGGGCACCAACGATTGGAGCGGCCTTATAAACAGGAGATGGCTTTCTAAATTTATAGGTAACTTCCTCAACCTACATCGAGGTGCTGAAACCTCATATATTCTTTCTGGGTTTGTTTCACAGAACAACTTCTGCGCGGCCCTCATCGTAGTGACGCGTCCTTTACCATGAATACGAAGAAATGGCTCCTTCTTCCATACTTGGCTTTAATAACTGGGCGAGAACTGGAGGGGAGCGAGGGCCAACAAATGTATGTTGGCGGCCCGTTGCCCGTTGCCCTTTGGCCATGGCCTGCGCCAGTCAGCGGTTCTGTGGATGAGGGGCACACCTGATGCCGGGAACCTTTCCCAGATGAAGCTTTCTAGATGTTTAAACACTACAGGCTCGAAATACACATGTAAGAGTAAATTGGAGTCGAGCTTATTCGTCTACCTGATGGACCAACGGTGCAACCGCCTTGAACTGGAGGGTGGAAGAGTGAGTCGTCGAGGAGCTCGGTGAGAGCACGAACCGAACTAATACCAAATTACTTTTAAATTGCCGTAACCTTCAACTGTTCGTCTTATAAGCTTGTCACAATGAGGCCATGATTGAATATCAAGCGATGAAAGACGAGTGTTCAGAAGGTGTTGGGTTGAGACCTGAGAGAAGGGCCAGCATCGGCTCACACTAACACTTTAGAAAGTCAATGCGACTATCAGAATATCGACGCAAGCTTTGACCATGCTTTCTCTCCGACCTAGGCGCAGCAAGGATACCCGCCGTGCAACTGTCCGACAGCTGCACAAAGAAATATAGGACGAGGTACCTGACTGCAAGGGCAACAAGGAGGGCGGGGAATGGTGGCAGAACCCAAGAGCGGAAGGCGGTGTAGCCCAATTCAGCCAAGTCCCGTAAATTTTTGCCAGTCGTCCCGTCGCGGGGCCCATTGAATTTCGAATTCCACAGTCGGTCCTCCCGCCCAGCGCGCCCGCGTTCTTTGTTCCAGAACCGATTTTTGTTCGAGTCGCAGAGGTTCCATCCGTCCTTTCGGTGTGTTTTTGTATTCTCACCTCCATGTCCGCCCCGCCTTCCTGGCTTTTTTCCAACAACACCACTTCCTCCTCGTCGTCGACCGTCCCTGCCTCAGCAGCACCCTCTACCGAAACCAAAACCAAAATGGCCGGCACCAAGAAGGTCGTTAAGTCGGGGGACAAGAGGAAGGCTGCCGCCCAGCCTTCCGCCCAGCTCCTCGCCGCTGTCGAGAAGTTCCTTACCGAGAACAACTTTGCCGACGCCGCCACCGAGTTCACCAAGCAGATCACCAAGAACGGCTGGGAGAAGAAGTCCTCGGACGCTTCTCTCGCCTCCATCTTCCAGACCTGGGAGGCCAAGCCCAAGCAGGCTGGTTCCACCAGCGGCGATGATAGCGACAGCGATGACGAGAGCAGCAGCTCCAGCGAGTCCGAGTCTTCGGACAGCGACAGCGATAGCGACAGTGAAGACGAGAAGATGAAGGAGGCCCCCGCCAAGAAGGCCGAGTCCTCTAGCTCCAACAGTAGCGACTCTTCCAGCGACTCTTCCAGCGACAGCTCTAGCGATTCCAGCTCCAGCGAGGATGAGGCCAAGAAGCCCGAGACCAAGGCTGCCGCCCCCATTGCCGCCGCCAACCCTCTGAAGCGCAAGGCCGAGTCCAGCTCCGAGAGCTCTTCGTCCGATTCTTCCTCCAGCGACTCTTCCAGCTCTGAGGACGAGGCTCCCAAGGCCAAGAAGCAGAAGGTCGCCGAGTCTTCCTCCTCCTCTTCCGAGTCCTCTTCTGACTCTTCCTCCGACTCTTCCTCTTCCGAATCCGAGGACGACAAGAAGAAGCCCGCTGCTAAGGCCGCCTCTTCCAAGAAGACTGCTTCCCCCAAGAAGGCCACTCCCGCCAAGAAGGAGGAGTCCTCTGACTCTTCCTCTTCCGACTCTTCTTCCGACTCGAGCTCCGACTCTTCCTCGTCCGACTCTTCTTCCGATTCCTCCTCCGATTCGGATTCCTCCAGCGATTCTGACTCTTCGGACTCTTCCTCCGATTCCGACTCCAGCTCTGACTCTGACTCCGACTCTTCTGAGTCCGAGGCCGAGAAGAAGACTGAGAAGAAGGAGGTTAAGAAGGCTGCCAAGTCTGACAGCTCCTCCAGCGACAGCTCCTCCAGCGACAGCTCCTCCAGCGACAGCTCCTCCAGCGATTCTTCCTCCGACTCTGACTCTTCCTCCGAGTCCGAGGATGAGAAGAAGACCGACAACAAGAAGGCGGCCTCGACCAATGGTTCCGATTCCTCTGCTACGCTCAAGGATTCCACCGAGTCTACCCCCGTCCCTACCGGCGAAGAGAAGGCCAACAACCGCGGCAAGGCCAGCGTTCCCCCTGCCAAGAAGGAGATCCAGCCCTTCTCGCGCGTGCGCAAGGACGTCGTCGTCGACCCGCGTCTCGCTAGCAACGCTTTCGCCGGTCACGCCTGGGGCCAGAAAGCGCACGAGGATCTGATCGTCACCAGAGGCAAGGGCTTCACCAAGGAGAAGAACAAGAAGAAGAGGGGCAGCTACCGGGGCGGACCCATTGACACCACTGCTGTTGGTAGCATCAAGTTCGATGACTAAACGTGGTCATATTTGCTAGGCCTGTTTTTGTCTCTCCTGACTTGATTCGGCCTCTTTGTGTTTTTTTTTTCTTGCTAAATTGGGTTTCTCTGGTATAACAAAAGCTCCTTCCTCTCTCTCTCCCCGGCCAAAATCTTTCTCCGTGCTTTTTAGTCTGCATTTTGCGATATACCAATTTTTCTCTTTTCCTATCTTTGATGCATTGTCTGGGGGGAGGTTTGCGTGCATCTATCTTTCTTCACTTGGCCAAAAAAGGAAGACATAAAAGATAGTGTGACGGACGGACGGGTGACTACCATAGTCGGCTATAATCGTCTCCGCCGTGTTGCGCCATCTTCCTTCATGTGTATAGACTATTAGACTTAGGACAGCTTGTGGGTATCAAGTTATCAGAACGTTACATAACCAACTCACATCAACCTTACTTACGTGATGTTTGTGTGTTTAGGTTTGCTTTGGTTTGGTGTTTCCATAATGGCCATGGCCGTGAAAAGCCTCATGAGGTTGAGTGAGACCGAGACCCCGGTGACGTCCATGGCATGTCATACCCATTGATGGATGCTCACCGTGACCGGTGACTTGTGCCCGGGCTTTTCCCATCCCTTCGATCAACGAGGCGTCAAGGTGAACCGCTTGCGTTCGACAGTACGACGTCCGGGCCGAGTTGGTAGCTGGATCAACATGTTGTCTGGTCTCCTTCTTTGACTGTTAGCGAAATACAATAACATGATGACAGGAGATCGTCCACTTCGCTCGGCAGTTGTCAAGGCGGTTTGTTAAGCTATCGGGACATGACACAATCGTTGGTGGTTATAACGGTTCGATAGTACCTCGTGAGCTCGTCAAAAGTGTAAACAGGTCCACAGGGCTGAGCACGTTGGTGAGTACCCCAGAGGACCGGATCCGGCATGGAGACAAACGAGAGGGTTGTTGGCACGTGTTGTGGGAGACTTGGAGGGGTTTGCGTTTTCACATGTTGGACCGATGACGAGAAGAGAAAGATGCTGTTTTAGTTCAAACACCCCGGTCTGTTCGGAAGTGTACACGGCTTACCGAACCGGAATTTTCAGACCGCAGGTTTTTCAACCTGTTCCAACCCGATGTTTCTTGAAAGAGTTCGTGAAAGGGATGGATCTCACCGCATTCGGTATTGAGTTGCTGCTTACTAGGTGGCTAGCGCAGGTCCGGAATGTCAGCCGGAGATTTGGATATTTGGTGACTGGGTTTTGGGCGCTTCAGTGAGATTGAATGAAGATACTAGCTTCAAGCAGGTACGGCAGATAATCTGTGTTTTCAGGTCGTAACCCCTCTTATTTGCAGCTCAATGTTTGGCGCAGTTAGACGGTGGCATGAACAAACTAGATTCTGGTATGTCTGATTGCCAGTATTTCCGATTGCGGGCATGTCATACCAAGACGGCGGAAGCCCGATCGCTGAGTCAGGACAGGTTGGCTTCTGTCATCCTTATGGCTTGGTACTCCGCTCTGAGTATGTATGTATGTAAGTACCGGTCATTGGTGTATCGTAGATGATCTGAAAATGCCCGGCGGCCGACCCCGAGGTATACGGCGAACTTCAAAGCGTTTGGATTTTGAAGCTTCCCGGTGATTCACTGATTGCGTATGACACTCTGATGAAGCTCGTGCGGCCAGTTGATGCTGACGGTGTGCTACTCGGAGGACCATCACCAGATGATGTTTCGAGAGAAGTGGACAATGACTGAAGTGGACAATGACTGAAGTGGACAATGACTGAAGTGGACAATGACTGAAGTGGACAATGACTGAAGTGGAAAATGGTCACGGGCTGTTGGTGTTGCTTGCGACTGTGTTGTGGCGGCGTCGGTCTCATGTGAACCAACATAGTAAAAAGTGTTGTCGCTTAGTTGGTTGAACCGTGGGATAATAAGGGATGGCTTGTGCCTCCTCAAAGAAAGAACAGCGGAGGGCGTAAGGGATTGTTAACAACTGCCCGGAATGGGATTGAACAGTTACTGACAATGGCAAGCTCGTGTGGCAGATGGGAGTGTTGAAGTTGGAGTTGGTCTTTTTTGGTCAGGATCGTTCCTGTCATGTCAGATATTAGCGGTACGAAGGTACTTACCCCAACGAGCTGGGTCGTGCACAATCCACTAACATACTAGAGCTCAGTACTAACCTACCACACTTAGCTTCATTGGCATCAGATCCCTTGCCTGCTATTGGACAGCCCGACAACCGCCCAGATGAATGGTGAGGCGCAGCCGGGAGTGCAACACAACTTTACCTACCAGGAGTGCCAGGTAAAAACTGAGATGGCGGGCGCATGACTAGACGTGTAGGCGTCTGTTAAGTTATGAGGGCGCCGTGACAGTTGCTATCAGAAGGCACACAGAAGCTCGTGGCATCCTAAACGGGCATTCCAGCAGCAGGCGCGAAGCGAGGAAAGTGCAGTATTGTGAGGGGCTTCTTACCCTTGGCTGCCCTGCGTCTGCCTGTGACTTCAGCCCTGCCGAGACGTCTGACTTTCATTCAACTCATCTGAACATCCACTGACCTCCATTTGGCCTCGGAAACCATCATACTCGTAACAACAAGCTACACGCTGCTCCACGCTTCTGATCCCTTTGTTTAAGGAGCCAACCCCTACTTGGCGCAATCGAGGTTCCCCCAAGGATGCCGACTCGTCTACGGTCATAGACTAGGAACGTCTGTCAATCAAGTCGGACCGCCCTTTCATTGTTATCTTCGGGCTGTATTGCGCAATCCGTCAAGCAATCACTTTATCTACTTGAAAGAAAAATTATCGACGACGGGCTCTTTATCATCTCAACTAAACCGCTTTCCGGATGCGTAAAGGGAGGGCGAGAGGGAGCCGCTGCGTTGAAGCAAACCCGGATGTAAAGAAGGCCATAAAGTCCCGTCAGTCCTCCCACGAGATGTGTGGCATGGCACGGAAAACAGAACCGAGTTCCCCTCGTCCTCTAACAACCAAGCTACGAAGGATCTTTTCATTCACTCAGCCAGCCAACCCATCAGCACTACCTATATCGACCCAGACAAGATGGCTTCAAGCGACAACAAGCTCCGAGGGCCTTCCAAGCCGTATGATTTGGTTGAATCATTCCATATGGTGATCTCAGAGAGGGACAAGGGCAGATTGGAAACATCAAATCCGAGGAAAAAGACATTCCGCCCACCAGCTCGAAGGCATTGCGCAAAAAAGTCCAGAAAATATTGGAAGAGCTCACGGACTCAGATGATGAGAACGCATCATTGGAAGGTGCCACGGAGGAATATTTCCTGCGACGAGAGGAGGTCCAAAGGCGCGAAAAGGCACTTGGGTTCGACCACCATTGCACAACGGAGGCCGAAGAATGGGAGGTGAACGCAAACACGGTGATCCAAAGAATCAAGAAGATGGACGTTAGAGATGTCTACGACAAGGAGGCCAGAATTGAAGGGTATGCTGGACAGAAACACAAGCGCGTGCCTGGGGACCGTTTCCTACTCAATGCCCCAATTGTTGAGGAGACGAGACTCTACCGAGCTATCCAGAAGATGCCCAAAGGCGCCCATCTTCACATACATTTCAACGCCAACCTGCTCCCTCACGTCTTGCTCGACATAGCCAAGGGCCAAACGCACATGTACATCACGAGCGACATACCTCTAACCAGCAAGAAGGCCTTTGAGCGATGCCGTTTGTGGTTTAACATTCTGAGCGGTGTAAATTCCGAGAAAGAGAAGTCGAACTTACCGCTGGATCTCTTTGGCAATCCCCATGGACCAGCATTGACTTATGCCGGCACGGGCGTTAAGGAGAAGGCCAAAAATGAGTCTGGCAATGCGCAACGCATCTTGTCTAAAGATGCGAGACACATCATGTCTTACGGAGCATTCCGCACAAAGTTTGCGACGAATTATACGGCGCATTACAAAGACGACACCAACGATCCGTTAAGAGGACTGGGAGGCGAAAAGCTTGTCGACGAATACCTGACACGCAAAATTGTGTTTCAGGCGGATGAAGCTTACAGTCCACATCAAACGGCAAAGGGGTAAGTTCTACGTGGGCTCTTGATATAACCTAAGCGCAAAGCTAATATCGTGTATAGTGCCTGGGAGAGGTTTGATACTCATACACAGATCATGAAAGGGCTGTTCAATTATATGGCAGCATATAAGGAGTACACGAGAAAGTGCTTGGAGGAGTTCGTGAACGACAACATCCAATACGCCGAGATTCGCCCCAACTTCATGAAGAACAACCAGGTTTGGCACAACGACGGGGAGGCTCAGATTAACAATTTCGGAATAATGGATCTCATCATCGGTGTGTATGAGAAATTTCAGAGGGATCATGGGGGGAAAGTCTTCAAGGGGCTTAAAATCATCTACTGCACGCCACGGTCTTTCGACACCACTCAGGTCAAATTTGCCCTGGACGAGTGTCTGGATATGAAACTCAGTAAATACGGTAAATACATTGCAGGTAAGTCGACACTCGGTCTGCAAAACTTTGGCAAAGGCTAATGGAATCATATAGGGTTCGATCTTGTCGGTGAGGAAGGCGCAGGGCATCCACTCAGCTACTTTATTCCGCAGTTCCTAGAGTTCCAGAAGAAATGTAAGGCTGCAACGCCCGCGGTTGAGATTCCGTTTTTGTTCCATTGCGGCGAGACGCTGGATGTCGGCACGGAGACCGACGGCAACCTGTTGGACGCTCTTCTTCTCGGATCAAAACGTATCGGCCATGGTTTTGCGTTAGCTTGGCATCCATACGTCATGCAGCAAATGAAGAAGAGAAATGTCTGTGTCGAGGTTTGCCCTATTTCCAACGAGATATTGGGCCTCACCCCGAGGATCAGCGGGCATACAGTTTATAACCTGCTGGCGAACGATGTGCACTGCACCCTCAGCACCGACAACGGGACTCTCTTCAGGTACGTCATGATGAAACGCGGCTTTGGGTCTCGGACTGCTAACAAGTATGCGTACAGGTCTCGCTTATCTCACGACTTCTACCAAATCACGGTAGGGAAGGCAGATATGACACTCCATGGGCTACGTCAACTAATTGAGTGGAGCATTGACCACGCCATGATGGATGACGAGGAGAGGAAGGAGACCAGGAAGACATGGGAGAAGCTATGGAAGGAATTCTGCGTCCAGCTGTTCGAGGATAATAAGGTCATGTTGACGGAGGAGAAGGCGAAGGAGGAGAAGGCGGAGGAGGCGGAGAAGAAGAGAAAGAAGGAGGAGAAGAGGAAGAAGAAGGAGCAGGAGAAGTCCTAGTTTCCAAGCCTTTGGATCCTGGGCGGCGAGTTATGACCGGTGTACGAAGAGATGGTCTACGATACATCCATGACTGGGATTTGAACGCTATGGGGGTTCGTCTTTTCATTTCTAATTGTTTTATTGAGGGGGTTTTCCTCAAACACGACGGGATGGACGATGAGGAGCAGCAGATTTAGAACGGAGGTATGTTGGCGCAATGGTCTTATAGGTCAACTCAAGAAGCGGTGCTTTTTTCCTTCTCTTGATTTACGCGAGATCTTTGTGGTTGTTTGCCCACGTTAGAGCGGCGTTTCTATTTGCCGGTCCCTCATTAACCATAACGGAAGTTCCCCTACCTGCTCATCAACTACCTGCTCATCAAGAAGCTCACTATGTTTTGCTTCACCTTTAATTATTGCCCCCCCACCCCCCCTTTTGCTCTACGTCTCGCTCAATGCTTCTTCGTTGCTTTATCCATTGCGGATGTCACAAACTCCCTAGCTTCACCCGCGACCCTTTACCCCCCCCCTACCCCCCCCCTTCCAAAACTCGATAAGCAGAACGGCTACCGGCAGCATATTCCCACAGCCTCAGAACATCAATTGGGGGCTGAGAGAGACATGACAAGGAAAGGACTATGACCCGTCACAAAATAATCGCACCTCTCATCTCCCAGGCGTCCAAAGGCCAGCCATCCCTCAGGAAAAAAATGGAGAGCCCCGCGTGGCTCACATCTCTCAACCGCCAATCTTGCCCATTCTATCCGGCTGGTGTCTGGGGTCGGCCGCCCTAAGACAACCCTACCGTCCACCAAACTGATCCAATGACGCCTCCGACCTTGGCAACCTCTTCAGCTTTTCCACCCAATGTCGCATCTCGACCACCCACAGGCTAATAAACTGCCCAAACTCGAATTCAGATCTCACACACACAAAATGCAAGGTTCTCCAGTCGGTATTCTTGAGGCCAGGTCAGGTCAGGGAAGGACCGGGAAGAGGGGTGAAGGGGGTCTCATGCAGCCTGGCGCGTTGGATGAAATGGATCTATACCTAAAATGATATAACGCCTACCTATAACGCCCAGTAGGGGGTCCTCGCGCTGGTACAGCCAACCAGATTGGTCGAAAATAGCGCTGACTGGGAGCCTGGGCTACGATGGGACTAAGTCCAGTGCAACCAAGGCTTTCCAAGCGGCACCACCGACCGTTCCCATTTGTCGATTTTCAGTTCAGTCCCTGCGTCCTGCGTTTACCTTGTGCTTGTTGGTGGTGGTTCGCTACCCGCGACAAGTCAGTCAGTCAGTCAGTCAGTCTCAATACCAGCCAGACATCTCATTCAATTCCTCCATTTGTTCGCCGCTTTTTGCCTGCCCCGAACGAATATGGAGGCCAGGCGCTAAAACTCCCGTCTGGGGGCTCTTTGGGGAGGCTGTGATGGTTGGATTGTTACCGCGAGGGTTGCATTTTATGAGATGGATCACGAATGATGGGAATGATGTAGATTGAGGGATCCAGCTAACTGAGGCTGGAAGGGATCGCCAGCTATATAGAGCTGGCGATACAAAGAGGAAGAAGGTCTGCAAACGAGGGGATTCTGGGAAGTGCCAGGACCGCTGTCAAAGAGGGTGCCTGTAGGGCAAAGGACTAGCGGTCTGGGCAGCAAACGCCCAGAATCTTCTCACAAAACCCCGTCGCTCGCAGCGAAGATGCTTCGAGTTTGTGGTGGACCAGCCATACATTTTTCATCTTTCTCTTCGTCTCCCTAGTACATATGATTAGGCTTCAGCTGGAGCATTGAAATCAAGGGCGGATAGAAATGTTTTGGTAACTGGTAGATGCAAGGAAGTTGTTGTGGTTTGGTAGTGCCGTCACGACTGCAAGTCGAACCTGCCGTCGTCGTGTAGACGCAGCACATAACCCTAACCCGGGACTGCAAATTCAGTCGTCCAAACATCCATCTAAAAATCTCGAATGCGTTCACGATGGAACAACTCGCATCTGAGGCGACATAGATAAACTGTATCGCCACCATTTGCCGGACGTAGTACTACGTAGCTTATCGACTTTGAAAAGAAGGCAGAATACTGACGCGAGCCTGCCGCATTGCGCCATCAAAAAGTCGAGGTTGCTCATCGCGCCTTCCATCACGCCGAGCCGGCTCACCGAACGACCGGCTTTCGTCACTTTCACCTCAATATCAGCCGCCTCACCTTGACACTTCCAAAAGCCCGACCCTACCAGCTCAAAACTCGACAGGCGCCAACAAGAAACCAAAATGAATCGCAACCCAGGATCCAAATCCAAATCAAAACCCTCAAAACCCAAGACAAATTTCCCTAGCAACCTAAAACCAACCACCACCACCACCGGTAACACCATACAGCCTCCATCAAACCCTCCCGTCCTCCAAGTCCAGCAGCCCCAAGCAGAAAGTGTACCGACCTCAGAGCCAAGATGCCCCTCATCCCTCCTCCCCACCTTAACCCCGGCCCTCGACATCCTCTCCCGCTTCCACCGCCGCAACAAGAACCAGCACCGCCTGTCGAAATGGTGGGCCGAAGCCGACATGCTGCGGCGGCACCTGCGCAAGCTGATCGAGGCGGCGAACGAGTGGTGTGATAAGGAGCCGGAGAGGGAGGCAAGGAGGAGGAAGGATGAGCTCAGGAGGAAGAACAAGGAAAAGAGTGAAAGGCTTGGGAAAATAGGGAAAGAGGAGGAGGAGGAGGAAGAGGAAAAGGTTAAAGAGGACGAGAAAGAGGAAGATAAGGAGGCGAGAGAGGTGAGGTTGAGGGCGGAGTATTTGAGGGGGAAATTGGGGCCTAGAGCTTATTTGTGAGTGACCTTTTTTCTTTCTTTCTTTCTGTGTTTTGCGTGGTGGAAGCGGTTGGATGAAGAGAGACCTATGGAAGGGTATTGAGAATTGAAGAGGAAGATGGTGTGGGTGATGAAAGCTACTCGCTCACTCATTTCTCAACCCCTTTCCCTCAGTACCTCCTCCTTCAAGCCACTCCCCCGAAACTCTTCTTCCAGATCCAAGGCTTACAATGTAAACCAACAGCGCTTTCAGCCAACTCTCCGCCGACAGACAATTCGCCCACCTGGGCCTCATGCTCCTAGGCGTTCTAAGCCAGGTAGACAAGGCACTTTCAACATTCGCTCCCGTTCCAATCGACGACGACGCTGCGGTCAACGAAGGTGCAACAGAAGCTGTCAAAACTACGGCCATAGGCAAGTCAAGCGATGACGCGCATAACCAACGGCACAATGACATCGGGGTAGCGGTCTCGAGGGAAGAGTTACTCGCTATGATGTCTTCATCCGGCACCGGAACTCCGGATTCCAGGCCTGTGGAAGACACCCTTGCGAGGAGGAGGGATGCTCGAGATCAGCCACTGCCTACCACGGAGACCGAATATGGAGAACCAGCGGCAGTAGTAGAAGCAGCAGCAGGAAAGAACAGACAGGATAAGGATATGAGCGAGAAGAAGAACAAGAAGAGATCGGGGGACACCTTTGAGGATGAAGAGGAGGATGACTCGTTCTCCGAATCAACATCAGCAGTACCCGAGAAGAAGAAGAAGAAGAAGAAAAGGAAGACAGGAGACGGAGATGGTGATGATATCGACGACATCTTTGCTTCGTTCGATAAGCCTAGCAAGAAAAAGAAGAAGGCGAGCAAATCAAAGACTACGACTATCGCGACGGCCATCGCAACCACAGCCTCCACAACAACAACAACAACAACAACAACAACAACAACAACAACAACAACAACAACAGCCACCACCATTACAACCTCTACAGCAACAGCCACATCCCCGAAAATAAGCAACACAACGGCAGCTAAATCATCAGCACCAGCACCAGCACCGCCATCCTCCGAAGCAGGAGCTCCCAAAGACGACTTCGATGGCATCTTTGCTTCTCTAGAAAAGCCCAAAAAGAAGAAGAAGACGACGATGACGACGACGAAAGCCAAGAAGGAGGATGACCTAGATGATATCTTTGCGTCCTTCGACAAGCCCAAAGCGAAGAAGAAGTCCAAGAAAAAAAGACTGGGGAGGACGAGTTTGATGATATGTTTGGGGGGTTGTGAAAGAGATACCTCATGGATGTATGGATATACTGGCTGTGTTAGATACCAATATAGAGATGCTCGTTCTCGGACGAGCAAAGAACCATGTTCCTCTGGGTATCTGATCGTGATTCTTAGCACGTGGACACCTTGCGACTTTGGAATGTTGTTTACTTGGTCCCTGATAGTTTGCTGGTCGATTGATACAATTACCGATACTTGAGGGAACGTTTCCGGACGAAGAAGAGCACAACATGCGCTGACTTATGGCTAATGTTTTGCTATGGTAATATCAGGAGACTAACTAACATCAATGACCCAGCTTGAACTTCGGCCTAGGCAGTACTCCGCGGACTGCGTACCTCACTGCCACTCACAGCCATGCTTGCTTCCTCATCAAACAAGCCTTCGAGCATCTGCCGTCCGACCTGGAGATGAGGCCAGCTCAGGATAGCCACGTCTTTCATTAAACGACAGTCCTCTATTCATACCCAATGACCATGTATCCCATCCCTTCCCAGCATGGAACTGTTGTCTCTTACCACCCATATTCAAATACAAAACTCGTAATCAAAAAGCATGTGCCAAAACAAAGGGCAGCAAAAGGACGCCGCGACCTTGAAAAACCAAAACGGGATAAACATTGAACTAATAAGGGTTCTTTCTCATCATTCCTTTCTGTTGTCCTTCCTAATCCATTTCAGAAATTTCCTTGACGCCGTCTCCACATCGCAATATTGACCGGGGAACGCACATCTTTCTCTTTGCTCTTCCCTTGTAGTGTTGATCTACCAACTCCTACGATCCCTTCTAATCCGCCGTTGCCGACGGGACTGTCCCATGACTGCCCCATTCAATTCTACACCAGCGTCTCGGACAGTCGCAAAAGGGACCGGGTCAAGGTACGGGTTTCGCATTCGCATCTTCACGGGCTTCCTATATACGAGAGTAAGACCAGATACGGGCCCGCATATCACCAGATCCGGTAGCGAAATACCCGACACCGTTGGGACCAGTAACTGGGCTGGGCGCCACGGAAATGACGGAGTTCTTATGTCCCTGGAGCATGAGTTGTGTGTGGCCGGTACGGGGATCCCAGAACTGGACACCGCGATCCTTAGAACCGGAGAGGACCCATTGCGAGTCGGGGGTCAGTGCAACGCTAAGGACAAAGTCCTGTAAGACGGGATCGGCAGGTTAGCAAGGTCGCAAATGAACAGATGAGGGTATATAAATGTGGAAACGTACCCTGTGACCCTCGAAGGTCTTGATGCAGCGCCCACCCTTAGGAGGCGCCGAAGTAGGAATACCGCGCGGAGCACTGAGCTCCCACATCTTGATGGTCTTGTCCAAACTGCCACTGACAAGGTTGCGCCCATCAGGAGAAAACGCAACACTGTAGACGCTGTCCTTGTGCCCGTCGGGGCCCTCGAGACGCTCCGCAAGGTAGCCCCTCATATCCCAGACACGGACACTCTTGTCCAGGGATCCGGCAGCAACAAATTGCTTGTCGGGCGAGATAGCAACAGTCGTGACACCATCTTCAATAGAGAGGACCGACGTGTTCTGCCCGGTTTCAATGTCCCAAAGACGGACGGTTCTGTCACCACTGCCGGACGCGATAGTGCGGCCGTCGCGGGAGAAGTCAAGACTGTAGATGTCCTGTTCGTGGCCATGGAAGGTGTTGCGAATAGTTCTCGACTGGATGTCCCAGACCTGTATCAAGCACGTTAGCAAGCGAAGACGATAATGAGTTAAAGACAATGGCACGTACTCTGATAAGCTTATCCTCGGCTCCAGTAGCAAGATACTTGCCATCAGGGCTGAAGCAGACGCTTCGAATGTAAAGATCTCCAGTAAGATCAATGTTTTCATCCTGCAGGATGCAGAGCTTCTCGCCAGTCTCCACATCGTAGATCTGCGCAGAACGGTTACAGCCGGTGGCAACGTACTTGCCGTCCATGCTGAACCTCACGCAGCAAACAACGCTTTCATGCTGCAGAGTATGGACCAACTCGACATCTAGTACCCTGGGAACGGCCGCGTTGAAGATGACCCACCAATCGTCCTTCATCTTCTTTATGTGATTTGGGAGGCGATCGGGATCAAGCTCGCTCAAAGCGTTGGTCTGAGAAGGCGGAGGCGGAGGCTGGTGGTGCTGAGCCATCCGGGTGTGGTCCGGGGTAGGATGAGTTGGGACCTGGGGCGACTGAGCAGGGCCGCCGTTGTACGGGATGGGAGTGTTGATCTGAGGAGTAGCCGGGCCGCCAGCAGGAGGTCTGCCGATGCCACGCTTGCCGCCAGGGCCAGGAGAAGCAGTGCTCTGGGGAGGCTGAGGGGGGAAGTTACCAGGTCCCCTGGGGGTCCCGGATACTGCTGCTGGAAGGGAGGCTGCTGGGATGGCGGCGGGGGCGGGGGAGGAGGACCCTGAAGCCCGGGAGGAGCAGGCATGTGTGCTGGCTGTTCCTGCTGCTGCGGTGGAGGGGGAGGAGGGACCAAGGCCTGTCCTCCTTGTCCTGCCATGATCGCGCTAAAGACGTTGCTTCCCAAGCCGATAGCAGGGGGCTGCTGCTGCCCAGGATGCTGTGGGGGTGGGTTCATGTTGCCCGGGCCCGGAGGGCCTCCGCCTCCGCGGCCTTCAAGCTGGCGACGAAGCAGCGCAATCTCATCCTCGTACCTGCCCAGATTCGTCAGCCCGCTTCCACCAAGTCTCGGGTATGCTTGACCGGAGTTTGACTAGCTTACTTTTGCTTAACGTTCATCTGGTGCTGCTCCATCTGGAAGACTTTCTCACGGATGACCTGAAGCTCCTGGAGCTGCGTTGCCACTATTTTGTCAAGTCAGTCTCGGGTACACTTTCCAAAGCCCAAGTCTTTGATCGCGGGCCCAAAAAACAGCCCGCATCACCCTGCACAGCCGCCCTCCATCATGGGCAGAGATGGGATAGTGACCACCTAGCGGAGGAATGTGTGGAGGAACCCTTACAGTCATGCTGGCAGGTCTCGTACTGGCGAGCTTGTGATTCGAATTCCATTCTGATGCCGTCGAGGAGCTCGTTAAGACGGCCCATGTTCTGAATGGGCGCGCCCGCAATGGTTCGGTGCGGATACATAGACATGTTTTGTAGTTGATGTGGTTCTTGGGTGCTATGTATTGATGAAGCTGGCGAGAAACGGACAGAGATCCAAGGCGGAAAACGCTAGGGCGGTCGCGCAGGTTTGTGAGAGCTCAAGGCAGCAATCGGATGAAAGAAGCGAAGAGCAGGAAATGCAGCCGAGGATGCAAAGGCGACTCGAAAGGCTGCCGATGATGCGGCTGGAGTACAGCCGGCGTGATGTCGGTCGAGCGTCGAGCTACCGTGCGTTGGGATGGCGTGCGCGCGGGACGGATCGCGGCGCGAAAAGACGCAAAAGATTGGGGGGCGGGGGGGGGACTCGAATTCCCTAGTCGAATGGCACTGTACACAACCAAGGGCCAATGACGGAATCCGAGGGGTTGATGGGGATGATGATGTTGGCGTTGCGCCAATTCCAAGGGTTGTTGTTGAGATGACTTGGGGCGAAGCAGTATAAGGCTGCTGACTGCAAATGCTGGTGTTGCTCCAGAGTAAATGCTGCCAAAGGGGGGAGGAGGTGGAAGGAAGGAAAAAGAAGTGGAATGGCCAGCAAGTGGCAGAAATGACCTGGGCGTTCTGGGGCGGCTCCCGGTGTGGATTTCCACTTGCAGCGACACCACCACTCCCACAACCTCCAGCGGCTGCGGGCACTTGGGTCTTGGACTTTCTTGGGAGGACAGCCCAGGGCAGGCGGGCTGCGGACGGGCTGCGGACAGGGCAACAAGCTCCAGTTGTTAGCCTGTGGCCCGTGGAGGGTGCCACCGGTCACCACCTTCAGTTAGCACATCGGACGAAACTGAGGTCCTTTCGTCGTACAATCAGATCAAAAGATACGCCGTCTCGTGGCGGTGCCAGCAGCAAACAAGCAGGTCACTTGGCTTGGCAAGTGTCTCAAGCAGTACCTCGCCTGGTCCGTGAGTAACCCTTCATTGCTACGAGTTCCGACATGGATAGCAAGAGCCAGGGTCCCCTGCGCTATCTTCCTAGGCGTAGAATATGGAATGGCAAGGCCAGAAGCCAGGCCGCGGCGGCGCTGTGCGAGTGTGGGAAAAACACGCTAGAGCATCTGCATAAGAGTGGATCTACGAGATTCTGGAGACCCAGTCATTCCAGCGTCCGTGCGCCAGTTACCTACGTACCGACATTGTCACTGATGGTTCCATTCTCGGAAAGCGAAGAAGGCGGCCCGGGTTGGGGGAGTGCGTTGATGTACGCACCCCTCAATGTCTGCTTGCCGCGCCCCGTGGCAGGACTTAGTCACTGACGACTGAGCATCACATAGTGTAGCTGGCGTGCACGTATGACTGCACATGGGACGTTCTTTCCCTTTTTCATCTTTCATCCAACTTCGGATCGATCCAGGCAATCAGCAACGTGTATCCTGAGGGGCTATGCAAACAGCGACTACTGCAAGTGTCGGTAAAGAAAACATTGTTTCCTACCCTGATATGTCCTAGATCGACTGCCAAGCACCTGTCATTTAGCGCAAAACTCCAGACAAACCCCCAGAGAAGTCTCCATCGCAGTGCAGTGGGGCAGAAGGAAGGTTGTCCAAGCGCTTGCACATGCGGTTTGAAACAATGCAAACCACACACCTTAACACCCGACACCCGCACCCTCAACTCCCAGTGCCACCTCGATGAAAACTACCTTACCTACTGCATTCAGCACGCCAGAACGCACCCTGTCTGCGATATCAACTCTGCTCTTCATTCATGGTGCGCCTCCTTCATACGACCGACCTTGTACGAAAATCCTCCCGGCTTCGGTATCCTTCCTTTGTTGAGATGCATCCCTACTCAACGATGGATGTGTGATTGTTTGTTCGCGCTACAATGATCCGCAGGTGCTCTTGAATACCGGTATCTACCAACTGACAACTGGCTGGTTCTACATATCGGGGTGATCTAGCAGGATTCTTCTCATCTTGTCCCGGTAGTGTTTGAGCAACGTCAACTCCCAAGGAGGAAAAACAACTGTCTGTCCTCGTCGACTTGTCCCGTGCAGACCATGGGTACGCCGACGAGAGTCACGACGGCATGAGAGAAATACTCCCCAGTTCGGGTAACAAATAATCAGCTGCCCAAGCAAGTTCACCAGTGGCATATACTCTGCTTTACAAACCCACTTCACATGAACCCGTATCAGGTTCAAGCAGGCACGCCACAACAGGAAACGTAGCGTTATATGGACCCGTCCCATCCTCTCTCTGCCTTTCGATTTCTGACAGTTACGATACTTGAGGCCTCTCAAGTCCCTCAACACAACCCGCCTCAGCGCAGATAGCGACAGTAGAACCCAGGTCTCCTCTATCATCTGTGATGAGGTGTACCCGACCACCTGTCCTCGTTGGTCGATGTTTAATCTTATCGTAAACGCATGCATCACTTCCCCTCTTTTGTGCGAATGTGGTACCAAACCCGAACAAACCAGCGAATCCGTCACATATCCTTTGGCTGTTTTCCCTTGCACTTCCGCTCTTTAGTCCTTTTATCGACCTTAGCTTCAACGGGGTCCCCGTTCCCGTTCTATCCCCACACCCCATGTTGAATGACATGGAGGACAATCGCTATTTTCCCCCCAACGTCCGAAGGCACTACGATATTGACCCCTGAAACTGCCTGTAATTCAGTCCGGAAACTTCTATGCACTAGGTAACATATATGCAGTTTCTAGAGCCGAGTTTTTGTGTGAACAGGGGAATTCAGACAGCCAGAGCATATGCGCTAACTGGCGTATATGCAGTACCTGGAGTATGCAGTTTCAGGGGTCAAATACTCTATCTGCAGCCCCGGCTACGAACTCCGGCCTCAACTCGGTAGGTATCATCGGTTTCCGATATCACCCACGTGGAATGGAAAAGTTTTATACTGCCTCACTGGCTCCTCCCTCCTCGGAACAGGCTGCCAACCGAGTCAAAATGTGACGGATCACCAAGGTTCTGACCAACACATAAGTCTGCCCTTTGTTCTTTACATCCCCCACTGTCTCATATATTGGGTGGCCTCCTCCCGTGAAGCCGACGATCGATAACGAAGGTAATTCTCAAGCTTCAGCTAACTGTTGTATGGAAGAGATTTCAAATTTACTCAGCTGGCTTCTGCAAAAATAGTTCGGCGATATGTCGATGATATTACCCGAGGCTGCTTAGCTGCCACGGCTGCCTCGAGGTGCATGCTTCAAACTTGCCTCGCTTCAGGCCCATTATTCTATCACGCAGAGAGAAATACTGAGCAGGTTGCATATCGCAACATTCGCAAGTTCCACCGACGTCGTGGACAGACCAAAGTTCCAGGAGCAAGCAATTAAGCTGCCTTCAGAAAGTGCTGGTCGCCAGACAAATGGAAGACTGGAAGTGCCCTTAGGCTGACTGAACTCACCTTACCCAGACAAACAACCGGTTTTATCCGATATCGATTTAGTAACTGCTTCGAGGAAAGCTGGGCGGCACATGGATGGAAAAAAGGGATCGGATCAAATTTCATCTCCTTTCCACTTCGCACTGCAAGTCTGCAAACAAGCCCGTGTTGACGGGAACCTCGATTTTGATGATCAGCGCGGGCTGACTTTAGATCTTATCTTATCTGATCTTACGGTGTGCTGTGGCAGCTGTGCCCCCTTTTCCTCAGGTTTAAGCGAGAGCCCCCCCCCCCGCCGTGAGCCCCGTGAGCCCCGCTAAAGACTGATTGGGAAGGGCCCAAGGGGCCAGTGTCCGCGCCAAAATCTTGAAACATTTCAACTTTGGATTGGTTGAGGGCTCAAGAACACAAGGGGGGCCACGGGAATTACACACACAGTCGAGTGACGAGTCCCCAAGGCCAATCCAAGCAGGGGCGGGGGGTGGGAGCCTTTGGTTGACATTGACAGCTCGGCTCTCGGCTTCGGTGGTTCGGTGATGAGTTTGTTTGGGGGTCTGGAAGACTGTTTCGACCGAGACGGGTGCTGATGTCTTGGCGTTGTTTCTACTCATCACTAACGGCTGCTGTTACTGTTTACGGTAGTGACGGATGTTTGAATAAGACGATAAAGACGACGACGACGACAAATCGCGTTTGCATAACCGGTGTCAAAATGAAGTTATCCACGAGTGGCTCTGGAACAAGGAACATAAATGCCCATCATAAAAACAATCAACAACATTGCCGTTTTGAAACCTACTTAGACGAGTGTCTTCACGGACTGGGCTTGAGTCTGCATTGACAAAATTCAGGGGCCCTGGTAACCAAAACCCAAGAGTGCCCCTTTGCCGCAGAACTCACCCTCAATGCTACCATAGCTGGGCTTTGGTGTTTCGCGATGGCTTCAAGGCGTTTCCCATATGGCGCTTGGGTTAGCGCTCGGTAGCCACTGGTTGGTCCATTTCTTTTTGAAGTCTGAAATTCCCATATATCCTATGTCCCGGCAGCAATCTTGAAACTTGTAGCTCTTTGTTTCTTCTTCCATTCTATCTCTTCATCGACTTCACTTCACTCATTCTTGCCAGGCGCAATTCTTGTTACTGTCCATTCGTTCACTCATTCACTTGGTTTCATAGTAAAAGCACCTGGCGTGCCACTCTTTTCCCAGCTTCCGGATCTTAGCATTTGCCGCACCAAGCCCACCACAACAGTCAATCTCTTCAGTCCGGTCCAGAGCAGTTCAGGCTGATCCTCGCTTCAAATTTACGCTTCATTCCCCCAACCCTTCATATATCTATTCCATCTCGCTCCACTACGAAGCAAAGATGTCATCCAACACCAACAAGAACCTCTACTACACCGTCCCCCTCGACGACGACCTCGAGTCCCAAGCTACCTTCAAGAGAAGAAAAGCGCCTTGGTTGAGCGTCCCTATCCGAAGCGCCGCACCCTCCCGCTCTCCCCTTTCTATATTGAAAGAGAGATTCTGGTCGTGGTCAAACGATGATACCCACCACCTCCTCCACAGCAGCAACAGCAACGCTCGCAGCGCCGGCCGAAAAGGCTTCTGGGACCGCTGGATCTGGCTCGTCCACGCCGTCCTCCTGACTACTTCCATGACGCTCTTTGCGCTATCCATGTGCACCTTGCAAACTGCCGCAAGCGCGAGCACCACGGCCAGCGCAGCGGTTCAGTGTCAATGTCAGGGAACCGGGTCGTCGTCGGCGGCGGCGGGAGGGATGGACGGTGCTTCTTCGACTTCGAGTAGTCTTGTTGGTAAGGGATCATCATCATTCACCACGAGATTCACGGATGTGGATATTTCCTGGGTTTTTCTGGACGGGTTGTTAATACTGTTTTGTTTGTGGATTTTAGTTCCTCGGTCTTTTTTTGATGATGATGAAAAGGAGACTTCGGCGCCGCCAGCGGTGGTTCTTCCTGTTCCGATTGCGGTCGACATTCCCGAATCGAAACATGTGAATATGGAGGTTTCGGTGGATGATAAGACTTGGGTTGAGGAGGGGGAGGAGGACGAGGAGTGAAGAGTGAAGAGTGAAGAGTGAAGAGTGAAGAGTGAAGAGTGAAGAGTGAAGAGTGAAGAGTGAAGAGTGAAGAGTGAAGAGTGAAGAGTGGGAGGGGTTCTGTGAGGACTTGAAGGCAGTCGGCAGACCAGATCTGGCTTGATGTTGTTGTTGGGTGGAACTTGATGCCGAAGCATACCTGCTGTTCAAGTTATAGTATCTGTCAAGTGAGTTTAGTTAGACCGAATTCTTCTGGACGAGGAAGACTCCTGTTGTCTGCATGATCCCACGAATCCATGCTGCCCTCCAAGACCTTTCATAACTTCACTCGCCCAGAAACATTGGCTGGTCAATTGTGGTCCATGCGATGATGATAAAAGCTCTCGAAGTCCGTGGGCAACACTTGGGATCTTCTGTGTTGGAGATCAACAGTTGTTGCTGTCCCGGAAAGCGAAGCTCCAACCACCATAACCAACCTCTGAGAACCTCCTGATCTGATAAACCGAGCTCATGTCGATACCTTCGAGAAGAAAATAGGCGCAATCAACCACTCGGAACAAATAAGATCTTCGTCACCTGTTGTTCACCGTTGTTCGTTGCGGATCTTGCATTTGGGTAAAACGAATGCCCGTCAGCGACTGTTGACAAGGGGGAGGCAAGGACCTCTTTTGATCCCCAAGTCTCGGGTCGTGTCATCCCTCCGAGGCGTTGTACCTGACATTAAATGTGGGGGCGTTCAAGGGAGTCAAATCACCAATCAGATGTGTCCATCTCCAGATAAGATCTTTGGTGTGGCTCCCGGGCCGGGGGGAGTGGAGGGGTTTCCTCACGACTTCCGAATCGTTCCAAAACCACGCCATTTTGGTCCTTCGCATCGTCCTGCTTCCGAGAGTCAAACGGTTCTCCATTGAATCACTTTCGACTTTCTTGTGTTCACGGACTTGCTTCGCCCATCCAATCAAGGAGCTCAATCATGGTCCCTTGTACACTTGTCGAGATCGGCGTCCTGTCAAACGTGCCACCCATCATGCAACATCGAGGATAAGACGTTCTGCTGACAGCCCATTTTGTTATTGCCAACTTGCGATGGTGAGAGCATACTACGCTTTGGCGAGGTAAACAAAAGAACCGAACGTTCAGAGAGGAAGGTTGGTATGGTCAAAGAATGCACTGACGTTGTTGCGGGAGAAGAAAAAAGAAGTTCTCGGATAGGCTTCCATTGCCACTGGAAGACCACCCACCACCACCATTGACGATGCGGAGACAGCGAGACGGCTCCATTCGGGACCCGGATTTGATTAGATCTCTGGGCAAACCTGAAAAGGGGTTATCGGTGATGATGATGGATTGTTCAACAACAGGAACTCAGAATGGGAACATTGTTCTGCATTCCTTTGGGTATGTGAAGCTCAAGCTGAACCTTACTACAAACATGTATACATATCTGCCTTTCACTTTTTAGAATGGCTCTTCACCTTACAGAACCCAACCCGTTCGCTTGTCACTGTACCGTCACAGGCGAGCGTGAGGAGCTTGTTGTTGTCCTTGTTCGGAGCAACCCACGGATTTACGGGGCCAGCAAGGACAGCCACCCTCGTCCTCGGCGCACTCACAAGGTCCCCTTGTTTTCACGCGACGCTTGTTCGGGAAGCCGATCGGCCAGGGGTGGTTATAACTTGAGAAATTGGGCCTTCCATTCCACTTTATTGCCAGCGACTCACTATCGGATTCGCGGCAAAATCTTTCCCATTATTGATCCTTTTTCTCTTCGTTTTCTTTTTAATCCTTCTGCCGCCACGCTCTCTTCGTGTTGTTCGTCCCCGTTGTCGGTCCTTTACCCTATCTTTCTTTTTCCTTACGCCAGCCCTACAACACAACCTGAGCCCAGCAGGACCCCACGCCGTCCCTCCGTCTTGCTTATCTGTTCGACACGGTCTTGACCTGGGCCTTCAGGAAAGCTTGCTTAGCTTGTTGTTACCCAACTTAATTATTCCTTTCTTTGGTGCGCAAGCCCAGCAACCACCGTCACGATGGACGTGGTCCTCGAGGTCACCGATCAGTTCATGTTCGATTACATATATGCCTGGCTATTACCAGCGCGACCTGCTCTCTATGATTTCCCCGGCAAGACCAATGGCACCGCCCAAGCTTTCTCATCCTGGGTGTATAAGCCCGCGACCGAGTTCTTCTCGCTCGAACCCTCGCAAGCGGCTTATCAGAGTATTTGGGCCAGAGACAATATCTACCGCCAGGCTCTATCGCTGTTCCTAATACTATGGTGCGCGCAAACCCTCTTTCCCTTCACATCCGAGTGAGTGGGCGCAAACAGGCTAACGTTTTGCTGTTCTCAACAGGCTCTTCGGTCTCGTAACCTACTACGTCTTCGCCTCTCTCTCGTACATCTTCGTCTTCGACAAGAAGACCATGGAGCACCCCAAGTTCCTCAAGAACCAGGTCTGGCTTGAGATCAAGCAAGCCAACACCGCCCTTCCCGTCATGGCGCTCTTCACCTTCCCTTTCCTGGTCGCCGAAGTGCGCGGTTACTCGCTCCTGTATGATACCTCAGCCGAGGGTCCCGGCCGCTGGTACGACTTCTTCCAGTTCCCGCTCTTCATCATGTTCACCGACTTTGGCATCTACTGGATCCACCGCGGTCTTCACCACCCGTCCGTGTACAAGCACCTGCACAAGCCTCATCACAAGTGGATCATGCCGACCCCTTACGCCAGCCACGCCTTCCACCCCATCGACGGCTTTGCCCAGAGCATCCCCTACCACGTCTTCCCCTTCATCTTCCCGCTCCAGAAGATGGCGTACGTCGGTCTCTTTGTTTTTATCAACTTCTGGACCATCATGATCCACGACGGCGAGTACTACGCCAACAACCCGGTCATCAACGGCGCCGCCTGCCACTCTGTCCACCATTTCGCCTTCAACTACAACTACGGCCAGTTCACCACGCTGTGGGACCGCCTCGGCGGCAGCTACAGGCAGCCTGACGATGACCTATTCAAGAAGGAGAAGAAGATGAGCACGACGACGTGGAAGAAGCAGGTCAACGAGATGGAAAAGATTGTCAAGGAGGTGGAGGGTGAGGATGATCGGATGTATGAGCCGACTGAGACCAAGAAGTTGATATAAGGTGAAACGCCGGGAAAAGGGGAAAGAGGTAAAATCTCAATACTCCCAGTCAATCTCTTTCTTTCTTGAGAAAAAAAGATGAAGAAGGGATTGACGAATCAGCGTCATCCGGCCAAGACCAAGCCACCGGGATCTTGTGGTCCTGGATCAGGGACCCGGGCTCGAGCCGGGTTTGGTGGTTGGCTGACACCAAGGATCCGCGATCCCTCCTCTGATGTGGGATGGTGGCACGGATGGGCGGTCGTTTGGTTGGTGTCGCGCGCGATGACGAACGACCGAACGAGAAAACGGCGGCACATCACATTTGGATACTGATGTATTTCCATCTGATGAAAACCTACCGAGCCGAACCTGCCAACAGGATGGAAAGGTACTAATTAGTACCTATAATGGAGGAGGTTGAACTTTATAAAACCAAATGATGGGATGACTGGGTAGGTAACTGGGTTTAGGACGGACGGACGGATGGGGTTGATGACAACAACATCAACAAATATCATGCAAAAGACAAAGGACAGCGGTCACTAGTTGCTGCTGTCCGTTAGAAGGATTTTAATAACCCATACCTCGTACATACTTTTATATCATTATATACATATAGCACTTTGCACATAAGTACCTTTACGGAGTCACCTGTTGCCGTTTTGGGGGCATATGATCATATTCATTTTGGGTAACAGCAAGGAATGGCGCAGACAGGCAACTTGAAGAGAGCACGAAAAAAATACGTGTAGTTCTCGAAAAATGAGATGGGCCTGAGTAGACGCAACAGTTGATAGACCGCAAACTTGCGCATTCAACTCCTTGCTTGCTCGACAAATTGGACAGGGGGCAGATACTTCAGTTCCGGGTTGTGTATTCTAATATGTAGGTATGACCAGTGTTGCCGCCGATGTCTTGCTTTCCTACTTGTTCAAGGGACAAGAGACGACGTAGGTAATACAGCTAGTAAACCCGAGAGAAAATGACTAAGTCACACGGCACAGCACAACACAAAACAACACAACACCCATAGCTTGCATAGGTAGTACACAGCTAAAGCCAAGCAAACGCTAGGATATCGCTTCTGAGCTTTGATCGCTAAATCGGGGATAAGGCCGAAACGGAGGCCTCCCATCACTTAGCAATCTCCGCTTTGGATCGTGAATATCTCAAGCTAACCTCACCACCTCACCACCTCACTACGGGAAGAGTAAACGGACTAAGGGTGGGGATGAACAGCAAGTTGGTTTGACAGCGCGTAGATGTAAGAGAACGAGTGAGGGAGCAACATAATAGAAGGTAGAAGACAGATAGAACGCTAATGGCTATTATTTCTGGTTCTGACTGACTGACTGACTGACTGACTGGCTGGCTGAGTGGGTTGGTATCAGACACACCACCGCCTTGGAGAGAGCAAAAAAACAAACAAAAACAGACGCGAAAGCCAGACGCCACCGCCGCCCCATCTGTCCGGTCACATCCGCAGCGAGAACGGACCAGATCTCCAAAACGAAAAGGAAAAAAAGAGCAAAGAGGAAAGTTGTCTCAAGTGTTGTTAAAATGATCGTATAGTGGTAGGTTGGTCCGTGTTGGTACAGTAGCAGTTGTAGCAGTAGCGGTAGTAGTAGCTTGAATAGAAAGGTCGAATGAGTGTCTGTTCAGTTGGCCGAGTTTGGTTGGTTCCAGCCCGTCAGAATGTGTAGGTGTAAATAAGTGTAAAAAGTGATAAAACCGGGTTTCGTTGCCCGAAAACTGGGTAAAGCTGGGTCATGAGTCGAGTCGAGTCGCGTCGAGTCGAGGTGTTCTTTGCTTGGTTTTTGCCGTCCGTCTGTCTGTGACAGAGGATAGGTATTTCCTTTTCCGAAGCTTCCGCGTATCTCGCCCATCGTGTTGTCCATTGTCAGTTGTGTCGTCTCGATATACCCGGGGCGGCTGGTTGGTTTGTTGGTTTCCGCATTCGGAGCTAGCCCCTTCCTCTTTCAGTTCGTGGAAATGCCCATCGATCATATCCTCCATTCCAAGTCGAAAATCTCGCACCACCCGCTCACGAAAAGCTCACAAACTTGGGATCCCTCGGCAACCCATCGGCCGCGATACCGTTCGCCTTGAATATCCTCTCCGTGTACAACTTCCTGGCGTCGTCGAACTTGAGCCTCCTCCTCTTCATGATCTTGAGAATTTCCCGCTTGGCCTCGTCATCCAAGCCCGCGCGACCGTCGCTGCCCCCCACGTTGCCCGCAAGATCAAATTCGGCGGACGAAAGACCGGCTTCTATGTCCTCCTCGAACGAGTTGGAGGTGAAGGGGAGTCGCTGATAGAGATATTCGCCGCCAGGAGCGCGGCGCAGGTAGGGTTCTATCGCATCGAAGGCGTCGAGTAAGGGCGGGAGCCAGGTGTAGCGGGTGAAGTAGGCTGTGGTGGAGAAGAGGAGGGTGAAGAATATGAGGGCGTAGAGAAGGTTGATCATTTTGGCGGGTTGTGTTTTTCACAGCTCGTGTTTGGAACAGGTATAGTTTGATGGATGGTTGCCACGAGAGAGAAGCTGTTGTGTAGAATTTGGCTTCGGAGGTAAAGCAAATGCGAGTGGTTGTAGGCGGGCTTTGCGACAAGTGGAATTGCGATCACGATACTTTTCGTGCTTCGGGTGATCCGGTACGGGTGCTGGTGCCTGGAGTGCCACTTGCACGCGCAGAGGTAGGTAGGTGCTGATATAAGTCGAGCTGGGTAAGTGCGTTATAGAAGTTAAGGAAACGAAGACGGGTTGTCAGGAGACAATTGAACAAGAACTCGGAGAAAGAACACAAAGTCAGGACATGTTCGGCTCGGGCGGTTGTTGCAAACAAAGTCCGCGCAGGCGAGTCGGAGGGATGGTTTTGGACAAGTTTAATTGATCACAAGATGGAACATGCGGCGCAACAGCATCTCGAATGAATGATACCCGCTCTGCCGCCCAAAACGTTTGCCAAGACACTGCCATGCTCGTGGGACATTGGGCCATGACGAATGCGGCAAGGGTGACAAGGCTGTCGCAAAGCGCCCGCAGTGAATTCGACAGCAATTCAAATGCACAGGCCACCCCTAACCCTGTGCAGGTGGCATCTTGGGTGCTTGCTGCAGCGCCCGCACCGCCGCCCAACGGGAAGCTCGAGCTGTCGGCAGCTGGCAAGGGCGCCAAGCCGTTGCTGCACCAGGTGGCACACTGAGCGCGACAATCCACCGTACTGGTGCCAAAATCCAGCATATTGTCATCTAGAATTTGAGAAGTTCGACTCTGCCTCCAGTAACGCCTAGGTCTTCTTGTAGCCCCAGATCCCGCCAAAATGTCTCTTAGCAACGTCTCTGCCGACCTCATCTGGGAGATCACCCGTAAGTTCTGATCCTGCTGAATTTCTGCCTCTGGCCGATTTGGGAAATGCGTGGACATGTCGAAATGCTGACCGTTCGCTTTTTGCCATCACATAGGCTCCCAGAACTCTTACCTCGTTAAGAGAACCTCTGGTGGCGGTGTCCAGTTCTCCCGGGATCCCCTCAACCTCACTAACAAGCATGCTCGCAAGGTACGATTACCCGAAAGAAACGAAACCGAGCGAACAATTCGCGGTAGAGAAAAGGATGAGAAAGGGGACATTTTGGCTAACGTTTGGGGAAAATAGTATGCTGGTTTCGTCAACGACAAGGTACATTGAGCAACCTCACCGACGCACGTCGCATATCGACCGAACGAACACATCGAACTGACAATGTTGGAATAGGCCGTCGGTGTTGTCGCTGGTGAGAAGGGTGGCGTCGTCGTGACCACCAAGAAGGCTGGCTCCATCACCAAGCCCTCTGCTCGTTACACCGTCGCTTTCGGTGCTAACAAGACTGCCCGCAAGTTAGTACACCCCGGCAATGACACCTGAGAAACCGACAGCAGCACGGAACGAATTGTTGACATGATGCGAACCGTATAGGACCTACAAGGCCATCGCCCGCCAGGTCGGCAAGACCGGCTACCGCGCCGATCTCATCCAGGCTGCCGTTGCCCGCGCCTCCGCCATCCGCCGCTCTCAGCGCGCCGTCAAGCCCGAGCCCGCCCAGAAGCTCCGTGGCAACGCCGCCAAGAAGGCTGCTGCCTCTGCTTAAGTGTACCGAGGCGTGGAGGACGATGAGCATGCGGGGACAGTTGGAGACGTCTGTGTATTAAGCCTGGAAAAGCCTCGCTGACAGAGGCGGCGCATACAACATTTCATGCATGGGATTGGGGTTCAAGGGACAGGAAAGGGTTGCCAGTCCCGGATTCCAGGGATGGCCATGGCGTTTGATATTCAGATGAATCAATCAACCCTAGCAGGGTCATCGACGAACAACAACTTCTCTGTTCTAGGTCATGTTGTGAGCGTGCAGCATATATGTGATTTTATGAGGGAAGGTGGACGGGGTAACCGGCCGGCAGGCAGGCAGGCAGCCGGAGGATAGCATGGCGCCCGGTTTTCCGAGTCTACCACCAACCTCTTCCGGCAACAACACCTCGGCATTCCAAGAAGTTCGGACTCCATGGGGCTGCCAGACAAGGTTGGCTGTATTTGGATATCGTGCTCCATTTCAGCTGGGAAACAAATGGCAAAAACCCCTGATCTGGGACGTCGAACTGGATGGGTTCGTTGGCCTTATGACCATGGAAGCGGTATGGAAGCGGGCCTCTTCGGATGACATCAGGGCAGATCTCCCGGACTTGCCCGAGGACGCTAAACCGAGCCGGACCTCGGGAGACCACATGTGCGGACGTAGGTACCCCTGACAAGTTGACAACCCGGAGTGTCTACCGATGCAACGGCGAGGACAAGGATCTGTGTTCCTTGCGGTTGATATCAACGGCATCATCTAAAGTCTGGGCACCGAAGCAGCACATGCGCCTCAAGTGCTGGCAGCAACGAGGAAACTAACGGAAATGAAACTCGCATTATCTCAGCAAATGCGCAAGACTGAACTACCTAGAGTATCACCTGAAGTACTGTAATTATCAATTTGAATGTAATCATGAATTTGAGTTTCAAGAGATTGTCTCAAGCTTGCTCGTTATTGCGCAACATGGTGTGTACACCGTCAAACGGGAGCGGCCAAGAACGGGAGCTGGCTCAACTCCGCAGCTTCCCCAAATTCCGATCCAATGGTCCATTCTCGCTCCTCCGGATGGCGGGACGCGAACGAAGCGGGAGAGAAACATGGAGAGAAGAGCGGGGCAGCTCGTTGTCCTTGCTGCATCATGCCTCGATTTGGACTGTCTGGAGGAAGGGACGGCATTGACACCTGCGCCCACCGGACCACTGGCTGCCAGCCCCGCAGCCCCGGGCCCCAATTGTACTGCGTAGGTCAAGGTAAATAAGAGGGAAGCTCCCCCACGAGCTCCCCTTCCCCCAGGATCCAGAAATTCCCCGTCATTTCATATCCAACCTTCTCCCAGTCCACCCACCGAATCCACCCTGACGAATTGCCATTGTTGCGCAGCTCGTCTATATCAATGTGAGTTAAGTCCTGCTCTTTCCTCCTTCCCGCTTTCCTTCCTCTTCTTCCCATCTTTCCAACAACCATCGACGACCGGGATCTAGAGCTGACCCTAGTTCCTCATCTCCAGAACTACCCCTCCCCCGCTTTTAAGTATCTACAGTTTTCAAAATGGTCAAGGCCGGTAAGCTACACCACGTCCATCTACGCCCATCTGTAGTCTGAGGCGACGGTAGCAGGAAGCTGACATTATGCGCAGTTGTTGCTGGCGCCGCTGGCGGTATCGGACAGGTGAGTTTTATCCCAACTTGGCCATGGGAGATCCCGCCCCGAACGGCGCGGATCGGAGGTTGAGATGAAAGCAAATGCTGACCAAATGTGCCGCAGCCCCTGTCCCTCCTCCTCAAGCTCTCTCCCCTCGTTGACGAGCTCTCCCTCTACGATGTCGTCAACACCCCCGGTGTCGCTGCCGATCTCTCTCACATCTCCTCCACCGCCGTAAGTAGCCAGCACCAGCTTTGCGCTGGTTGTCGCCAAGGACACGAGAGTACACCACGGACCCCGCATAGGTAACTTGGCTGACACCTGGCCCATTAGAAAACCACCGGCTACCTCCCCCCCAACGATGGCGCCAAGGCCGCCTTCAAGGATGCCGACATCATCGTCATCCCCGCTGGTATTCCCCGTAAGTAACAATGCGCGCCGCTGGATGTGGTGAAGCAGAGACTGACTGGCTATTCTCACAGGCAAGCCTGGCATGACCCGTGATGATCTCTTCAACATCAACGCCGGCATCGTCAAGGGTTTGATTGAGGTCGCCGCTGAGGTCGCCCCCAACGCCTTCATCCTCGTCATCTCTAACCCTGTCAACTCGACTGTCCCCATCTCTGCCGAGGTCCTCAAGGCCAAGGGCGTCTTCAACGCCCAGCGCCTCTTCGGTGTCACCACCCTCGACATTGTCCGTGCCGAGACCTTCGTTGCCGAGATCGCTGGCAAGAGCAACCCCCAGGAGCTCGTTGTCCCCGTCATCGGTGGCCACTCCGGCGAGACCATCGTTCCTCTCTTCAGCAAGGTTACCCCCTCGGTCACCATCCCTGACGACAAGTACGATGCTCTTGTCAACCGCGTCCAGTTCGGTGGTGATGAGGTCGTCAAGGCCAAGGAGGGTCTCGGCTCTGCCACCCTCTCCATGGCTTATGCCGGTTACCGCTTCGCTGAGAAGCTCCTCAAGGCCTCCAAGGGCGCCAAGGGCCTTGTCGAGCCCAGCTACGTCTACCTCCCCGGTATCCCCGGTGGTAAGGAGATTGCTGAGAAGACTGGTGTTGACTTCTTCTCCGTTCCCATTGAGCTTGGCGTAAGTTTCAGCTTTCGTTCCATTTACTGTGTCTTTTGTGCTAACATATCCATAGCCCAACGGTGCTGAGAAGGCTATCGACATCCTCGGCGACATCACTGAGAAGGAGAAGACTCTCCTCGAGGCTGCCGTCAAGGGCCTTAAGGGCAACATCCAGAAGGGTGTTGACTTTGCCCACAACCCCCCTCAGAAGTAGATACCCCTTTGATTCCTGCTTGTGAAATATCCCCTTGCGTTTCTTAAGTTTCATGCATTATGAAGGCTATGATCTTGGTTGGGTGGCTTTCATATAGCCAATACATAACCACACACGAAGCTGTAGATGAAGAATAAAAATGTGAAGACCATATCAAGTTCAAGCAGTACAGGTGGACTGATACTCATTACCTTTCTAGGCTGTAAACAAAAAGTTAATAGGATAATCGACGACTGATATGACCCGGACGACCTATACCCATTCTCTTCCCCTCGCACGTATCATCAGCTTCTCCCCGGTGCGCCGGGTCCAGTACCCATCGCCTTGACGAATAAGCCACATATCGCCTTGCGCCCAACATTTGGATACGTAGGGCATATGGGTGGAGTGTGTCTGGACAGGACTGCTATGTAGTAGCATGGGAAGGTTCTGCTTAAGCTGTGCGCTGGCTGGGGAATGAAAATATAATTAATTTTATGCAGTTCTTCGCGAGTGGTTTTGAAAGTGTATTCATACGTCGGTGTGCATATCGTTCGCTATGCAGTTTTGATTCTATTTTTATTTTTTTGGCAACGTCTCGTGTCCCATGAAGCTCTGTATATATAAAATAAAACCAGACCTTTGATTTCCTACTTCAAGAGCAACATAAAAACACCGCTAGTATGGCCCCAAAGTGCCCGGCTAAGAAGTATCCCATGCAACAAAAACAATGATCTCGGCAGCAGCAGGCACGTATTAAGTATAAAGGTTTGGGAAGGCCCATTCGCTAATGTGTAACACAACTGAAAGCATTGAAGAGAAACATTCAGTTCTGCGTCTTGATCGTCTTGATCTGGAATACCGCCGCAGGAAGCTCGCTCGACTCAGCGGTAACAGTCGCGTTGATGCCCATTGCTGCGAGGGCGCCACGGACTACACCGCATGGGAACCATAGGAACTTTTGTCCTGTCAGTCGGTATGTGACTCGGGCAAGTTGAGGCAGGAATTGTGTGAGAAGAAAGGAAGAGGGTACACCTACCGGTTGCGCCCTGGCTATGGCTTGGCTACTTGTCTCCGCGGACATTCGCGATAGTGGGCGGAAGGAGTTATCTGTTAGGACGTAGACACCCTGCGTTTGTATGTTGGTGTTAGCCAGGAAAACAACGGAGACCATATGAGGGGGGAACACACCCGATGGTTCGTCTTCAGATTATCCACCTGTTTCCTAAACACCAACGTCCAAAGGTCTTTGCAGAGGAACTTGATGACATCCAGCGTATCGTTGAAGCGTGGTCGGTCGCGGGAGAATCTGTCCAAAAAGGTCCAGTCAGTATCGCGTCTTGCCCATCATTTCGTTTCGCACCTAAGCAGCCGACTGGACGGGAAGCATACATACCGTTCAACCAACCCTTGCCCAACTCTGTAGCCCAACCCTTCCAACCTGGCAAAGACCGCATCTCTTTCCTCGTCCTCATCCATTTTCCTTGCACTGCCATTTCCACTCCCATTCAAACTGCCTCCTGCCCCTAACCCTCCTCCCCCTAGTCCACCAGCACTTAGTCCCCCACCGGTCCCGGAAGATAACACACTATTCCTCTGTGCCCCTGCCGCTGATCCAGTAGCCGTACTTTGCGCATCATCACCACCACCATTAGTTGACGAGGAGTCGGAGGGAGAAGCAGAGTCGAGTTGGTTGGTTATCCTGTAGGCCATGGGGACGAGCTCGATAAGTAGGAAATCGAGACAGGAGGAGGCGAGGAAGCGGGCGGTTGGGTCCGAGGCGTTGTAGGGGGGGAGTATTGTGTCGAAGGACATCTTGGGCGGTTTGGTTTTGGTTTGGGTTGGGTTGTGATAAACAGAAGTACGTTGCTTGCTGGTTGTTGGAAGTTGAGTTTGAGTAGATTGGGGTTTGTGTGACCAGCGGATATTATGTCGTTCGGTACCTTAGTAAGGTAGTTGACTAGGAAGGACTCGAGGAAGGTATATTCCGGTCCGCAGGTGTTGTGCGCTCGCGGGTAAGAGCTACTAGGTGATGCTGATGGGAGAAGCCGCTCGGGTTGCTGGTTGATTGTCTTGATGCCCTGGTATAGCGAGAGTTCGTCGGTTCGTTTGATTCGCGCACAGTTTTGTTCTCTCGTCGAAATCCTGCGTAGGTTCAATTCGAAGGTTCGTGACTGGCGTACGTTGGCTTCAATCCCGCCTGCGATCCTGTCTTCGGTCTGCCGGTTTATCGGAAGATCGCGGTGACGCAGGTAGCTCGGAGCTTGTGCGTGGGGTTCGGGTGCCGGGACTCTTGCCGGTTCGGATCGGCCAGATCGAATGAATCGCGGTTCTTGAGAAGTTTGACTATATCTGTTTGGGAAAAGCCTGTATGGTAATGATCGTCTTTGTCGAGAGTTTGGAGCGAGTCAGATAGGTTGGTTGTTGTGCTTGTAAGGGGAGGGCGAGAGCTGTTGTTGCGGTTGGAGAGATGCCTGCCGTCCGAATAATTGGTACTGTAATGGCAGCTGCTTAAAATGGACGGTATTAATACCCCACTGGAAAGTGCGGCTAGGAGCATCCACGAACACACTCCAAGCTTAAGGCCAGAAACTATGCTTGGATAAAAATACTAGGTACCTTCAGGTGTCTTACATCAACACCATGTACTGGTATCACGCAGAGCTTTTATCTGAACGACTTTAAGCCTTCATACAGGCGTCAAGTGTCATTGGTGAATGACAGCTTTATGTGGTCGATTTTCATGCACAATACAGTTTCCAGACAATACACAGTTCATGTCGCATCACTTTACTGGGTATCGGAATTGCATCCTAGTACTGAATCCTCATTCCTTTCATATATCACTGTACCTCATCCCGGAAACTGCTCCCATAAACCCACTTTTCCCTATTTGAGAGCGCCCAACGCCCAAGACCGATATAAAAATGCCTCCCCTGGTCCGCCATGTCAAAAATGCAATAAAAAAAGGTTAAAACCAAGATGCTTTGGTGGTGAAGAGCAAGGATACCCAGTAGACATGGCGTTCGGTTTAGGACTGGTGAAGGGACACAATCTGGCGTCCTGTTGCCCAAGCGAACATACGAAGTCAATACTGAGCATCCTACACTTCATCATAGTCAAGTTGACGGGGAAATACCGCCTGATAAGAATCCCACCACTCTTGCTCGCCAAACCAACGGGGACAACGAGGACGAGGAGCACGTCTACCCGTTCTCCGTTGAAGCGTGCCGGTGACGCACATTTGTAGCATCCTTTACTTCCCCCTAAGAGTTGGACCCATAATACGCGTTCGTCCCGTAGTTACCCCGCTTCATAGGCCTGGGCGGCTCGTCGTCATCTGACAGCGTCAAATCAATAACTTCGGGCGCCGGACGTTTGTTGTTATTATTCGTTGATCTTGCCAGGGAAGGCGTGCCGCCTGTGCTTCCGTTCATCGGAGTGCCGATAAGTGTAGTTGACGCGCCGGTAGTAGAACGACCGGGCGTCGAGAAGTCGTGGTTTGCTGCCGAGAGGACTTCCGAAACATACAGGTCATCGTCATCGACAAAGCTCGCCTCAGCAGAGTCAGGAATCGTCACCTTTTCCGTGCCTGGTTCTATCCACTTGCCGGTGGGTTCAATGGTAACCTGCTCTACAGATTTGGGAGTCGCTTCGAGAATGCCCATGGCGTACCTGGAATGCGTGTCAGCCAGTACAGGGGAGACAGTAATGAACACAGAGCCATTGCAACTTACTCATCAATCGCCAGCTGGTCGAACGGCACAGATTTGCTGCAGATGGGACATAACCACTGTGGCCCTTGTTCCTGAAGTTGAAGGTATGATGTGGCATCGAAACACTGAATATGACCACAGTTCACGCCTCGGCACGGCTTACTTAACCTCATGTAGGACAATGGGCACTTGAGACTCAGAACTTGTGATGTAGCGACCACGTCGGGGTCGTTAGCCTTGTCTGCGATCTCGGTAACCACCGACTCGGCACGGATCTTTTTGGTGATTCTCGACACCAGTTCCTCGATAGTCGGTGTTTTGCAAAGGTATACTACGAGGTAGAAATGCTGTCAACCCAAGTGGTTAGCAATTGCAGGCCTCTGCGAGTTCCCACACCTAGTTTTCCTCTTACACCTACCTCTCTGGTGAGGGCATACGTAAATTCGATGTTGTTCGTGTATGTGTTCGGCTTCAGACGAAGCGAGTCCGTGATGTCAACCGGTCTAGTAGACCCAGGTTTGTTCTTCAGGCCTCGCAGATTTGCCTTGACATCGCCGCCGTTAACCTTGAGCTCCGACTGGTAGGGAAAGGCGATGTCTTGGACACCATTTTTGCCAGCGGCACAGTACATCATGATCCTTAGTGAAGGGTCGTTTGTGATGTTGTTGAGCTGGGGATAATCTGAGATCCTGAGTTTGATGGACACAGTCTGCCTATGTTGCTGCATCGCTGCTTTCAAGACTCAGCGGTTGTGTCCAGAGGCGGAACGATACTGGCTTACCTGACATACGTTCACACTCTTTGACCTCCCCGATTCGGTACTGGATCTCGTAGAAAACGCTGGGCTTGAACTGGAAATCGTGCCGTTGTTGGTTATACCAGTCAAGTGGTCTGCTGACGCCCTTGGGCGGGTTGTAGGAGCCGCTGGGCACGCCGTAGGAAGCCATGGCATAGCCGTTTGAAGTGTTGGCTTGACTTGGAACGGGTGGGTAGACTGCGGTTTGCGGTATCTGCGGTGGTGGTGGCTTGCTTGGTTGTTCCAGCATACCCGTGTTAGACACGTAGGTATGGAACCAGGGCACGGTTGTCTCGAAACTGCGGTAGAATGTATTGAAACTGATGCCGTCGCCGCGCGCAACGCATTGCTGGATAGCTGGTCGGGGTTGAGGAGGACCTCTTGCGTCAGCCTGCATTCCTGTGATTCTTTCGTAGAAGGGTGGAGGTAAGGGAGATACTCACCGTCGATAAGGCGTTTCACCAAATCAGGCTTGTTTCCGGTCTTGGGCAAACCATTGATGGAACAGAGGGACTGCAGCTGCGTCTTGTTGACCCCAGCGTTCTTTGCGACCGCCTTAAGGGCCTCAACCTTGTCTTTTGGAGGAGGGCCGGCACGATCCATTTCCCCTCTGCCCCTCAACGACCGGTGTTAATAATTCCAGCCTCTGCCCGTCGACGCCGGGCTTGTAAACTGAAGATGCGATTTTATAGGAGCGCGCTGTGGTCGTGTACCCGGTCTGCGTGTAGTAGAGTTGCCTGATTGCGACCGGCCGCCGATGGTCCGTTAAACTACCACCAATACCTAGAACCCCGAAGTTGGCCGTCAAAGTAATCAAGTTTGGGAAAGTGGGAGTGTGGGCGCGCAATTCGGATGGCGCGTTGTGAGGAAGGAGTGATGGAGGCTAAGCCGAATGTTCGGGAGTGTGCCCGGTGCGCTCAAGGCAGCGACACCTATACACGTACAAGGCGACGTCGAGGTTAGGTATCCGTGGTGCAGAGGTGACGGCTGCTAAAGGTGACGGCGTCACCGTGATGTACGGCACGCGACGGAGATGGATAGGTTTAAAATTTAAGCTCGCAGGTGAATGATATTCCGAAGATCACGGCCGCCTTGCACGTTATCGGTCGGTCACACAGAGCCGGCTGTCGCTGTCTGCGGCCTACGCACTGGCACTCCCAGGCAAACGCGTGAGTCGAATGTGAAGGTAAGGTAGGTAGGCGCAACCGCGATGCCCAGCAGTGATTTGGTACCTGCGCGGTAAATACCGTCGAAAAACAAACTAGGTCCTGTATGCGCCAAATGATGGAATCGTCACTCCGTTGGCAAAGACAACAGCCGCTATCGCTTTCGTAGCCCTCGCTTCAAGTTGGTTGTTCCAAAGTCCAAAAGGCGTTGTCGATGTGAACAGGCGGGAGGAGGCGGCAGAAAGTGTGCCGGGCAGGAACCTGTGGATCGCTAGCAGTATTTATCGTAGCGGGTGAGGTGGGTCTGTTAGTGGCAACGAAGCAGCGGCAGGTACCGTCGAACCCATTGGAGAGTGCTACAGTGAAGTAGCCAGTACTTCATTGGGTAAGCAAATTCCGCCACGGATAAAGTCCTACCTACATCCTGGCCACCCTCCAACTTAGCGGAGATCCCAGGTCGCCTGTAGTGTACTGATCCAGTGGAATTTTTCAACTCGGCAACAACGACATCTTATCGATATCTTTTGTCACCTTCACTCCCTCCTTCCGTACCGCATATTCAATCTTTTTGTGGAAGACCGACTCTCATCCATCCCATCCTATCTTCAGCAACTCAAAACTACACGACCCTTTTTAAACCGCAAAAATGGCCAAGAGCAAGAGAGCGTCCGTCATCAAGAACAACAACCAGAAACTCAAGAAGAATGTTTTTTGGACCTGTTGAGGCCGCTCGTTTGGAGAGAATCTCTGCCAAGCTCCTCGAGCTTGCCGCTCAGCCCAAGCCCATCAAGGAGGTTGAGATGGAGACGGTGAACGAGAATGAGGTCAAGGAGGCCACCAAGGATGACTGTAGGTGTAGCTGGAAAACCAAGATGCAAACGAGGGCCATGTGCTGACCAATTCACAGCTGCTATGGAGGTTGATTCCGCCAAGCCCGTCAAGGTTGGCAGCAAGAAGATTGAGAAGAAGAGGAAGGTCAAGAAGTCCAAGATCGTCTTCCCCAAGTACGGCGAGAAGTTCAGCAAGAAAGCTAGGAAATGAGCGACACGCGACTTCAATTTCAGCACCTGAGTTTCGACAGACGACCCAAGCTTTCAACGGTTTGTCCTAGGCCATGGAACGGCTTTACCACCAAAGGACAGCTGCAACTACTCTCTCATGCTCCGGACATGTTCTAGTGGTTGCCCCTTATCACGACGACGAGGCAGCGCCGGGCATCTAGGATTGGGATGAGAGGAGATGGTGTGGATTATGGCCTCTTGGTGGCAGGCCTCATTTTTCTGCGCGGTCTTGGGCTTCACTGGTCCTCTGCATGGACGGAATGCACGGGATTGCCAGTCTTCCGCATTTCTGACACCGACGCCGTTGCAGAAAGCAAGAATTTCAGTCATATGGGATGGAAAAAAGAAGCAAACGGACGGTGGGGTGGGATTATCTACGGTACACTTGGCGCATTTGGGTCTCTTGATTTTAATGGATTTTTTTTTCTCTGGGCTAGCATGCTGTTCTGTTCTAGGGGTCTCAGTCTCACAGCGTTAACGCTGTTCTCCAAGTGGGGCCAATGCCAATCCTTTAAAGGGCCTGGGCTTCTGGGGAACGAACCTGAAATGGGAAGGAACTTTAGGTGGAAGCCAACTGGGCTGAACCTCACTGGCCCCTTTCTTCCACTGTTACCTTAACAACCTCACCTGTGCCTCACAACATCAACAAATAATCTCTTTTTTGAACACATTTGCAACTTCCCGGGGTCTTTTGCGTTCGCAACACACAAATGGCCCACGAGTGCAACTTTTAGTTCTTACTGACAAACATCATATTTCCCTTCGATCAGGCACACCTAGAGAATTCGGCGAGTCGAGATGAGTTCCCGGCGCAATGGGATCTTGAGCTCCTCGCTGCTTCTCATAGCAGCCAATCTGCTAATCCCAGTCGCCATTGTCATATTCGCAACTGGATTCTTCCCATATAAGCCTCTTCTACCGGGTCTGGCTGAGTATGAGCCACTGGATGATTATAGTGAGACTCCGGAAGCTCCGTTTGACAAGCTGGTCTTCATGGTTGTTGACGCATTACGAAGGTAAAAACAAGCCACTATCGCCAATACGGTCCATCATCAAGCAGCCATGTTAATCCGTGGGTGGCTTATATGTAGTGATTTTGTATATACTACCAACAGCGGCTTCAAATTCACTCAATCGTAAGCTCTTCCACTTGCTGCGCACTTTCTCAGCTTAAGTAGACCTGGAATGTTGACATTTCATATAGCTTGATTCGCGATGGTGCTGCGATTCCCTTCACGGCCCATGCCACATCTCCCACAGTCACCATGCCTAGACTGAAGGCCATCACTACAGGCTCTGTGCCATCTTTCCTCGATGTCGTTCTCAACCTTGACGAAGGCGATGAGTCCTCAAGCCTCGCATCGCAAGACACCTGGTTGGCTCAGATGAAGGCAAAGGGCACTGGGAAGCTTGTGATGTACGGAGATGATACGTGGTTGAAGCTCTTTCCAGGCACATTTGATCGTGCTGATGGAACCACGAGCTTCTTTGTCTCGGTAGGCATCTACGGTTGATCTGGTAGACATCTGCATCGTGCTAACGTGAGTAGGATTTCACCGAGGTTGATCATAATGTCACTCGAAACATTCCTGGAGAGCTCCGAAACGACGACTGGAACACTATGATTCTTCACTATCTTGGACTTGACCACATTGGACATAAGGGAGGGCCGAGAAGGTAAATTCGCCTCTTCTATATGAATATGCACATTACTGACTAGCCACACAGCCCTCATATGGTTCCGAAGCAGCGGGAGATGGATGGCATCGTCAACCAGATATACAAGGCCATAGAAACCCAAGACCACCTAAAGTCGACCCTTTTTGTTGTCTGCGGAGATCATGGGATGAACGACGCCGGCAATCATGGTGCTTCCTCGCCTGGCGAGACGTCACCTGCCCTCCTTTTCATCTCTCCCAAGCTTAAAGGCCTTCAGAAAAAGACTCAGGACGCTCCGCTACCAGATGCCGAAGACTTTCAATTCTACTCGACCGTGGAACAGTCCGATCTGGCACCCACTTTGGCTGCTCTCCTAGGATTTCCTATTCCCAAGAACAACCTCGGTGCCCTGATTCCCGAGTTCTTGTCCATATGGCCTAAGAGTAAGTCGTGAAGCCACACAACTTCCTGATGCCATTGCTTTTCCTAACATAACTACAGAAACCAACCAGGCCTATTTGCTGCACCAAAACGCCCGCCAGATTCAAACCGTCATCTCGGCTGCTTCGGGTACCAAGACCTTCGACTCTGCTTTGGCTGTATCATCCTGTGCCAGCCCCTCGTCCGACTATGAAGAACTTGCCTGTGACTGGCAAGGTCCTTCAAACATCCTCATGTCTGCAAGAGTGGGCGATGATATAGACCCCAAATGGGCACTGCCTGTTACTATGGTACGCACTGGATTATACTACATACTCTCCTAAAGCAATACATCTAACAACTTTCCAGTGGCTTCGCAAAGCTCAAGAGCTCATGAGTGGCATGGCGAGCAACTACGATATGTCCCGACTAATCCTAGGCCAGGTCGCCGCCCTCATCGCCGTGATCTTTGGCCTATATGCAGCAACCAAAGCCATCTCCCTAACCAGTTCCCTCACGCCCTTACTGGTCATTTCCATAGCCTACAGCATCATGATGTTCGCCAGCAGCTACGTCGAAGAAGAGCAGCACTTCTGGTATCTAGCAACGAGCACTTGGTTCGGCTATCTCAGTTTCCGCGGCTTCAAGCGGTCCAACACCACCTTCCCCCGGCACCTCCTCCTCACCGCCCTCCCCCTCCTCTCCGCCCTCCGCCTCCTCCGGTCCTGGAACCAAACCGGCCAAAAATTCGCCGGCACCCCGGACATCGTCAAGCTCTTCCTCGAGCCCAACCCGCACTTTATGTGGTTTCTCGTTGGCCTCACCTACGTCCGGGCCCACCAGCAACTCGTCGACTCCTTCCACGGCCGGATCCCGGTGCCCGTCAATTTCCCTGCCATGACGGGCCTTGTGCTGGCAGCATTCACTTTCAAGGCGGCTTTTACGCTCGAGGATGCTCCCGAACTAGTGGTCCCCTTTGTAAAAAGTAGCTTGCTGGATTTCACGCGGGGAGCAAGCCTCATCGCCCGCGCCCGCGCGGTTTTCGTTGGCCTGGGGCTCGCGACAGCCGCGGGGATGGGGTTCATACTTTGGGAATCGAAGACAGTATCTGGCCTCCGCCTCCGCCGCCATCAACCTCAACCTCAACCTCAACCTCGACAGCCACCACCAAAGAAAAAGGGTCCTGCGAAGGCCGAGGCCGTCACGATGCTCCAAAACCTCTACACCATCCTCGCCCTCACGCAATCCCGCACGACCAACATCCCGCTCTTCCTCGTCTTCAACCTCGTCTATGGGTTCCTATTTGCTGAGATCGATACTGGAAACCTGTCGACGGCGGAACTGGGGATTTCTTCGTTGCTACTGCAGTATGCAAGCTTCTTCGCTATGGGCGGTAGCAACGCCATCTCGTCTGTGGACCTGTCGAATGCCTACAACGGCGTGAGCGATTTCAGCGTTGTGCTGGTGGGAATCTTGACGTATGTTGGGAACTGGGCGGGCGCGGTGTGGTGGGTCGTTGGGACCGTGGTGCTTTTGGGGAGGATTTGGCGGAGGGATCAGAGACTCGACGAGGGTAAGAGGGGGATGGAAGAGATGAAGATGATGGTCAAGAAGGAGCAGGGACAAAGTCAGACCGGTCTGTTCAAGACCTATGTCGCTGTGATGACGCTGTTTACGGCGTTTAGTGTCGCAGCGGTCATGGCGGCTTGTACCATTCTCAGGACGCACCTGTTTGTTTGGACGGTGTTTTCGCCAAAGTATCTGTACTGCGTGGCTTGGAGCCTGGGTCAGCATTTGGTGGTGAATGTTGGGGTGGGTGGGCTGTTGTTTTGGCTTCAGTGGTTGTAGGTTAAAGTAAGGGGTTGTGCTGTTTGGTCTATGAGGAAGAGCATAAGGAAGGGTTGGTGGTGTGAGATGATGTATGGCTGTTTGTAAGAGATATAGAGATTAGACTGGAAGGACAAGACGACTTTGATCTTGACATTGGCCAGAATAGCACGATCAAGAAACCACACAATGTACGTAGAAATACATGAGGGCAAAAAAGAAAAAGTCTTTGAGCGTTTTATTCATTGGTATCGTGCAAATATCCCATGGACGACCAAAACCAAGCCAATACGTGTCCTAGTCCAAGAGGAACTCAAGGCTTGATAGCAAGCAAGCAAAAGACGACATAAACCAAAGCCAAAAGCACAGAGCCTCCATATCGTAGTAGTGTCCGGATCCGAACCCAATCAAGTCAGTTCATATGTACTTCAACAATCCAGAATCTCCGCCTCAACACCGTGCGCAACAGCCCTATTCCGAGTCCTCGTCATCGTCCGACAATAACTCGTCAACAAGCTCATCATCATCTTTCCCTTCATCTTCTCCGTCTTCATCATCATCCCCGCCGTCTTCGTCTTCTTCTCCGTCCTCTTCCCCACCCTCTCCGTCTCCTTCTTCCTCCTCAACCTCTTCTTCATCTCCCTCCTCCTCCTCCACTTCCTTCTCTTCTTCTTCTTTCTCCTCTTCCACCACCTCCTCAATCTTCATCCTCTCCATCACTGTATCCTCATCACTATCGTTCAATATCTCCTCCACAATACTTTCCTCCGTACCCGCTCTACTGCTCCGTCCAGCAGCGCTCAACCTTGCCTTGGCCTTCATAGCACTAGCCCTCCTACTCCCTCTCCTCCCAGTAGTCGGTGGTTGTTGTTCTTCCTCTTCTTGCTCGTCTTCCTCCTGCTCCTCCTCTTGTTGCTTCTGCGGTGGTTGCACACTAACCACACTCTGCGAACTCTGCCTCCTACTAGTCCTGCTCCTAACAGAAACGCCTCTCAGCAACCTCCTCTGTTCCGTGCCTGGCGTCTCCTGAGCTTCTGTTGCAGTCGTATTCGCCGGTTTTGGCGTTGTTTCGCGATCGTCAGCATCATCACCATCATTATCGCCGACTTGGGTGCCGCCCATTTCTACATCTTCTTCGTCTTCATCTTCCTCCTTGATGGAAACAGCAACACTGACTTCTCTCTCCTTTCTCTTCCTGGTGTTAACAGGCGCACCCGCAGCAACAGCAGCACCAGACACAGACGGCGCGACGGAGCCGGCTCTGGAGACAGCCCCGCCTCCACCAGCTTCGCTAGCCGGGGGCGCAACACTACCCGCTCGGCTAGGAGCGACGCTGCCTGCCCTGCTAGCACTTCTTCTGTGGCCTGTGGCGCCTGAGGCGATGGAGGCGTGGCGGCCCGCGCCTGCGGCGTTGTTGGCGGCGTCTTGCTCGGCAGCGGCGTCGAGGGCGTTGACAATCTTGCCGAGGGAGACGTGGATCTTGTAGAGGGCGTTGCGGGAGGTAGCGTCCGACAGCAGGTTGTTCTCGACGGCGTCGGTGACAAGGGCGTAGACGTCGCGGATCTTGGTGGGAGAGGAGGGGTAAGAGGAAGGGGAGGAGCCGGAGGGGATGTAGAGCTTCGCGAGGAGGGCGGCCATGATGCGCTTTTCTTCTTCTGTTTTCTATGTGTCAGTATTACACGATTTGGCAGCGGGAGGAAGAGGAACATGTTGATAGGGAGATACGTACTGGCTCCGTTCCCTTGCAACCTTTCGAGAATATCTTTGGCGAAGTCGAGGTGAACATCTGCCGAAACGGTCTTCTTCTCGGGGTCAAGACCGGCGCTGAATCCTTCATCTGGGTTGTAGCACTTCCTGGGATCCGTCCAATCAACCAAGCAGGCAGCGATGGTCGACATGCTCACCATCTGATCATCCACATCGGCCTCTTCGTCGTCCAGGCCTTCACGCACGTTGTACAAGGTGTGTAACGCGTCAAGCGCGACCCGGCGCATCAGATCCTGGTTCTCTGGCCGCGAGTAGCAGAATACAGGCAAGAAATAGTTGAGCGCCTGCCTAACGCTCTGGTTCGCTGCACTGGCGGGCTCAAAGTACGCAATTACAAGGGTCTTGAGCAACTCGGCAGAGACGTCAACATCGCTGACAACGCGGCCGAGAAGCAGCTTGGAGACGGCCACGGTAGCGGCAGCCTGGACCTCGGGAGACCTGCCGCCGGCGCGCAGGGCCTTGACGTAAACCTTGAGGAGATTGGTGTTGTTGGAGAGCAGCTGCGCGCCGTGCACGTTGAGAATATCGGTAAGGATATGCAGAGCGGTGATCTGGAGAGCAGTGTGGCCCTTGGCGAAGAAATGCATAAACAGGGTGAGGTTCTCCTCGGCAAGCGAGCGGTCGAGGAGCGAGCAAAGGCCGAGACAGACGAGACCGCGCTCGCGAACAGGGGCCTCGTGGCTGCGGACGGCGGGAACGACGAGGTTGTTGAGCATGGAGACAAGATGATCGTTTTGCTGGAGATTGCCAGCGACATTGGTGAGCATGCACTGCACAATGTGGAGACACTTCATGTTAATCATGATCTCCTTGATGGCCTTCTGGGCCGCCTCCTCCTCCGACAGTTCAGGACCCTTGTTCTTCTTTTTCTTAGATTGAGAATCTTCGTCGTCGCTGACCTCGGATCTAGCTGAGTGGAACGACTCGTTGTCATCAATATCGCCTTCATCAGGAACGTCGTCAACGATGGTGTCGTGCACGTCGGCGACGGCTTCAAGGACAATACTGCAGAACTCCTTCTCGCCGGCGGCATCAGGGGCGCAAAGGTCTCTCAGAACCTGGACAGTAAGTTTAGTGACTTCGTCGGGAAGCTCCGGGATAGAAAGGGTTTGTCGCAAAAGGGCGAACATCTTGCGACGGCCGACTTCATCCGAATAATCCAGGGTGAGGGCGATATGGAGAAGCTGTTCCACGATGAACTCTTGTTCGACGGTGTCCTCTTCCTCCTCTTCGTCTTCCACCTCCTGCTCGTTGATCCTCTTGATGGCATCGATGAGCACCTTGACGTATCGTTCCAAGTAGAATGCGAGTTTGGTAACTTCGGGTAGCTTCTGGTCGACAAGGGATTCATATTTCCCATTGCCCTCGTTCCTACAGAAGTCGTTAAATGTCCGGGCAACAAACACGGATTCTGAGCTGAGTGTCTCCCAGAAGTTGTCATCAAAGTTTACTGCATTTCTGTAATCAGCACGGCCCTCCCAGAAGCCCTTCATAGCCTCAAGAGCGACACCGTTCTCTCCTCCAGAGTTGACAACATCAATGCGCTCCAGGAGCTCCAGCAGGGCCTCCATGCTTGGAGGTGACACCTCAGAAGGCTGGCCTCCTTCAACGGGAGGCGCAGTACCGGCGCAGTCCTCGATCCATCTTTCACGGAATAGGCGGCAGGCAGCCTTGCGCACATTCTCATCTCTGTCGCGTAGACCCCAGCGAAGAAGCTTCTCTCTCATAGATAGTGACAAGTGGCGGAAGTCACCCAGCGCAGGCAGAAGACGGGAGTAGACAGCGCGCCGCGTAAGCGCATCTTGGTCGCGTGCTCGCTCCAGCAGATATGGTAGGGTCGTGGGCAAAATCGGCAGGTTAACCAGGAGAGACCTCCTCACATCGGCACTAGGGTCGTTCTGCAAGACTTCGAGGAGCTTTTCGAGGAGACCGGTCGATCCATCATCGTCACTATCATCGGAATCCGGTTCACCCTCAATCTGGTTGCCTGCCAAGCGTCCAAGACCCAACACAGCTTGTGCGCGCACCATGGCCTCCTTGTCGCGAATCCTCCTAAGTAGACTCGACCGCAGTTTCTGGAAGAGGTCGTCGTCAATCGCGTCGAGAGAGTTGATGATATGGGATATGAGCTGAGTTGATCGGTAGCGCACGAACTTGTCCTTGGCGATCATCAAGGGAAGAACGGTTTCCATCAAGTGTCCGGTGAGTCGGGTACTGGGTGTCTCGGGCATGGTGCTGGCATCCGGGTCGGCCTCGCCGAGAATTTCGTTATCCTTCTCGACGGCGTGGCGCAGGAACAGACCGATGAAGCGGACCGTCTTCTCGCCGACTCCTTCGCTCTTCTTGATGGGCATAACGCGCAGAACGCAGCGCACAAATTCCTTGTTGAAGTCATCTTCCTCGAACTCGTCGGCCTCGGCGGGCTTCTTTGTACTCGTCGGCTCGTAGCAGCATGCTTCTTGGATCTTGCGCAGGGTCACGGCCAGCTTGCGATGGGATGCGGTGGTCTTTTGGGCGTCGCGGAAGACGGTTGCGACTTGTGTCCGTAGCGCATTGTCGGGAGTATCCAAGGGTGCTTCTGGGACGACCGAGGCCTGGCGCGACCCGCGTGTCGCCCTCGTCGATCTGCCCGGCGCCATGGTCGGCAACGGCTGTTGGTATTAGCGGGGCCTGCGCAGCGGCAGTCCTCTATTTGTATGCGATGAAGAAGAAGTTACAAGTAATTCAAGCCCAAAATAAGAAAAACAAGCAAAAAAAGAAAGACGTGGTGGGGTTTTGTAGGATGGGTTGCGACGGGACGAAAGTGACACTATCCGCGAATGGAAGTTGTTTTGTTTACTTTGCATTGGACTACTGCGAATTTCCTAGCGGCCCCCGTCAGCGGGAGAGGGGCACTGTCCATGCGTCCACGCCTGCTGTCGCAGAACATGATCCCCCCGCCGGCATGTCAAGCTTCCACTTGTGCCTGACTGAAGAGACGGGAAGCTAGATGGTCTGTGCGCCCCGCCTTTACAAGTAAGTGCACGAGATGCCAAGCTTTAACGAAACGATAAGCTCCCCTGCACCTTCTTATCGGGGCTCCACCTCGAATATTTTTCTTTGGGCGAAGGGTCCAGAACTGTTGTCGCTGGGGGGAAGCTGTACTCAGTGCCTGCTTCCCTTCCACCATAGTTGTGCATTGAGAGTGGTGAGGGCCACTTCACTTTCGGCAGTTTGTCTTTGCATTCATTTGGCTGCTCTTTTCAATTTTCCTTATCAACATCACCACCACCAACACCACCAACACCCAGTCTTTACATCACAACACAACCCGCCTGCAACAATGGGCAAGGACGGGAACAAGAAGCGCCAGCGCGAGGTGGACGAGGAGATCCCAGTTGATCCCGATGCCATCAAGGATTCCGATGCTGCTGCCCAGGAGGGGCCCAAGAGCAAGAAAGCTAGAGTTGAATCCAATCGCTCTCTCTTCATCCGCCAGCTTCCCCCAAGTGCCACCGCCGAGTCCCTGACCGAGTTCTTCTCTCAACATTTCCCCGTGAAGCATGCTACCGTCGTTCTCGATCCCAAGACCAAGACCTCGCGCGGTTATGGTTTCGTCACCTTTACCGATCCCGAGGATACCCTCGAGGCCAAGGCCAAGCTCAACAACTACCTGCTCCAAGGAAAGCGCCTGAAGCTCGACATTGCCGAAGCCAGACACCGTGATGCCAAGAAGACCGGCCCCATTGTGTCCAAGGTCGCCGAGGAGAAGAAGAAGCGTGCTGAGGCCGCCGAGGAGGCTCAGAAACCCAACAAGCTCATCATTCGCAACCTGCCGTGGAGCATCAAGAAGTCCGAGCAGTTGGCCGAGTTGTTCAAGCCCTACGGCAAGGTCAGGTTCGCCGATTTGCCCAACGACAAGGGCAAGCTTTCCGGTTTCGGTTTCGTCACCCTCCGTGGTCGCAAGAATGCCGAGAAGGCCATCGAGGCCATCAACGGCATGGAGGTCGATGGCCGCCCATTGGCCGTCGATTGGGCCGTAGACAAGCAGACCTGGGACGAACAGAACGGCGGAAAGTCGGACGAAAAGAAGGAGAAGAAGGACAAGAAGGCCAAGGAGCCCAAGGACAAGAAGACGGAGGAGGAGGAGACTGCTGGCATGACACAGGAGGAGAAGGATCTTTACAACTTCTTCAAGAGTCAAGGCGATAACCTCGAGAGTGAGGATGAGGAGGCCGAAGATAAGGACAAGGAGGACGATGAGGAGGAGGACGACGAAGACAAGGACGAGGAAGATATTGAGGAGGATGAGGAGGAGGATGAGGACAAGGAGGAGGAACCGAAGCCCAAGAGAGTGACCGACAACTCTCTAACACTCTTCATTCGCAACCTGCCATACACCACCACCGACGAGCAGCTGAAGGCGCACTTCACCCAGTTCGGCGGTATCAGATACGCCAGAGTCGTCAAGGACAGGGCCACCGACAGGCCAGCCGGTACCGGTTTCGTGTGCTTCTTCAACGAGGAAGAGATGAAGGCCTGCCTCAAGGGCGCCCCGCGCCACCAGCCTGCCCCTACACTCGCCAAGCATTCCGTTCTTCAAGACGAGACCGTTGACCCCGAGGGCAAATATACGCTCGACGGGCGCATCCTGCAAGTCGCCCACGCCGTCTCCAAGGACGAAGCCGAGCGTCTCGCCGAGGCATCAGCTGGCAAGAAGGACAAGGATAAGAGACGTCTCTACCTCCTGAACGAGGGCCAGATCACGCCCTCGTCCACGCTCTTCAAGGTCCTTACCCCGGCCGAGATCAAGATGCGCGAAGCGTCTGCCAACCAGCGCAAGAAGCTGATCCAGTCCAACCCGTCGCTGCATCTTTCGCTCACCCGTCTCGCTCTGCGCAACCTGCCGCGTAACATTGACTCCAAGGAGCTCAAGTCGCTTGCTCGTCAGGCCGTCGTCGGGTTCGCCAAGGACGTCAAGGAAGGCAAGCGCGCGCCCATCTCCAAGGAAGAGAACTCGCGCGGCGGCGAGCAGGACAAGGAGAACGAGCGCCTGCGCAAGCAGAAGGGCAAGGGTGTCGTCAAGCAGGCCAAGATCGTGTTCGAGACGACCGCGGGCACCAAGGTGGACGAGAAGGTCGGCGGCGGCAAGTCGCGCGGCTACGGCTTCATCGAGTACTCATCCCATCGCTGGGCGCTCATGGGCCTGCGCTACCTGAACGGGTTCGCGGTCAAGAACGAGCTCGGAAAGACGCAGAGGCTTATTGTCGAGTTCGCCATCGAGAACGCCAACGTGGTGCAGCGCCGGAAGCAGGACGAGGAGAAGCAGAGGACGATGACCCCCGCGGAGAGGAAGGCGGAGTCGGAGGAAAAGAAGAGGTCCAAGGAGGCTAAGGAGGCTTACAAGGCCGGAAGGAAGGCTGACAGGAAGAAGGGCAGCAAGCCGGAGAAGCCAGCTGGGTGGAATAAGGGCAAGGACAAGAAGGGCCCTGCTGAGGTCGCCAAGGCCGCCGCACCAGCGAAGGAGGTCAAGGCCGAGGATATCAAGGTCGATAAGAAGGGCAAGAAGAGCGACGAGGCCAAGGAGGCCATTATGACCAAGATTTTGGCGAGGAAGAGGCAGCAGAGGAAAAAGAAGGCCAACGTCAGGGGCAAGAAATAAGCTCTGCCTGGGTTCATGGGGTTTAATGTAGGGAGTGGGCATGTATCATATTGACTGGGTTTCTCATGCTCTTTTATAGTTATATCACGTTCAAAAGCAATGTTTTAGCGTTTTCCAACACCTTTTCTTTCTCTTCCTCAGTAGGATACCTTTGCTAAAGGTTAGCTGGGTGGACTCTTTTGCGCTCTACGTTGTCTTCTGTTTGTTTCAGCTTTGTCCAATCCTTGCAACTTCTCTCTTCACCTCCTATTCACCTCTCTTTACTTTTCTTTTCACTCTCTTTGAACTTCTCGTTTTACTTTCTCTTCACCTCTGTTCACATTTCTCGCCTTCCGCTAATTCCTTTGTAATAGAGCGAAAGCTAAGAGTAGGCACAGTATCCCCGCCCTGCAAACGGGTAAACTGTTCTTGATTCCAATTCTTGACGAGGACAAAGCTCAATGATATTATTACGCCTTCTACATGCAACATTACGGAACAGAACGCCTTGCCAGCCTTTGCTTTTTTTTCTCGCTTACTCGCTCGCATGCCTTCTAGATACCGAAAAACAAGAAAACGCCACCCTTCCCGCCAAAAGTCAGATTTATACAGCAGCACTCCTCGTTGTCTCCAACCGACTTCCTTGCCCTTCATCTTCCTCTTGTTCTCTGTCTTCCCTAACCCCATTCTCTCCACCACCTAATACCCTAAAATTCGGATCCGTCCCTCTCCTCCTCATCCCCATCCTACTTCTGGTATTTCTACCAGCACTGGTCCCCCGTATTACCGTGTCCGACCCGTTGTTACTACTCGTTGTAGCATTCGCTGGGGTCATATGCGACGAACTACCGCCACCACCGCCCATCCTCCACCCACCACTTAACAACTCCGCCAACGTCCCACTTAGGCTCCTCGTTCGCCCTCTTATCCCTTGGTCTTCATGCCCTTGACCTTGCTGTCCCTCTCCCTTGTTACCGCCCTGCCCGCCTAACCCGGTAAGATCCAACAACGGGCCAAAAGTGCTGGTACTACCCACCGCACTTCCGCGCCCCCTGCCGTTTTCCAGATCGTAGTACCCGTCGTCATGGCCTATTTCGTCCTGCGGCACGAACAAACTGTTTCTCAGCCCCGGCCTGCTTCGTCGACCTGCTATCCTCCTCTGCGTAGGCGAGTCGTTTTCTGTCGACGACATGCCGAGGTGGGGGAGTAATCTGTCTGCCACCACGGCGCCAAGGGTGGACGAAAAGGGCGAAGGGGAGATCATGGGGGGGTTACCGCCAGCATTATGGTGATGATGGCCGTAATGGTGGGTGTGTGCATAAGGGTTGGAGGCTCGTGGTAGAGAGGAGGAGACTGGTGCGCGGGGGGTAACGGGCCGCGAGGCGGAGGGGGTGTCCGAGCTGAGCCGGAGCCGGCAGCGGGGGAGGAGCCGCGGGTGATGGTGATGTTGGGCCGGGGGGTAGTTGAGAGAAGGTCGGTGGTGGCGAATTCGTCGGAGGAGACGGGGATGGAGGGGATGGTGTCTGAAGAGATGGTGTGTGGGCCGATGCCTGGGTGTTGGTAATGAGCGTCAATTTCGGGGATGTATTCTTCGCTTCTGTTCCTGTCTTGCCAGGGATTGTCGAGCAAAGGAGCGTCTTCGTTGTCGTTGTAATCTCCTTCTTCGACAAGAGTGTTCTGGGATTTGGGTCCGGTGCGAGTGTGCGAAGGATAGCCGGTATCCTCCGCTTCCTCGACTGCTGATAGGGGCCTGACCGCGGCTTCTTTAAAACTGACACGCGACGACCGGCGGGATCTCGCAGAATCGCTACGTCTGCGAGAGGGCTGGCGGGGCGTGTGGGGCGATGAGGAGGTCGCGGCCACGACTGCCGCTGCTGCTCCTAGCGTTGGGCCTTGTTCTGCAAGGCCAATGGTTTCATCGATGCCCTCGGCGTCGGAGAGAACATCCTCTTCATCCTCTTCCTCTTCATGGTGCGGCCTGCCGCTGGTAATAAGGAATACACCGAAGAAAGTCAACATGCAGCCGCCGATAAACTTGAGCGCCTGCTTGCTGGTTGTCCTCTCAAAGTCCCGATACAGGACGGCACTGCCAATGATTACAGATAGCGTAAACAAAACGAATTGGACGGGGATGACCTGGGTAGAATCGAAACGCCGGAGTGCCTTGTTTACATAGTGGACTTGCATGACTGCGGTGGTGAGCAAGACAAAGAGTAAAACGTATGTAATAGGTGTGGTGAATGCGCCGAGGAGAGTGGAGGAGAGCATAGATGAGACGCCTTTGGTGGAGAGCGCAGTATATCCGCCTATGTAACAATGGGTATTAGCATTAGGCAACTGCTGGTAAAGTGGTTGTAAACGTACCGAAGAGACCGACCAGACCCAAATCTATCAGGATGGTTCGGTTGCCGTACCTGGGGCTCGCCCACATAAGGAGAACAATCAAGGCACAAGTGATGCCCATGTAGATCTCGAATTCCATGGTCGTGATCGCATCCCATACTTCATGAGGCCCCATCTTGGTCTCTTGCGACTCGGCACTCAAGACCACTGTCACGGCACCGGCCACGGCAATAAGGACACCGAAGAAGTCTCGGCGACGGAAGACCTCTTTGAAAAAAGATGGGCGCAATGACACAGTTGGAGACCAAAGCTACCACGCCGAGTGGGCTGACAACGGAAGCCGGAGCAAAGCCATATGCCAGGAAGTTGCCCGTCTCACCCACTGTGATCAAGCCCTGGCCTAGCCACCAGTACGGATCCTTCAGATATGTGGTTGCGACCTTGACCTCCCCTCCAGTGGGAGTCAAAGACTCGGACCAACCTGAGTCCGTGGAATCGGAGGACCGTGTGAGAGGTTCGGTTTCGTGGGCAGCAATGGCCAGGTCGCTGTTCGGATGGCGAATAGCGTCCTTCCTCGAGAGACTCGCATCAGATGGGGCTGTAGTGCCGTATATACCACCGCTTCCAGAACTTGAGCTTGTCCCACTCGCCTTGGCCCTAGCCTCCCTGAGCGCCTGCTTTGCGCGCCGCCGTACCTCGGCGCGATGTTGATTCAACCGAATGTGGGCATATCGCTGGACGTTGAGCGCGAGAGCTATTAGGATGTTGCCGCAGATGGCGGTGATGATGCCGATCAGCGAGGACCAGTTCTGGAGTTCGTCGTCATTGCCATGATCGCCTCCGTCGGTGAAGGGGATATCGACGTCAGATATGTATTCTATGGGCCACAGACCGGCTGCGGATGCGGGAGCGGGCAAGCGCATGGTTGCCGTTGGGGCTGTTGTCTATACACGGTTCGGAACCGGGATCGGAGGAGTTTTGGTTCGGGGTCGAGATGGGGATTCGCGAAGGGTCGTGGATGGAAGCGGCGTTCCTGGTGAGCAACGCACACGGGCTCGTGGCGTTCAAGGCTCACTGCGTCTGGTCATGGAATGTTGGCTCGTCAATGGGAAGCGCATGTGAAGCAATCGGTTGGCTAGGTAAGGTATATGGGACGGCGGATGATGCCCTGCTCGCTTCCGCTTGTATGTGTGTACAATAGGTAGGCTCGACTCGAGTAAGGTTCGGTTTCAGTAGTGGTTGTTGGCTGTTGACTTGGGGGGGGGTATTGTCTGCCCGTATGGCCTCTTTATCTTTCTGCTTTTCCGGCTGCCTACTACCAACAACGTGACAGATTCGCGCTTGAGACGAACGAAGAAGGAAATAGTAGGAAGGAGGAAGCAAGAAGTAGTCGAGAAGAATAGGAACCTCGGGAAATGTCGACGTCTATTACGAGACTAGTGTCGCGGTAGTCGCAGTAGCTGATCGGAGTTTAGAGTGGATGTTCCGTCGAGGGGTGAAATTGCAAACAGCGACGGAGAAAGGACGGTGTCCAGGTTGTATATCGAGATCCAACAGAGTGATGAGGACGGGAATGGTGGTGGTTGTCGAATGCGCAGCCCGAGTTGTGCGCGAGAGTCCGAGACTTGGTTGTCTAACCCAAGCCAAGGTAGATACAATGCTTCCAGGTTGTCATACGAGATGCTCATTAGGGACAGGAACCCTTGAGGAACCCGCGACACTAACAAACTGTGCAGACTCAGATTCGATGGCGTCGCTAAAATGGGTGCCGTTCTTGCCGGGATGAAGGTGGGATCGAGGGTCGCTGTTGCTGCCAGGAATAGCGCCAGACGAACCCTGGGAAGGCTCGCCTCATGTCCGGATTCTAGCGTCTCAGCGCCTGGGCTGTCATTGAAAGCTCCACTTCCATATCGCTATCGGGTCTGGTAATTCCAGCGATTCCAATTTCCAGGCTGTGGTGGGGTAGCTGCCCGTGCTGTTAACGTTTCCACCCTTCTGGATCTTGGTTTGTTTTTGTTGTCTTCAATGTTAGGTGCTGTGTAAACTTTTCAGGTCTTCAACCTCGCTTCACGCTCTTTTCCCGCGCATTGACTTTACCAACACTTTGGGTTCAACATGTCCATGTGGAAGCGGTGTTGTCTAGGCTTAGAGTGTGGATTGTCGTCGTTGTCAAGACTGTATACCCTCTTGCCTCTACTGTGTATTGGACACTGCGAGTTAACGACACCTTTAAACGCTAACACTTATACACAATACTACACCTGTATGTCTTTGACTGATATTCCATTTGGGTTGGCGAGGAAACAGTTTGAACCCTCCCATGGTGCTTATGGTAGATCTCAAAGAGGGCATGGAAAGGTGGTCCTTTGTCAGAATACAATGTAATTCTCTTGAGGTTTTGTCTCGTTGCTCAGATATCGACAGATAGCCGTAGAGGTACGCGTCTGATATCGAGGTACGTACCTCAGCTGTCCCGTGCAACAGAAGCATCTAGAGAGTGCCACTGAGGTCATTCTCCAAAACAGTGGCATCACACACAATGGAAGCTCCAATTCCCCACCCCCACACGTTAGCACGGAAACGACCTCAACCTCCAAGTGAAAGACGCATCACCTGTTCTTCACTTCCCCTCTTCAACTTGGCTCTTCCATCACAGAATACTCGATCCCACCATCGGTAATCACACCACAATGCGCGATGACAACGACCCCCTCAACGAATTCCTGAAGCCCTTCAGGAAGTTCAAGGAGCACGTCGACGACAACATCGGCGCCGGAATCCACACCATCCTCGACTCCATCCTATATCTCACTCCCTATCAGTTATCCAGAAGAGATGCTCCGTCCTCGCCAGCCCTGGGCACCGACATCACTCGCGGCAAGAACCTGCCTGACATCCGCGCATATGAGAACAACAAGGCGTCTGAAGAGCTAGAACGGCACTTCGATGAGCTACGCAATCATGGCACCAACTACTTCGAAGCAGCCCGCGCCTGGAGGCTTTTCCTTCTACGCTCCAATTACTCCCCGGTCCGCCTTTCTCTCGAGCTCGGCTGGAAGCCCGTTCCCAGGGGTCTAAGCTCGGAAATGGATCCGACTTTGTTCGGCTGGGAGGACGCCTTTGAGGATCTTCTGGCCGAAAGCTCGGCCAAGCCGATGAGGAGTCTCGAATCCCACTGGTTCACCAAGCAATATCCCCTCTATCCGAAGTACCTCGAACAGAGCAAGACCGTGACCCCGGACATGCTCCGAGCGCTTGATATGGACCAGAGGATACGCTTCCGCAAGCTTGACGAGGCCTGGTTCCCGCTCTACTCTCGGTTGTTCGTCGACGCCTCCGACCGTCGTTATTGCTCGCCGCGCAGCATGGACGAGTGGATCGAATGGAGGAAGGCGGAGGCCAAGAAGGACGACTTCCACAACAACATTCTTTCTCAGCTCGTGACAAACCTCGGAGTCGACGCTTCCCGCTGGGCCGACAACAAGAACAGGAATAGGGACGAGGCCGTCCTAGAAATGCAAGGACGCATCATCAACGACGTCAGCAACTCGATCGGCAACGTGGTTGATATGTCCAGCGGCTTTTTTGACAATCTGAACTGGTTCATCAACAAGTTCGACCGCGCGTTAACCGAGGACACAGAACGGGAGTCGAAGAACAACAAGGATTTGGCAGAGGCCAACAACTCGAAAAATGACAAGAGGCATCCTGACACGGAGCAGGATTTGTCTGACGTCATCTTGTCAGCTTTCAACGAGTCCAACCGGTCGCTGAGCACCCTCTTCAAGTCCATTGCCAGCGAGGTCAAGGACACCAAGCGCTTCTTTGATGACTGGATCGATTCTCAGGATGGTGTACCAACGGACAGCAACAACAATAACTCTGACAGTCTCGCCACCAAGTCCTCCAATACCGATATCGCTCCTCGAGACAATAGCACCGTCACCACCACCACTAGCACCAATGAAAAGGGCAGGGTGACCGAGACCATCAAGAAGGAAGAGTATACTGACGCATCCGGTGCCGTGCACATCAAGCAGGAAATCACCCGGAAGGATGCCGAGGGCAACGTGATTAGCAGATCGAGCAGCCACTCGGTTTCAAGTAAGCGCTCTTGGTCTTTTGGCAGCAACGACAACATCGATGCTGATGAAGACGACAATAAGACCAACTCCTTCGCCAAGAAGGACCGTGAAGATAAGGACGACCATGACGGGAAAGATGGGAAGAAGGAAGGGTGGTTCTGGAAGTAAATAAAATGGTTGATAAGTGATGACTTGAGGTCATCCATGTTATGAGAAGAATGACTGATGCTTCACAGTCACGTTCTTGTATGTACGATAGCAGCCTATGGTATATCCCTTTCCCTTCTCCTCCTTCGATCGACGTCAATACTACTATATTAATTTCCAATAGGTGACATGGTTCGAAGGGGTGTATGTAGCAAATGTTCTCATGCCTTATGTATATCTGATGATCTAAACCACTGCTTTGCACGAATATCTACGCTGTTTCAACATTTCTATTTTTACGGAAGCTATTCTAACGTGTATCATTGGACACTCCGAGCCATTGATGTTCCGTATCCGTTAGATATGGAAGCGGTGTTGGTTCACACCTTCATTGAGACAACGATGTGCATACGGAAATTGAGGGAAACCGTGAAGAGAGAGATGAATAGAAGGTGAATAAAGCGAAATAGAGATAAAGAAAGAAAGGCAGAGGTGAAGAGGGACTGGAGTAAGGTAGGAAATCAATATATTATCAGACATGGAAGTAAAGCAGGTGAAGGGAAATTCGAAACCTTTCCATCAACTTGGCAGCATTATGATAAAGGGGCATTACAACCGCACATTTTAAGTTGTCAGCTAAGCAGAAAGCGAAAGTTTTTCATAACAGCTACCTAATTGAATCAACTACTTCGCTAACTGGTATCTATGCAGAAGGGGGAGGGGGGGGGGGGGGGGGAGGACCGAACAAGGAACATGTGCGCTTGTTACAACTTCACCAATGCCATGATCTCAGCATGGCTTCTTAAAATCTCAGCCACGCCAAACATCAGTCAGAGACAGAACAGCCAAGGGTGCGCCTTCACTCACCGGCCCTACTTCCTTCAAAGTTTCCTCCTCTCCCACAACCTCCTCATCTTCCTCTTCCTCCTTCTTCTCTCCTCTCTCCACAACAGGCCTCCAATCCGCAATAATCCCGATCCTCTTCACATTGCCTCTGTTGTCGTAAACATCAGAAACGTACCCAGAATCAGAACCATAATCGGATCCAGACCCAGACCCAGACCCTTCTCCTTTGTCAAAGAACGTCCCCAGCTTCAGATCTTCCTCGGTAGTGACCAGATATCCCTCTTCTCCAGCACCTCCTCGCGCATGCGATCGATGAAATAGTTGAAGTCCGCTCGCTTCTCAACAAGGTATTTCTTCAGGCCTTGTCCTCTGAACTTTACGGGATTCCTCCCGCGGTCAGTGCCAAGCGATATGCCCGCCTGGCGAAACGAGTTGAGCGCGAAAAGCTCGTGGTAGCCGAGGGAACGGCCGCTGTCGAGGTAATAGTCGTGGTAGGGACAGAGGTTTTGGTTGTGCAGGATTCTGACTTCCGATGTCCTCGGGGGGGGAGTATCGGTAGTTGGATACTGCAACTGGTGGATGTTGACGTGATCTGTAGTCAAGTTGCAATGGAGGCAGGTAAGCGGTTGAGAAAACTCGGGCCAAGGGTGGCTTGGGATGCTTTAATTTGGGTCGTTTCCTCGTAGTTAGCTTGTTCTGTATGATACTGCCATGTCGCTTTTATGGATGTGGTTAGGAGAAGGAAGATGGCATGGGATTTTGTGTTGTCTAATTGGGCATTTGTGCGGTACTACAACGTACCAGGCAAAAACATTGTTCGAGCTTTGGGGAGCGTAAAGAATGTGCTTGTAGTATCGGAACCTTTTGAGCATTTGGGTGTCTTGTTCGCGTTCTGGCCACAAGTACCAGGATCGGTTAGTGACCCTCGCTATGCAGAGCCAAATTTTAGGCAAAATGCACGACATGCACATGGCCAACGAACTGTCGAAAGCAATGTCGAAAATGTGAAGATTGGTAACTTACTAAGTCTGCAATCTTTCGGCGAAACTTTCATGAAAAGCTTGTCCGCTTCGACGGCCTTGGCTCCTCGTAGCTGGAGAAAGGAAAAGGTACCAAGTCTTCCAGCTCTCATAGCTCGAACAAGTCTCGCCTCCTCATGATTCAATGGCAGCTCCTCATCCTAGAAGGTATCCCAAATTATATGACCAAGTATCCGTAGTTTAACAGGTTCCACCTTGATGAGGGTCAATGTCTCTGGCTCCTTAAACATGACGCGGGTGCCATCGAAACACATGTCCCAGGTCAGCTGTAGAGCCTTATCAACGAGCCGATCAACGTCTTGTTTTGATGCAGCCACCAAGTGATGGATCTCTTCGTCGTTCTTTGTGTCCTGATTCGTGACCCGCAGATAGGCCTGTTTCTGGGGGTGGACGTGTTCTTGGGGGTAGATCTCCCGCAAATAAACCGGAATGTGGGGAATTAACGAATTGATGGCGCCTTCGTGGGGGTATCGCTCGTGGACGGAAGCAAATTGATGGTTGTCTTCGTTCTTCTTGGTGTCCGGTTTAGTTATCTGCGGATAGGTCTGCTTCGGGGAATAAACTTGTTCATCGGGGTACCTCCAGACCTGCTCCCGGAAATCAGCCTTGTCGTATTGGCACCCCTCGTGGGAAGGAGTGAAAGGTGGTATGAGTGGATTCATGCTGAGAACGATGTTTCTGGATGTGATGATTCGTGAGAATGAATATTTTGTAACGGAATCGAGACGTGAACGAAAGAGCCGGTTGAGAGCCAATGAGAAACGAATGATGTGTGGAAAGCCACCGATGGAATATAAACTTGGAAGTCGGTGGAGGATCCAGTCAAGCAGATGGGGTTTGAGCCCAAGTCGATGATACATTCAATCGTTCGAGCGAGGTTCTCCGAGGGCACTACTCTTCGCTGCATGCCAAAGGGGAAAAGCCTACCTACAGTACATCTTCTCCCCCCCGAAGCCGGGATGATGATACAATGACGACGCTTCTTCCCCAGGAATCTTTACTTCAGTCCCCTGATATGACTGGGCAATGGAGGGCAAACCATTCTGGTGCGGTGGATGGAAGGCACAATAGTGTCTGCAGCAAGAGGAAAGAATTGCACCTTCCCCCTCCGAAGTGGGGGAGTTGACTTGCTGGCAACGTTCCTTCCCGTGAATTGTTTGATTTTTTCATCTTTCCAGTAGGTAGTGAAGCGTCACTTGGGGTGGAAGGAAGAACCAACACCGTAGATGTGTTGAAGAGGAAGGTTGTCCTCGAAAAGATCTTAAGTGACAGCTTCCGTCGACGTCAAATACCCTGATCCACAATTAGGGCCATTCATTCGGAGCTAATTCCGCTGAATGCTTGATATCCAATCATTTGTCCAACTAAGTCCCAATGGGGAAAGAAGGGTACGTACCTCCATCTGCTCACACCACGACACCCGACCAACAACCCAGCTGCCCTGTGGTAAAGGCATCTTCAAGTCTCAAAAATATCTAACGCGGATGAAATAGGCTTTAGAAAGGGGTTTAGACATCAGAGAAGGTATTAAGCAAATGAGGGTTGGCTTAAAGACGAGTAAAAGCAGCAAACGAGAGCAGCCACTGCCATTCATCGAGGTAGTACCTTTTGACACTCTCCCCTTTACTTGTACAACCCTTTCGTTCCATGTTAAGCCAGCGCCAAAAGCCATAGTATCTCCGCGCCGAGTCTTGTCCCCGACCCGCCCAAGCAATGCCCAATTTTCATTCCTCTCCGCCCCAAGGCACCACAAATCAAAAGCCACCAAAGAAGAAAGGACTCTTCGATCCATTCATCTGAAGCGGAGACGCCGGAACTTTCATCGGAACCGGCACATGGCCCTCAAAGACTCCCCAGGACAAAGTGTCATCTTCCGCAGCACTCGTAGGCATGGCTTCTTGGGCCTTGCCCTTGCCATTACCGTTGCCCTCCTCCTTGTTCTCCTCATGAGAAGATGCCGATAACGACGAACTAGCAGCGACTGTAGCACGCCTAGCAGGAACGATAACACCACACTCCCAGTTCCGGCAGGTGATTTTGGGCTTTTTGGTGTTACGGTCTTTGATGAGTCGGCCCCTGATGGAATCATGAAAAGTGAGTCGATTAGATATTTTCCATGCTTTAGGGTAAAGGGTGTGCAGAATATGGAACTTACCAAGCACTCTCTGACATATTAGCACTGCCAACGTACGCGAAGCCGCTCACAACCTTCTTGCCAGGTTCGTCTTTGGACTCTTCTGTCTTCCTGACGAAGATCATCTTGTCGTGCATGAGCATGCCTGGTCTTGTGGATATGCAGTCACGCAAGACTTCGCGGGGAAAAGTTGATGCTTCGAACCATTGCTTCTGAAAGCAAATAGTTCCGGCGTCCTGTGAGTGCCACGTCAGTATCGTGCCGTTGGTAAGGTATGATGAAGAAGAGAATGTCTCGAAGAAACAGGACAGAGGTGACTGCCGACTGACCTTTGCGATGCTATTCCGCACCGTGTGCTTTGACGGGAAATAAATCCGAGTATGTTTCCTGACCTCGGCTGCACCAGGATCTAGCACTTCTTGGCCCTTCTTGCCTACTGGCCGACTCTCGAGCTCTTTGACACCGGAATCACCTACATCGCTGTTAGCAGACGAGTAGCAACTCCTTTGTTGTGAGCTCTGATAATTTGCATACCTTGACAAGCGTAGTACAACGCTTTAAGCAGAGAATCCTTGATGGATCCCAATGATGCAGCCTGTAAGCTAGAAATCAGCCAAAAAAAGTTGGACAGAGATAAATGTAGAGCACCCACCACGACATCCATCTCGATTGTCTTGGATGTACCAAGACCTAAAGCTTTGACAGTACGACCAAGCCCACAATAGCCTGGTAGAAATGCGATTAGCTCATGCCGTAACTCTGTACAATATTGTGTGTTTAAGCTTACCTGTCCTCCAAGCTTTATCATCAACGGGAGAAGCGGCGCTGTTGTAAATAATTAGTATCAGTTCGATGTGTGTGTGAGGAGTTAGTGGCCGAACTCACATTGAGTGAACGAAACCATAGCGCTTCGTTTCCGTCCAGTCATACTTCTTCAAGCTTTTGATGAGACCATCATCCAGCTGCTTGGCCTTGAGGAAATACAATAGCTCCTCGCCAAAAGGGGTGAGCGCTCTTGTTACGTCCGGTTCATCAAGTGCAGGAAGGTCGATGATAAATAGAATCTGAGAATGTCCTGTTAGTAACTTTCTGGCTTTAAAAAGGACTGGAAGATTTAGACTCACGTTCTCCATATCACCCGTCTCACCCCAATCAAAGCTCACCAGATTGGCGCTAGGAACAACAATACGAAGATAGTCTTCGTACTTGAGCAGTTGAAGCTTCGAATGCATGCATCCCGGTCCGTTCATAGGAACAAGATGCTTCCGTACTGTGGGAAATCCATCCAGCCAATTCTACGTTAAAAAACGAAAACGTTAGCAAGTATATCCTCTAAAGTAAACAACATGGCAGCCTCAGCTCTTCAAGTTGTGTCTCGAATCCAAAGGTGAACTCACACTGATCTGCTCTCCCTGGTTAGGCGCACCCCGACAAAGTATCAACTTGTCTTTGTCAGATCCAACTTGTCAAACAACCACGCCTCGTCCAGAATAAACGTGCTTAACACCGCCAGCTGCAGCTTATCCTTCTGGAAGACCTCTTCGATCGTGATATCGTCTCCCTTCCTTGCTTGACCACGGACCCACGTTTTCTTGACCGCACCCTTGGGAAACGGCAGTTCTGGTTTTGGTCTACTGCTGCTCAATGTACGCCCAGCAGTGAAGAATTGTCCCACGCTTGCTGCTCCTGCTGATGGTGCTGTCGCCACTTTTCCTGACTCTGACGGCTTCGCCTGCTGCTGCTTCCCGGCTTTGACCATGCGTCCTGTGACAGGAGAGCTGTTGGATCCTTGGGAGCTTGCCGTCTTATCTTCGTCAGATTCTGGTGCTAGCAGATCGGCAATTGTTTGTGGACCAGTACCAGTTTTGCTGTAGTTACTACTACTGCTCGACATCTTTGGACGCTGCTGAGGACGGGCGGTAGTGGGACTGGGGGAATCCAAAGCTGATGATGCTGGCCGCTTCTTGTTCTTCAACCGAGCGAGGCGCTCCTCTTCCATCTTCTTCCTGTCTAGGCCGAAGAGTGCTGATACACTGGATGTCTGGGCAGAGGTGGTAGAGGCTGATTTTCTGGATTCAGAGGGTTTGGCATCCTTGGCAGTAGGCTGTGATTCAACCGCGGTTTTACTCTGACTTTCGCCATTTTCCTCGTCGTCTTGTGTTAGGTCGATAGTGGCGCTTGACTTGCCGGCAGTTTGCGGTTTGAAAGGATCTTGGCCAAGTGACAAAGCAATGGTGACGCGCAGTGCTTCGTCATCGGACATGTCCTCGGCGTCGATGACCCGTGCGCCCCTGTTGTCGGCCATTGCATGTAGGGGAGCTCGTGATGAAGCAAAAGAAGTTGCGCGGTTGAGAGAATAGTGCTGACGGCCGAAGTGACTGTTGTGAGATGAGATTCTGGCGGGACGCGCTGATGTGGTTTCACACGGAAGGGAGAGTTGCGACCAAAAAAGAGGGAAAAGCTCTATGTGAATTGGATATGCGTGCTGAAAAACAAATCTAAGGGTCCCGAAAGAAGGAAGAAAACAGAACCGTTCCGTTTGGTAAGGGCGATACTTCAGAAGTGTTGCTGGGTAGGAGAGGTAGACAAGAGCGAAAGTTTGTTTGTTCGGACAAGACGAATGAAAGCGGGGTGTGCGAAGCAGAGGCCTCATCATTCAAGCGATTCGAAGATGACAACAAGACACTCTGCACCCAAGCATCTCAGGGATCATGGCATTTCGACAATAATAGTCAACAATGGTATCGTAGAACACCTCTTTTGTTTATCTTTTCCTTGTATCTAGATTTTCTATCCCGCGGCTGAGCTTGTCGGCGAAGTCCAAGCTTCCGTTCGTTTCCTGTCAACGCTGTTATTCAGCACTGAAAGGGTTAGGGTTATTTCCAAATAGAGAGCCTTGACTCCGATGTCAATCAATGTTTTCATATACTTGTTGGCAGTAAACACCATTCGTGTGTTCCGGGCACTCTTTTAGTCTGCATCATCCCACGTGCTCTCCATATTTTAATCATCATATTTAAAGTCATATCCTAGAAGTGAGGTTGGTGTAGTTGGTTGCCAAGTTGCCCTCTTCAGGACAAGACACAGACACCAGATTATCATGAGTTCAACTGAACCAACGTGGTGGAGGGTATACATGGTTTGTGACATTCCGAAACTATGTCTCACTACTTGTACTATCTAAGCTGGCAGACCATATACCCCCCTCCAAAAAAAAAAATTTTTTGTTGTTTTTCGTTTTATTTGTCGTATAAGGTGTGTGTGTGTGTGTGTGTGATAATGCGTCGTGGTGTGTGTGGCGTGCATAAGTACCGGGTATAGTTCGCTGTGTATGTACGGATCCCATTGGCGCAGGGTCCTTTTCGTGCCTTTCCTCTCCTGACTTCCTAACAACCGTCCCCCGAATGTGATGGCCTTCGAAACGTCCTCCAATTCTTGACAACTCCGAGTTCCCTTTTGCTGAACGCCCATGATTCTATGCGTATCATACCAAAAACCTCCCCTCGTACAACAGGCCCACGCCTGCAAAAATGAAATAAGGGTCCAAATCCCGCCCAACTCCCAATGACGGAATGGGTATCACCAAAAACCAATGCCGCAATGCAGCAAGTCAAATGGACCACACTCGTACCAAATGTTGAATGACATAGACCCAAATTCGCCCTCGCAATGTTGAAGAAAGGAAAGAAAAGAAATAAAAAGAAGCAACACAGATAACAATGAGCCTGAAACATAGGCTGATATGCTGACCAGCATAAGAAATGGGAAAAGAGATAAAACAGAGCCGGTGTATCCTATGGCGGCATAGACCCGGAAATCATGGTCGGTACGCCATACCTTCCAAAACGCCAGTGATTCGACAAGTCTGACAGACCCAATGCCCAAACACAAAGCCACCGGACCCATCGCTGACGCATGCATGCAAAATCTGCAAAGTCCGGGAATCGTACCGTCACCACCCAACGCCTGATATTAACATGACGGATATGAAAGGAAATGTGCAACGATTAAAAGAAACGCTAGATGTCAACACTCATGTGACAACAAGGCAAAACCTCGAGCGGTAATGACAATAGATGGTACGCCTGACTTAGCAGCTTTGATAGTTGGTTGCGGATGTCCTTAGATTGACCGGAGAATCAAGCTTCAAAATCCGACGAAGGCTATCCTCCATGCTTTGAATATCTGGCGACCGGTGTTGATCGACTGCTTGGGGAAACGAAGCGGGTGGTGGCGGTTGACTGCCATGGAGCTCGGTGCCACGGAGGTGAGGGCCTGGGAACATGTGCTGGCTCGCCGGGTGACTCGGTGGCTGATTTACCGGTTGGCTTTCTCGGGCTGCTGGGATCGCAAGGAATCTCTTGAGCTTCTCACTAGGGTCCATATTAGGTTCCTGCTGCTGTTGCTGCTGATGTTGCCGCGGAACACTCGAGGCGACGCCAGGGTGCCCTTCGCTCGACCTTGCATCCCGAATGCGTTCCTGGTAGGGCCTCGAGAAAGCTGGCCCCACAGAGCGGCCTTGGTTTCCGCCTAGCTCACTGGAAGAGAAGCCCATCGAGTAATTCGGCTGGGCTGGCTCAGAGTGATGATGTAGCCGAGCTCCATGTAGGTTCGTGCCAGTAGGAAGAGTCCGGGGTTCCTGAGGTGATGGACCTTGTCCTTGGGGCGAGAAGAAGCTCGGGCTATGAGCGTACACGTTGGCCGAACTTCCGCTCCGAGCTCTCTCCTTTTCGGCACGGTCGGCACGGAAGAAGAAGTCCAGTGGGGATTCCTCCCGGGAAATGTCACTGGCGGGGAAACGGGTTCGAGGCGTAGGTGCTTCTGAGTCGGTGGCTGGAGGTGAAGGTTCCGAGTTGGCTCGGCCGGTATCCTTGACGGTGGGAGAGTCCATCGACTTGGCGAGAAAGCTGGGGATCGGGAGTGCGGACGGGGCCGGAGAGGCGTGGAAGGAACCACCGGCAAACGCAGGCCCGGGGAAGACCGACTTGGGCAGAGCCGCTGTTTGCGGAGGACTAGTCCGGTAGTTCCTAGCTGGGCCCGGTGTCGACGCCGGGGATGTTGAAGACACCTGCTTGGTCGACCTTGAGGACTTGGTCGAACGGGGTTTGGGCCTGGAGCCGTTTGCCTGCGGATCCAGAGCCGGGCTGTTTGTCCCCGACTTGGTGCCCGACTTGTGCGGCGTGAACGGGGCGGGAGGGCCAAAGTTGATGGGATAGGAGCCTTCAGATGGCATGTCGTTTTCCGAAGCATATGTTCTGCGAGGAGCAATAGTGTTGCCGGAATGGCGGTTGTTATTGCGGCGTCGACCGGGAGTCGCCTTGGGAAGGGGTCCCGGCTGGTCTTGTTGCTGTTGTCGTTGCATCACGTGTAAGCAGCGCAGAATGCAGTCGCGCTTGGACTTTGTTTTGTTGTTCAAACGAAGAGATCTGTAAAGGTGATGTAGAAGCAAGGGGCCGCTTGCGTGGTGCCTTCCTCTGCGAAACGAAGCTTGTGTGCGAACTGGCGGGACAAACGTTGGGCGCCGACCTCGGGTGTGATTGACAGTGATGAGACACTGGACTAGAAACCGGGTGAATTGGACGTGGCGTCTGGCTGGCGAGTGACTCGATACGGCTACGAGATAGGGACGTGGGAAAAGGGGATGCGATCAGAGCCTGACGAGACGGCTGTCGCTGATTGACGGGTTGCTGTGGCGGCGGTGATCTTTGGCGCAGCGGTGCGGGAAATAATACTATTCGAATTGGCGATACTGAGATTGACGGTAATAGCTTTGCGCATGTTGTTCTTCGGCGAACTAGTGTGGTGGTTTGTCGCTGTGATTCCGTAGTAATGTTGCGCTGCGGCGACAATAGGGAAGAAATGGAAGAGGATGGTGATGAAGGCAACCTGGGATCCGGCCTCCAGCAACCCGTCAACATTCAGCGCACAAACGACGGACAGCCAAGCACAGAGCCCGGCGCAATGCCCTGTCGTCGACCGCCTGGGGGCTGTACCTGCCCGGCCTCCAGCCCGGCTCGCTCCTCCTCTCGCCGCCGTTGTCGCTCCAGTTCTCATTTCCGCTCCCGATTCCAGCATACTCTCATTAATCAAGATGCCTCAGCTGTTGCTAACCAACCGTCAAAAGAAAATGCATAATATCGTCTTAACACATACATCGCATTAAACGCTTGCTGGGCGGGGTCAGCCAAGGCTGAAGGCGGTCCACTGGTCCACCCATTCGCGCATCACTGCCAGAATCCCGTCACTGCAATCCGCAATGCGCAGCTTCCACACCACTGCAGCCATCTGGCATTCGTCGTCCAGTGCCGGTTACGATAGGCAACCTTGACGGGATCAACACAACTACAACAGGGACTGAGTAAGGGCAAGCTGTGCTACCTTCACTTTGTAAACACCGAAGACGCGACGAACAACCTTTCTTTGAGCAACCGCAACAGAGAGCACTTCGCTTTTTATCTCGCGGGTACGAGTTTCGCCTTCTAGGCCTTCCAGCTACCTACAAGCTTTCCGCCTTCCAGTCTACCATCGATACAGCCCAGGCAGGAGGTTTAAATTCGCCTTCCTCTCTGTTCCGAGTTGGACAACCCCGAGTATCTACAGCATGGCAACAAACTGACATTTGGCTGCTTTGGAAACATTTAGACTACTTTGCGAATTCGTCCTGTTATCCAAACGAACCATTTCATTCCGTCGACCGGTCGGCCTCTTCCGCGTATCTTTCGAGTCGTGACCCGCACGATCCCCCGCGTCGCAGCACTTCCTTCGTACCTTCACGCCACAGTTGGTTAGATATCGGAAACTTTATTCAACGAATTCACCATGGCGGATGTCGATATGACCGACGCTCCGGCCTCTACGGATGTCGTAAAGAAGAACACTGCTGTTGTCGAGACTAAGGCGAAGAAGGCAGAAGGCAAGCCTCGCTTCGAGGTCAAGAAGGTGAGCGCTTGTCCCTTCGTATGGTCATGGCCTTATGCTGATAAACATGTCTCTAGTGGAACGCGGTGGCCCTCTGGGCTTGGGATATTGTAGTTGACAACTGTGCTATCTGTCGAAACCATATCATGGATTTGTGTAAGTTCGAGCTATACGCTCCTCTTGACACCTAACCGAGTACTAACCTCGAACTTTGAATTCCTTTAGGCATTGAGTGCCAGGCGAACCAGTCATCCGCCACCTCAGAAGAGTGCACAGTTGCGTGGGGTATCTGCAATGTAAGGCCTGTCTTGTGTGCTCTTCGTTTGATTCTTAATCTGATGACTAACCGGCAACTTCACAGCACGCGTTCCATTTCCACTGCATTTCGAGATGGCTCAAGGCCCGTCAAGTGTGTCCTCTTGACAACAGAGATTGGGAGTTCCAGAAGTACGGCCGTTAAAGGGCAGATCAGGAGTTGGGATGCGCGTTTGCGACCACTCGAGCATGCTGCAGGGCGAGACCCGGATGAGGAAGACATCTTGGAGGATTTTCACAAGGCTAGAAAACATAAGCCACGGAGTATTACACATCAAGAAGGTTCCAGCATGATAAAGCTAGCGGGCTACGCTGGATCGAAGCATGCCTTAAGCGTGCAGAAGAAAGAACGAATATAATGACCGGCGCATATGGTATTCTTTAGCGACGTTGCCTTGCTCAACCTCCGTTCTCGTCTCGCAGACGTAGGATCTGAACTGTGTGACGATCCCGCAACATGCAGTCTACCTGAAACTCTTCTCATCTATGATCAGGTTTTGTGGCGGTACCAGCCCGCCGCCAACTTGTAGCCACTTAACAGGGTTGCGGTTGTAGAACGGCCACGGAGGAACGGCGATGACGAAGGTGAGGGCGGTTCCGGCAAGTCCAATCTGGAGCGCCAGCTTGATGTCTTGTAAGATGTATCCGACGAGGAACGCGACGACCTGATAACGACAAAGAAACTTGTCAGCGAAGCCGTGGCTGAGTTAAGATATATAGGTACGGGACAACATACAGCTGTAAGTGCCAGGGTCACGTTGACGAGTAGTTCCACCAGTTTCTGGCCTTCAAAGTCCTACATGTCGCAGATGTCAGTTGTCGAATACAAGAAGAAAATCGGTACGGGTCTTGGACGGGCATTTGACGAACAATTTGGCCCTCCGCCACATCGCGGATCTGATCCAACAGTTGTTCGGCCATCGTGAAGCAAGTGCTATGCCGGGGAGGTTCGAAATTGAAGGCAATCGGAAAGCTGGTTCAGTTTATCGAAAGCGTCGGACCCTGGATTGTCTTCGATGACAGGTGGTAGATTTCGTTTACAAGTGGCTTGCGTGCGTATCGCGGAACTTCAACATTAAAAGCTCGTCAAGGTGTTGTTGCATGGGAGGAAATCGGACATTGATACACTCCGACAAACCTAACTACAGCGCATCGCATATCACCTTCCAATTGGACGCCCGTACTACTTACCTCTACGTGTCTGCTTCGGGGCTTCCTTTATACGCTGTACCGTACGCTAGAGAGAGTGGTCCAACGACCCAGCCCTATTACACAAGTTCGCTGACCTTATGGTCCGTCCATTTACATCCAACTCACACAAATAAAAATTTGATATAGTTATTTTAATACGTATTTGTACGAAGTCATTTTAATAAATCTTTGGTTAGGATTTTAAATGATATAAAATACTATAAAATTCATGCAATAATCTAATAAATTGAGTTTTCATTATTTCGCTTATTGGCAATAATACTATTCACTTTGTATTACTTTTTATAAAGAAAGAATGACAAGTTTTGCTATGGAAAAAGAATGATAAATTTCGCTACAGAGAAAGAATAATAAATTTTGCTATAAAAGAGGAATAAGAAGTTTTATGATAAAGAAAGAATATTAAATTTTATTATAGAGAAAGAATAATAAATTTCATTATAGAAATAAATCTTCTCTAATTTCTTTTTGAAACATTTTTGAAATACGCTTTAAATTATGATAATTGTAAGTTTCGTGTTAGAAAAATATTAACTTCATTAAATGAATACTATTTAAGTAGTTGCTCTTAATTATTTCTTAAATATTTGCTACAATTTTTGGAAAATTTTATTTGAATACTATTGGAATATTTTGAAAACAGTTTCAGAATATTTTTTGAATATACTTATTTAAATTACTTTTAATCAACCTCTGAATTATCTTTATACTCGTAACTTGAAATCCGGATTGAATGAATAATTAATATATTTTCATACAATAAGTTCGGTATTAATAAATCTGTTTGAATATTAATGAGATTTTCGTTTAATAAACAAAGTACTTTTACTATACTTCAAACAAATAAAGAGAAGATTTATGAATAAATAATTAGCAAGAGAGGAGGGAGCTATAAACTAATAAAGTATAATTTATATATAATCTTGTATAATTCATTTACTACGTAATTTGTTTCAATTGAAAAAGCAGTCTTTTAATATTATCTAAATAATCTCTTTCCATATCAATAATCTACTATAAATTAATTATAGTTAATTATAAATGCTCTAAAGATATTCGTAATATATAAAATTCCAATACTTATTGTACTGTTTTTCTAGAATATAATATTTTTAAAGTTGACTTTTATATTTGCTTTTTACTCCTCTTTACTTTACTCTTTCTTATTTTACTCCCTTTTCATATCTTCTTATTTTGCTACTTTTTATTTATTCTTTTATTCCATTGCTGTAACGGAATGCACTTGGGTGCCTGTTCTGGGACAAACTATATAAGATCATTTGAGCGACCTATTACGAACTTAAGCGAGTTACACGGGCCAACCAAGCCACTGAGACACAACAGCCACAGAACGGCGCAACCATAGGAGCCAGTAGTGTCACGGTGCTGGCGGACCACTACATCACTAGGCTATGTTCCAAAAGGATACAAGTAACCGAAGCTGGCAATTCGGTCGCTCAAGTGGTCTTATGTAGTTGCGATAGCAGTCGAGAGGCACAACTGCAAGGCTGCCATCACAAGTAGGGCGCAGAACCAAAAGGGCCCACACCCCATGAGGGCTCACACCATGAGCCAGGGCCACAAGGTGAGCCAACACCATCAGTGAGCCACCACCATCAGATAGACTTATGAGCTCAGAAGAGCATCAGGAAACAGATACCTCGCAGAGGGCGAGGAGGTATAAAGGGACGACTGGAGAACTCAGATTGTCAGATAGTTTGACAGTAGTCAATAGATCATTATCACCGAGACCAGTATTACCAGCATACTTGTTGTGAACCCTTTGGCTTCACCGAACGACTCTGATAGTTACTACCTTCAGCTATCTCATTTAGGCAGATCAGACTGCCGTTCGTCACACGACCGAACTGCTAGTCTCGGTTACTTGTATCCTTTTGAAATATAGCCTAGTGGTGTAGTGGTCCGCTAGCGCCGTGACATTTATAATATAAGTGACACTGAAATTGTGGAATTTATACTTAATACAAGAGGTCACGAGAGTGAGGCCATATTATATGTAAATAAAGAGTAAAAGTAAGATTCTCTGAGAAGAAAGGCCTGGCTTCCAGCTAGCTGTTACGAACTTATGAGGATACACGGACCAACCACAGCGCCGGTAGTACAACCGGCCTAAACAGGTTAGGTCGTGTCACCCTCCCAGGCCAACAAGGACAAAGAGGCACACGCACGGGCTCACAGTGAGCCAGGAGGGCATCGTGAGCCACCACGCATTAGATAGACCTATGGGGCTCGACACGAGCATCCGGAGACAGATATCTCGCAGAGGGCGAGCAGGTATAAAGGGACTACGGGAGAACTCAGATTGTCAGATAGTTCGACAGTAGTCAATAGATCATTATCACCGAGACCAGTATTGCAGACATACTTGTTGTGAACTCTTTAGCTTCACCGAACAGCACTGATAGTCGTTACCTTCAACTATCCCACTTAAGGCAGATCAGACTGCCGTTCGTCACACTAGCCGTCCGCACGCAGTAGATATGCAGCGCAGCAAGTTAAGTGGCCCGAGCGCAGAGTAACAGCTGGAAAGACACCAAAGCCTCTATAGCAGCTTAGCTAATCTTGTGACGAACGGCAGTCTGATCTGCCTAAATGAGATAGCTGAAGGTAGTAACTATCAGAGTCGTTCGGTGAAGCCAAAGGGTTCACAACAAGTATGCTCGTAATACTGGTCTCGGTGATAATGATCTATTGACTACTGTCAAACTATCTGACAATCTGAGTTCTCCAGTCGTCCCTTTATACCTCCTCGCCCTCTGCGAGATATCTGTTTCCGGATGTCCACGTAGACGTGAACCCCATAGCGTGTGGTTTACAAGCTGGCTCGATTCGTGAGTCTGGCTCAACTGGTGAGCCTGACTCGACTCCCCAGAGCCCTTGCCTGCCCAGAGCTCTTTTCCTGCCTCTGGTTACACTGCCTAGCTTACGCGTGGCTGTTGTGTACCAGTAGCTTGGTTGGCCCGTGCCTGTCATTATCAGCTCGTAACAAATCTGGGCTGTCATGACTAGTCTAAACTATAATACAGGATATGGCTAACGATACTAGAAATCTAAGGATTTCAATATCAATAAGCAATATTATTATTAATAAATTCCGAATATTTAAAATAATAATAATATAGTAAATTACGTTTACAAATTTGAAATATAAATTCAAAGCATTAAATAAAATAAGAGTTAGATTTGTATTATCAACTTTAGAATAAACTAAAATATATTTATATGAGTATAATTAGAGTTTTAAAACAGTACTGTGACAGCTGGCACCATTTGAGCTGTCACATGCCTGCCATTGTCACAGGTTGACATTGGCTA